GCGGACACGGGAATTTGTACTACATACGGGAAGAGCTGCCTCCGCATTTTCAATCTGTAAACTGAATGTGTGCATTCTGCAGTTGGTTTTGGCTCCGCCTGAGAAAGAGTCTCTCCCTGTTTCGGCTAGTCTTTGATGTCTCTCTTTTGTTCCTCTCATTTATTTTTGCGTTTATTTATTTATTTTGCCCGCCTCATGTTTCACCGTTCTGTTATATGCTGTGTTACGGGGCTGAAGTAAGAAGAAAACACGAGCTGGCCCGAGATGGTGACTTGCATTGGGGAGGGCTTGTTGAGTGTCTTGTCGAATAGGTACAGTTGTATGCCATAGCCTTTCTTGAATAAAAGAAACCGGGTAACCAGAAAACCAGCCGCGCGACGGGAACACAAGACGACAGGACACCATCTACACGAAACACGCTTGCCCAAACGAAGCATCGACAGTCGTCGTCTTGAGAATTCGACGAATAAGATGTCAGATGCCAATGGAAAGAAAGTGACAAGCAGACAACAAAACAGAGAGCAAGCGACAGAGGAGGTAAGACAACGGGAACTGTCAAAATGATCGATCATCAGTGAGAGGTGGGTCGTTACAAGACGGTTGGAGGGAGTACAATAACATCGATTGAAGAGGGAAGCGTTCAATAAAAGAAGATAAAATACACAATAAGACGACAGTCTCTAAAGCGAATCAAAGACGCTCCATCTATTTATACGACAGGGAGACTGTGCTCCGTGCCGCCCTTGTACCCCCGCAGCACTGGCAACGCCTGCTTTGCACAAGACAGCCCAGCGCGATGCACGTAGTTGTCCATGTTTGTTTCTCGTGTCGTCTTCCATCGTTCGTTTTAGCAGCTTCGCCTCGCACTCGCCCTCCCTATTTCCCGCTGCATCTCTTCCCTGATGGATACCACTCTGCACGTTCCCCCATCGCCGACGGTGCCCGTCGACATGTCTCCGCAGACCTGGTCCTGGATGCAGGATTGTAGGATGCAGCAACGTCTGGCTGCAGGAACAGGCACCTCTCATGCTCCGACCTGCACGTCCGCAGAATAAGGGCGAGCTGGACCAGCCTGGGCGTCCCTGAGCAGACGTGCCGCCCTCCCGTTTTCGTTTCCTCGTCTGGGCCGGCATGAGCGAGACGTAATGTAAACGTGTGACTTGCAAACAGCAGACAGAAAACAGCAGACTGCAAGCAACGGCTACAAACAACGGCTGCAAACAGCTGCAAACCGCAGATTGCAAACCGTAAACAGCAACGGGCGTACAAAACATCTGCAAAAGCACACGAAAGCGCACCGCTGCTCAGGACTGCCGCCAAGAATATGACAGGTCGAAAAAACACACAAAGTCGTCTTGTTCTCTTGTCTTTCTCACTCTTTTTTTCTCTGGCTCTCAGTTGACCCTTCGCTCTCGTTTTATTCTTTCTCGCAGCCCGTTTGTCTCTCGTTGCTGAAGCACTCGGGCATTGTGGTGGACCGCTCCACTTTCACTCGCCTCGCTCTCTTTCGCCCTCGTCTCCTCTCTTTCCTTTGCTTCTCCATCGCCTGCCTCCAGTCCTGCCTCCAGTCCTGTCTCCAGTCCTGTCTCCAGTCTGTCCTCGTTCTCTCGTTTCGTTCATCTATTTAAGGCTGGCCCTGGTAGTCTGCAGCAGGCCTCAGTTTCCTGTTTTGCTCTCCTCTTTCTGTATCCTTTTCTCTCTAGTCTCCTCTATCCATTGTTTTGCATACTTATATCTATAATTTTGCAGACTTCCATTGCACTCGATCTCTTCTCTCTTTCCTCGCCTGCCTTGAACCATTTTCCAGAACAGCATTGCATCCATAACACAGCTATTCACAGTCTTGCCGCTTACTTCCAGAAATATTACATGAACGAAAAATCAAACTGTTTTCTTTTGCAACTCTTCATCTTGTGTTGTTGTTTGATTCTCTACGTTGCAAGACAAACGTTTCTATCACAAAGGTGCCATTCGTTTCACTTTTTTATCTTAAGTCTTCCTTTTGTCCCAACGTCCGACATTGTGTCTTCAGACCGTCAAATACGCCAGTTACTAGAATTGCCTCTTGATTAGGTCAGTCTGCCATTCCGCCAGTCATGCTCGTCCGTAAATCACCGTCCATCGCTGACCATCAGATCATCAGAATATCAGAATATCAGATCATCAGATCATCAGATCATCAGACCCTTGCATCATCAAATCACCATGGTGTCCCAAGCCTACAACCATCTTGGCGACAAGCGACACAACCGGGCCTTTTCCCCGTACGTTGGCAGCTCCGGCTACGCCGAGGCACGTGTCTATGTGCCGCCGCAGCCAGACACGCGGACGCTGATGAGCGAGCATCAAACGAACGCGCCCGATCCGCCCCGGAAGAGGATTGCCGTTGCGGTACGTAATTGTACGGATATTTTCTCTCTCTCATCATCTTTGTCTGACGGGTGACAGTGTGGCCGGTGCCGCCAGCGGAAGATCCGGTGCAGCGGCGATCTGGGCCAGAACATGCCCTGTTCCAACTGCAAGAGCGCCGGCGTGACGCAGTGCCTCTTCCTGCGCGTGTCCTCCCGCGAGACACCCATCAAAAGCGACCTGGCTCTTGGCCAGCTGGGCGGCGCCCTGTCGGGCAACGCGGGCGGCAGCCTCCGCAGCGAGTTCAACTACAATCCGGTCATTGCCCGCACCCTCGCCAGCCGCGCGGTCGTCCCGCCATCGCCCAACTACAGCGCCTACTCGAGCCCCAGCGGCAGCACCAATACGACGGGCAGCATCGGCGGCAGTGTCGGCGCCAGCACCATTGGCCGTGCCAGTGGCGGCACCAGCGGCGGCACCAGCGGCGGCACCAGCGGTGGTACCTGTGGAAGCGACTTTGCTGCCGCCGGCGAGCCGCTCCGGTCGTCCAGTCTCCACTCCTACGTCAACAAATCGTACTTGTCCAGCATGACGCCGTGGGGTGCCGGCTACGGCGAGGACTGCGTCGACTACACCGTCCCCGCCTGCAGCCCGTATGCCGTTGTCAGCGACGCGGCGGGCCAGTTGGTGTCGTACCAGCCCTGGGACGCGCGGTCGAAGCAGGTCAGTGTTGGTGTTGGTACCATCCCGGACGCCTTGTCGGTGCCGCCAGTGAATCCCACGACCAAGACCTCGGACGGCGCCACGGCCAGCTCGCCTGGTCCCAGCCCTGTTCATCACACGCCTCGTCATGGCAACACGGGCACGAGCAGCACGTCCAACCCCACCACTACCGGCACCACGGCCAACACCACGGCCTACACCTCGGCCAGCACCGCAGCGAATACCCTATCGCCCAACACGACCAGCGGGGCCACCAGCCTCGTCTACCGTCTCGCCACAGACGTCGACAACGATGACTATCGCCATGCCACTTCGCCTCTGCCGCTCAGCGATCGGCTGCTTGGCCACACCATACCGAGTTCGCTGGCGAGCAAGTCGTCTGTTTCTGCCGCATATGCCGCCCGCCGTGGTGCGCCCAGCCCTGTGCCCGGCCCCCATCCCCATGCCCATCCTCATTCCCATGCTCATCCTGTGCCGCACTCGATGCCGCATTCCGTGCCGGCCCGCTCGTCAACCGTCACATCTTACAACACGGCGCCATACACGAGCCACACGAGCCACACGAGCCACATGAGCCACATGAGCCAGCCCAGTGGCGGTAGTGGTAGCAACACCGGCCATGTCTCGCCCCTGTCCCTGGGCGCACCCTTGGGCTCGTCTCTCGGTCCGCCGCTGGGCTACCCGACACGCGCCAGCCCGGTCGACCATCATGCCGCGTACGGCTCGGCAAGCACCTCCATCACGAGTGGCGGTGGCCTCTTCAGTGACCAAGACCGCGAGGTCGGCCTGCAAGGCTCCGGCGGCGGCCCGTCCTCGTCTGCGTCGTACCTCAGCAGCTACACCTACGCGCCCGGCACGCCGCGGCCGTCGAGCGCCGCCATGGCCCGCCAAAAGAGCAAGAAGAAGACGGCCTCTTCCGAGAGCCTGGTGCAGAGCAACATGGCACAGACATCATCGACGGCGGCCGTTGCCACCACCTCTTCCCCGGCACCGACAACGACAGCGGCAGCAGCCATGCACCGCGTGTACAGCCCGACAGACGGCCCGGCACCGCCGCCTTTGTACGAACACGAGCCACAGCACCATGACACGCGCAGCGACACTCTCTGCACTGGCAGTCATAGCCAAGACCTGCAGCACACTCAACATGCACCCAGCTACCGTGTTTGAGGGCCTGTGTTGTTCTTCTCATTTTCTTTTCTGATTTGTTTTTTCTCGTCTCCTTTTCGTTGATCCTGCAACTGGCTCGAGTTTTTGTCGCGTCGATTTCTGCTTCCCTTTTGTCCCAGGCTAATTTTTAATATTTTTTTTATATATTTTGTGCCTCTTTGTTTTAATATTCTGTTGATCTCTCAGTTTTATTGTTCCATGTCGATTTTAAAATCATGTATTTCATTCGCTTGTTATCTCGTCCGTTTCCTGTTCTTTTCCCGCACTGTCTTTGCCATTGTTTCTCGCGCATCCTCCCGTTAGAATCCCTTCCAAGGTTGAAGGGACTGGCGAGGCGGCTATAAAACAAGATAAAACCAAAATTAAAGTAAACAATCGAACGTTTGTGAAGTGAATCAAGCTCACCGCTGTGCAAGTCGACCGCTTTCAGCCCACTAAACGATGCCGCCCTTACAAGGCCGCTTTCAGCCGTTCTCGACCAATGGATGGAGCTTGTGGCGTGGCGGGTGGCTTACCCCTACTTCGTACGACGTAATTACACCGAGCTGCCAGGGCACCCCGCTCTAACATACGTATTAGACTGCACCTTCCTGCATCGTACAAAACCACAGCTCGCCCCCTTTCTTCAGCTTCACATTCGGCCTCAAATAACGTCTCTTTTACGCCTCGACAAAGCTCCAATTAATTCCCCCTACAACTTCCACTCCACTTCGACCACCACCACCACCACCACAACCACATCCACCACAGCCGCCGCAATGCAGGTTCCTTTGATTCGACTCCAGTGCGGAGTCAATTCCTACGACTGGGGCAAGAAGGGCGCTGACTCGGTGGCCGCACAATATGCCTCGGCCACGCCCGCCGAAGGGTTCTCCATCCAGGAGGACAAGCCGTACGCCGAGCTGTGGATGGGCACGCACCCGTCCAACCCGTCCAAGGACGTCGAGACCGGCCGCGACCTGCTCGACCTCGTCCAGGACAACCAGGCGCTGCTGGGCAGTGCCATCGCAGCCAAGTACAAGCAGAAGCTGCCCTTCCTCTTCAAGGTCCTGTCCGTCAACAAGGCGCTGTCCATCCAGGCCCACCCCAACAAGAAGCTCGCCGAGCAGCTCCACGCCCGCGACCCCAAGAACTACCCCGACGACAACCACAAGCCCGAGATGGCCATTGCCATTACGCCCTTTGAGGGCCTCTGCGGCTTCCGCCCGCTCGCCGAGATTGCCCATTTTCTGAAGGCGGTGCCGGCGCTGCGCCAGCTGGTCGGCGAGGACGTCGCGGCTGCCTTTGCGCAGACGGTCCAGGGCCACGAGACAGACGAGGCCCCCGACGCCGCGCACAAGAACAAGGCCGCGCTCAAGAGCCTGTTCTCGGCGCTCATGTCCGCGTCCCCGTCGGCCCTCGCCGCCGCGACAACCAGCCTGCTGGCGGCCGTGGACAGCCCCCGCGCCGACGAGGAGTTTGCCGCGGGCGGCGTCGCGTCGTCGTCGGGCGCCACGCTCGCCAAGCTGATCCAGCGGCTCTACGGCCAGTTCGGCGTCGACTACGGCCTGTTCAACCTCTTCTTCCTCAACTACGTCACCCTCCAGCCCGGCGAGGCCCTGTTCCTGTGCGCCGACGACATCCACGCCTACATCTCGGGCGACATTGTCGAGTGCATGGCCGCCTCCGACAACGTCGTGCGCGCCGGCTTCACGCCCAAGTTCAAGGACGTCGACACCCTGACGTCCATGCTGACCTACAACTACGCCCCCATCGACGAGCAGAAGATGCACCCCGTCGACTACCCCTACGCCACGCTCAACCGCCCCGCCTACAGCTCCAACTCCGAGAGCGCCCTGTACGACCCGCCCATTGAGGAGTTTAGCGTCGTGCGCACCGCCCTCAAGAGCAACGGCAGCAAGGCCACGCTCGACCCTCTCGACGGCCCCAGCATCGTCATCTGCACGGGCGGCCGCGGCACCATCTCGGTCGGCCCCAAGGTCGAGCAGGTCGAGGAGGGGTACGTGTACTTTGTGGGCGCGACGGCGGAGGCCGTGCTGGAGGCCAAGAGCCTTCATGACGGCGAAGAATTTGTCACGTTCCTGGCTTTCTGCGAGGTCGACGGCGACGGGGATGCTGCTGCTGCAAATGGCGCCAATGGTGCTTGAGCGGGCCAAGGCTCTCTCTGTGCCTGTGTGCCTGTGTGCTTGTGTGCTTGTGTGCTTCTGTGTTTATTTGTCTGAATGGCAGCTCCTTGTGCTAGCCGCGACTAGATTTCCCAGGCGGTTTTTTTAAATAAAAAGTTTTTCAGTTCTTCAACCATTCGCTACTCTCGTATCGTTCATCTCGTCGTCTACTCTTAGTGCCCCACGCTTCACACATGAAATGATGTCATTGGCTGTGCAACCCAACATCGACTCCAGCTCGGGCCAATAAACACCGCCCCCTGTAGCCCCATTTTCGGGGCAGGTTGCCGATTGCAGACCCAAACAAAACTTTCTGCATTTCCCGACCGACGGGTCATGGACAGCAATGCGCCGCCCGACAAAGCGCCCACGGCACGGCTCATGACCAGCGGGACCATTGCTGCTACTGCAGTGCAGCGTTTCTGCCGCCAATGTCTGCAGGCTGAGCCTGCGCCTGACTTTCCTGGCCCAGAGCTTCTGCGGCTGGACGTCGTACAGGAATACCTTTATGCACAGCTCTTTGCGCCCGATGCACAAGATGGCGAGTCCCGGTTACCGCCCGCATATGCGCTGAGAGTGCTCAAGACACTGGTCGGCAAGATCGAAGACAGCATCGACGACTGGGATGAACATGTGCGCACCACTACACATTGGACACATTGCATTGTAAACAGCATCGACGGCGGCTAACACGACGGATTTTAACAGGGCATATCTGACAACCTGATGGGCTGCCTGGCCAATTCTCATGCCAGTGGGTCACAAGCAGCGGCCCTGGCCGACGCCGTCAAGAAGAACCGCGTCGTCTACTACGTGTCGGCTCTGGAAACCGAGCCATCACCATCAAACACCGACGCATCCGCCCCCACGATTACCCTCCTCGAGAACCGAGCCACGATTGCCGCCGCAGGCACAACCGGCATCCGCACCTGGGAGGCTGCGCTGCATCTCGGCGCACACTTGTGCGAACACCGCGATGTCGTTGCGGGAAAACGCGTTCTGGAGCTCGGTGCGGGCACTGGCTATGTCTCCATCCTCTGTGCCAAGCACCTAGGCGCGGCTGCGTGCCTTGCCACGGACGGATCGCCCGAGGTGGTCGAGGGGCTGCCTGCAAACGTGCAGTTGAATGGACCGAAGGCGAGTGTCGTCGAGGCAAGAGAATTGTACTGGGGTCCGTCGCCGCCGGCAGACTGGTCTGACTGGTCCCAAGGAGGCTTCGACACGATTCTGGGTGCCGATATTACCTTTGACGCGCGCGACATGCCCGACTTGTTGGCGACGATCCGATGGTGCCTGTCGAATGGAGCGAGTGGTGCATCAGGAGGAGAGAAAACTGTCATTATCGCCGCGACCGAGCGGAACAGAAAGACCTTTGAGACGTTTGTGCAGCTGGCTGCGGAAGCGTTTGATGTAGAGGACGTGGCATTCCCAGTGCCGCCGAGGGCGAGCCAGGCGGGCCCGTTTTACAGCGACGCCGTCCCCATCCACATCTGTCGCTTGCAGTTGCGCGACGCGGCGCGCCGAAAGCAGTGATATTTCCTTAGTTGTCATTGAAAATCTTACATAAGCTTAGTATACCCTCACGTGATTCCTACCGTTCTGCCTAGGGCTAGGCTCAACTAACCACATAAGACCGGAAAATTAGAAACACCGAAAGTGGAGTAAGACCCGGCCAAAGTAAAAAAAAAAAATACCCCAGTAGGGTATGGTGCGCAGAAGGTGTGCAAAAAATCCCAGCAGGCAAAAAAGCGGGCCTGACCCTCTTTCCAGCACCAACCACAGCCAGCAGCGGGTTGACGCAAAACAAAATAGTGTCGAAAAGTTTTGGCCCAAAATTTCCCCTTTGCCCTGCTCTTTTCCTGCCCTCCCCTCCTCGGATTTCCCTCTCTTTCCTTTGAACAACCATCACCGCCCTCCCAGCCAGCATCGACAGATTCGCCCAACATGGCTGACGCAGACACCCCCGTTACCCTGCGGACACGCAAGTTCATCCGCAACCCTCTCCTGGGCCGCAAGCAGATGGTCGTGTAAGTTTGCAGATGGCGAGAATTTATTGTCGAGATGGAGATGAAGACGAAGACGGAGACGAGGACGAGATCGAGACGAAATCAACTCGACGACAAAGGCATGGAAGCAACGTTTTCACCGACCGACTTGTCCGAGAAGGGACCGGCGACTGTCGACTGTCGACCATCGACCATCAACCATTGTTCCCACCGCATCGAAATCCACCTCCAGCGACATCGACTCTGTTGCCAACAGGCGGAAAGGGACTCGAGGAACGAGAGACGTGCCGGGACATGGACAGCACGATGAACGTGGCAAGCGGCAGCTGGCGGTTTCGATTCGACGAGAACACGACGGCATCGTATGCATGATGGAGAGACTGTTGATCCAGTACAAGGATATTATCGGAAAGCTTCCCCAAAGTCGACGCCAAACGAAACATCCACGTACCTTTCTCGACCTCGTTCTCGTCTTCGACTTTGCCTTTGTCTGCGGCTTGCGTCTGCGACGTTCTTGTCGTTTCCGCGCCCTCGCGTCAACAAGAAGATCTCCCACTAACATTCTCCAGTGACATCCTGCACCCCGGCCGTGCCAACATCTCCAAGGAGGAGCTCCGCGAGAAGCTGGCTACCCTCTACAAGGCGTCCAAGGACCAGGTCAACGTGTTCGGCCTGCGGACGCAGTTTGGTGGCGGCAAGACCACGGGTTTCGCCCTGGTCTACGACAGCCCCGAGGCCATGAAGAAGTTTGAGCCGCACTACCGCCTGGTCCGTGTCGGCTTCGCCACCAAGATCGAGAAGGCCGGCAGACAACAGCGCAAGCAGCGCAAGAACCGCCAGAAGACGCTCCGCGGCACGGCAAAGGTCAAGGGTGCCAAGGCCAAGAAGGAGAAATAGACATGACGCCCACCTTTGTCGGGGTACATCCTATTCTGTCGCGCTTCTCTTTGCGTCTCTCGGCTTCGCCTCGCCTCTTCGTCTCGCGCAATTTCCATTTTCACATTCACAAAACTTTCGGGATGGAAGGGTTTTTTGGGCGTACTGTATTCATGTCTGCGCGTGTCTATTTTGTTTTCCGCGCATGCTGAACCAAACAAAAGGAAAGGATGGTAATGCATTGTGGGAAAACATCGGAGGAGGGATGCGGGATGCTGTTGAAACACAACAAAACAAAATGTGAAGGTATCTTCATAACAGGAATAAAAACAAAAAACACTGGAAAGCCATCAAATTCTGTCCCTCGACTGGACGTGCTGTTGTGATGTTGAGCTGTGACATTGGTATCTTCACGTACATAATTCTATCAACGCATGATGCGGTCCAGCCGCGTACAAATCAAACCCATCTGATATAATATTTCCTGGCGCTGCCTCCTCTCACTGACCGACGAAACAGACTGCCACCACAATAGCGGCTGTCCACAGTGCCGGCCACGACCACTGCAACTGGACGCGCGTGGCAGCAGATGTGCTCGCATCTAGAATGGGCTCGTGCCAGCCGCAGTGAGAGTACGTACCCAGGGTGACGCACGAGTAGTAGGTTGTCTGGACGAACTTGCCGCACGGCTTCATTGTCGTGGCTTCTGTTGCCTCTGCTGCTCCTGCCGGTGCCAGTGTGATCGATGCGGCCCGAGTTGGCGGCTGTTCTGAGTCAAGGTCATGAGCATGTTCAGCCGGCACAACAACCCCAGCAGCAGCAGGTGGTGCAACAAACGAAGGGGGTGTTGAAGCTGACGTTGAAGTTGCACATGGCTGCTTTCGTGATGGTGTTTGTGTGAAGCTGGCCGCAGTCGCGGTGGCCGACGATGATGAAGGCGTGTTGTGGCCACAGGACATGGCCGGCGATGCGTTTGTGAAGGTCAAATACTGCGAAGCGATGCACGCCAGCGTCAGAGCAGTTGTGAATGGTCTCATTTTTGGAGAAGAGTATGGCCGGTGGCAATGGTCTTGGGGAGAAAGTTGCTTAGACTGTCTCGGTGTTGATAGTAGGATGCTATTGTTGTTTCTGTTATGTGCACAAACGACAACCAGGTTTAACTCCCGTTTGCATTGCCATGTTTGGAAGATGCTCCCTCTATATATCCAAGCATTTCTTGACAGACAACGTGTCTTCCGTAGACGCACGCCTGCACACCATTAAACTTGTTTCCTTTCCGTCAAAGCTCTTTGTCTCTGCATTCTCACTTCCACGTCTTCCTGTCAACTGACCGCCTCAGAGACGGTGTGCTGCACAATCAGGATTTCAACAGACGTTGTGAAATGTGATGAAAAGGCCTGTTTGGTCTTGGTCCAAGCCGCGCACTTTGTTGTCTTTTCAAACCAAATGCCATTCTCTTCCACAAACTTGAAAACGGACATTCTGGGCCAGTGGTTGCGACTGTAGAGCATTTTGGCAAAACGCAGCGCCCAGGGTCCACTAACACGGCCTCTCTGCAGCCCCACTGAGACTGGCGGAATCTGCTGCAGTTGCATTACAGCGAATCACAACAAAACACTCACACTCACACACCCTTTTTTTCAAAAAACGACATAGGCTATGGCATCCACACGATCTGTAGGATTTCAGTTCTCAGATAAGTTCCATTCGCTTTTGCAACGTATGCCGTTCATCAAACTAAGCAATGCTTAATATTGCTGTGTTTAGTTTTCGTTTCGAACAAAGGTAGCCAGCCGATGGCATCACCCTCCTGCAATGCCGAAAATGAATTCTATGGAAATGACAACATCTTGGATGCTGCTCTTGGGTATCATGTCTCCCTGATGGCCGTGACTCAGACGTCTGCCGCTGTCACTGTCGCTGCCGCTGCCGCCTGGAGAATGCGTGGTTCGAGCATGTCTGCCAAGACAAGACTGCGGTGTCCCGTGTCCGCCTCTTGCGCTTCTTCGTCGTGCTCGCCGCCTCTGTCGTCGCCCTCGTCCTCCATGTCGGGCCCGTCAAAGCGGCCATACACACGCTCGCCTGTCTCTTCGTCGTACTGTTTTTCCGGCTTCCGATCGAGGTCGCGGTCGCGACGGGCGAGCACCACACGCAGCTTTGTGCCATCCGCATCGACGCCCACCACTTTGCCCGTCACGTCCGCCACCTGCGGCTGCCAGTTGGTCTTTTCCGACAGCACCCAGTTTTTCCACGTAACAATCATGCCCTCGACAGCGTCGCCCAGCTGCAGAGGCGGCAGGGACGTAATATCGGCCGGCAGTGGCGGCAGCTCTTCGTCCTCGGCGACGACCGTCTCTTCCGACGTTTCTACACCAGCCTCTTCGTTCTGTTCGTCATCGTCAGAGTCGCCATCCGAGCTGCTGCTGCTGCTGCTGCTGCCGGAATCATCCTGAAAACTGCCATCACTGTCATCGTCACTGTCGTCATCACTGTCGGACGCGTCGGACGAAGTGTCACTTTCCGCGGCCGGCGCAGCGCGTTTCTTGGGCCGTGGCTCGTCTGCCGCTGCCGCAACGCTGACCTGCTTCCGCTTGGTGCCTGCATTGACGTGCTGCTGCTGGCCTTTTTGGCCTTTTTTGGCTTTGCCATTGTTCTTCGTATTGCCGTGCCACTGCTGGACAAAGGGAAACGTCGGAGCGTCGAGCGCAAAGTTCTCGTCGCTGCACTCGACCGCCGTATAGTTGATCCGCGATGCCCAGTGGTCGGGGTGGCCTTCAGGGAGGGTGCGTGGAGGCGCCTTTTCGTTTCCTTGTTCCTTTTCATTCTCTTTCACTGTCGCTTTCCCGGTCGACGGGGACGACAATAGCACCTCCGTCGTGGGCTTTGGCGCAGCCTTTCCACCCCGGAGGCCGAGGGCAGACGCGATAAGCCGCTGGCCGGCACTCATGTCAAGTCGTAGACGGCGGGCCAGTGGTGACGGCGTTTCTGTCGAAGACGTCGTCTCTGCCAGGCGTCCTGTAGCAGGTTCAGCAGGCTCAGCAAGCACTGCTGTCCCAGACGCCTCTTGTGCCTTGATCTTGTCCAGAGCACGCTTGGCTCGTCGGCGTGCATTTCGCTTCTTGGTTCGTGCTTTGCCCTGGTGCGGTGCAACGATGTTGGCTGCGCTCTGTTTACTCGATATCTCGGGGGGCTTGTCGTCGCCGCTGTCGTCGCTGCTGTCACTGCTGTCACTGCTGTCACTGCCCGAGCCCGCATCCTCAAAGTCGTCGTCGTCGTCGTCGTCGTCGCTACTGTCGTCATCTGCACCGTTCGTAGTATCGCGTGTGGCAAAATGCACCCGTCTTGGTGCTTGGGCCACATCGTCTCGCAGATTTTGCAGCTCGTCTTTGTCCAGTTCTTCGTCCAGCTCCTCGTCCACGTCGTCCTCATCTTCGCTGGACGATGTGCCGCTGTGCTCCTCGTTGGAAATGTACCTGACAAGTTGTTTACCCCGCTCATCTTCCTCGTCCTCCTCGTCTTCATCCTCTTGCTGCTCCCCATCGTCCGGGATGCCGCTGCCAAGAGGTCGTCTGCGTTTCCGGGGTGCAATCTCAACCGGTGGCCGGTGTGGACGCTTGAGCAGTGGTCGCCCAAACGGCACACCATCCACCAACCGGCGCCCGTCCGACGATATTTGGTGACGGCCACCCATGCGGCGGATCTTGAGGTCGTCGGACGACAGCGGACGGATGAAGACTTCGTCGTCGCGGTCAAAGAGCTTCGCAACGAGCTGGTAGTGCAGGCACTCGAAGCGGGACGCCGACGTCGTAGACTGAAGCTCCACCACATAGTCATCCAACCCCCAGTCGGTGCTCTCGAGTGGCACAGTCTCGTTGACCTGCTCGAGAAGCTTCGTCACGGTCGTGTCGTCGGTGGCCGCCAACAGAAAAACGACGCGCGTGTCGGGCAGGCCATTGCGCTGGATGTGGAGCCGCAGCCGCAGCGGTCGGTCGATCATCGTTGCAACAAGCGGCAGCGAGCAGGGAACTGGCTATTAAACTGTCCTCTTGCTGTCGAAAAGGAAAAGTCGGGAGGTCAAACGCGTGCAAAATGTAGTACAGCCAGTGAAGGAAAACGGATTTGTGTGCTAGTTCACAGCGTGTCATTGGGCAGTTTAAAAGTGGGGCACCAAACTGACAGCCTTGTCGGGCTGGCCAGCAGGACCGTCCAAGCAGCCGAATGGCGTAGTGAAGCGGATTTGTACGGCACGTCCCCTTGTAGCGAAGACAATAAAACTCATGAATTGATTGTATATACATTCCTATGCATCTGTTCTCCTATGCTATACTATAATATGGTGCCCGAGTCGAGCAAATGGCCCATTTTCTGAATCTACGACAGTTAGTAACGAGGATCGAAGAAAAAGGCAAATCTTGGTACGACGTATTCGCACTCACCTTTGTACTGAGATAACCGTCTACTTCCCGGCTGCGGAAACCGCCCTCGCCACGCCACGACAGCGGCACCATGGGCACGCGCTCCTTGACAACGACCTCGCGGTTGGGGCCTTCGACGGCACGGATCTTGTCGGGGTTGTTGGTCAGCAAACGAATGGCTGGCTGGCCCAGGTCGACAAGCATGGCCGTGGCCAGGCCGTAGCTGCGGGCGTCGGCCGGGTGGCGCAGCAACAAGTTGGCCTCGACGGTGTCGGACCCCAGGTCCTGCAGGTTGTACGCCTTGAGCTTCTCGCCCAGTCCGATGCCACGGCCCTCCTGGCGCAGATAGATGATGATGCCGCCGGCTTTGTTCGCGGGCAGCGCCATGAGGCGGGCGGCCTCGTCGAGCTGCTCACCGCAGTCACAGCGCGCCGACCAGACGGTCTCGCCGGTGTAGCACTCGCTGTGCACGCGGACGAGAGGGGCTGTCGGGGTCGCCGGGGTGGCCGGGGTAGCCGCCTCCGTGGGCGTGCCTGCGGCCGACATGCCGCTCTCTGTCCGACCTGGGAACAGCACACCTGTGTAGGCACCCCGTGTCATGCGGTCGCGCTCTGTCTCGCCCGGTCGCGGGGCATCCAAGCTCTTGCTGCGAATGTGCTCGCCAAAGACAATGGCCAAGTGCTCCTTGTTGTCCACGTCGTTGGTGTAGAGGTGCAAGAACATTTGCGCGCCATTGACCGTGGGAATGCGGGCGCGCACAATGCACTCAACGTGGGGCAGGGTCTCGAGCAGGCGGGGGCGTTTTGAGCCACATCCGCCGGAGTCGACGGTGCTGTCCACCGGAACGCCACGCGGCTCGGACTCTGACGCTGCAGCCCCGGCTCCGCTCCTCTGTGCGCCTGCGCCTGCGCCTGCACCTGCACCTGCACCTGCGCTTGTGCTAGTGGGCGTGCCGGGGGCAGGGGGTGTAAAGGCGGGCGAGACCAGCGAGGGCAGCTCGGGCTCTGCGAGGCGGCCTAGAGGGATCTGAGGAATCTTGGGTGGTTGGGAAGACTGTGCCTCCGGCTGCGGTCGTGACATCTCTGCATCAGGCCGTGACCGAGGCTGTGACTGGGGTGGTGGTATGGAAAGAGAAAAGTCTTGGATCTCTTGGTCGGGCGCCGCATTGGCAGCAGCCGTCCGTGGCGAGTAGAAAGACGGTAGCGGTGCCGGCCCTAGCCCTTGTCCTTGACCTTGTCCTTGACCTTGTCCTTGCCATTGAGCCGCGCCGTCTGCCCCGGCCGGCGTTGGAATCGTCGAGGCAGGCATGATGCGCGTGAATTGCGGATGGGGGATGTGGTCCGTGGTGGTCAAGCAGTTGTGTCTAGTAGTTGTGAGACCGGTGCCAAGAAAAGTAAAATGGAAGAACGTGGAAGGCCGGCGTTGGGAAGTACCGAGGAAGAAACAAGTCGAGGGCCCAGGTGGACTTCGTCCGCGGAGATAAGAATATTAATGTGTCTCTGCCAATGCCAATGCCAATGCCAATGCCCCTTTGCCAATGCCAAATGTAAAGAAAGTGTAAACTGAAATTGGAGAGAGACAACAGAACCAACGACAGAAACGATGAGCAAGCAAAGCGGGCCAGCGCTCAAGAGCCGGCTGGCCGTTCTAAGATCTTCTAGCCCCAGTGGCAGGCCGCAGTCGACTCGCACAAAAGGACGAAAGGCGGAATGGGATACTGTCGTAATAGGCGCGAAGGAATGGTCAAAGTCTGTAAGCCAGCGACTGCCCGCCACGAGGAACGGACGGACCAAGGGCTTACTTAAGCCGTGATGTCACTAGCGAGGCGGTGGCACAGCGCATTTTTATCACGTGTAAATTCGTCCGTTCGGCTGGGCGGGTTGGCGGCGCTCTGCGGGGCAATCTGGGCATTCGGAGAGTGTTCGGAGTGCTGCAGATTTTCAATTAGCAATGCTTGGTAAAAAGGGCATACGAAGTACATGCGGGGACTACATTGCATCTGGGTGAGTAAGACAGTATGCAGGCTTGCAGGGTCGTCCTCCTTGGCCATCTTGGCAGCAAGCAACACATAGCTTGCGAGAATTTGTGCACGAGGTATTTATGCCGCAAACAAGTTCGCGATGTAATTACTTACGGAAGTCGACATGAATATTGAGGCATAAACCGGATGAAGGGACTATTAGATGATAAATGTAAAAAAATCGAAAACGTTGAAATGGATTACAAGTAAAAAAAAAAAAAAAAAAAAAAAAAAAAAAAAAAGTAAGAGCATAACAATAATTCTATTTTTCGTTACATTTTTTTAAGAAAAAAATTAAAACAGTAAAGATGAACACTTGTATGTTCAACACAATAACTCCAAGACACATAAACACAACTGACTATCATAATCATCAAACACACATCGCACATAACATGCCACCCATGTGAGGCAGGTTGACGTAGTCACACAGTCAGTCACACCTCCACAGGATCCCGCGACGCCATCCATCTGCTAAAGTCGTCGATGCCCATCAAACTGCTCAGAAAGATGCGACTGAAATCGTCAATGTCCTCGGCGCGGGCCTCGGCCAGCAACTGGTCGAAATTGCCGATGCGCGCCAAAAAGAAGCGGTTCGCGCGCCAGGCACGGGCAAAGTCGAGCGGGCAGCTGGCATGCCACAGCGACGCCGAAATGGTCCAGTAGCGGTTGAGGTACTTGCGCTCGTCGCACGTGCGCAGCGGCGAGCCGACAACGACGCTGTAGAGGTGCATAAAGTACAGGGAAATCAAGAATGTGCGGCGCGCCGACTCCATGAGGACCCACGAGTCCCAAAACGCGTGGGCCGACAATACCAGGGCAGCCTCATCGGGGGCGTCCTGCAGAGCGTCAAACGTGATAAAGGACAGCAAGCGGCGGGCGGCGCGCCGCAGAAGAGGCTGTGTATTTTCGACGGTGGCGCGCGCGTTGATGTCCGTGTCGAAGATGCCGATAATGTTGTACAGCAGCAGCGCCTGGGTCTTGGCGATGCACTCCAAAGGGCTCGTGGGCTCGGGTGCCGCCAGCAGGTCGTGCAGGCGGCGGTCAATGGTGCGCAGCACAACGGACGTGTTGACGCTGTTCTTGGCCTGGTAGAGCGCACAGCTCGACAGAGCGTCCTCCATGGCTCGCGGCATGCCGTCGCGGTACAGCCGTGGGTGGCTCCAGGGCAGGCGGTTCTCAAGCACGAACAGGCGCGGCGCGTCGCGGATAATGTCCATGGCATGGCCGAGGTGCGATGCGATAATACGCGAGACATAGTTCCAGTCGGCTGCGGCAAGCGGCGCCGACAGGGGCAGAGGTGGTGCTGGTATCAGGCTGAGTTGACCACCGGCGACGTTGTCGGTGTGGTCGGCCTTGTCGGCATCATGAATGCTGACGTCGTGAGCGTGGGAGACAAAGTCAAAGACGGTTGCGGTGTCAACATAGGCTTGTGATAGACTGTGGAACGGCGAGGCTGTCGAACCACAGCTCGGTGGCTCTGCAGTGTCTAGCAGAAGGTCACAGGGCTGCAAGGGCAGAAAGGTGTATGCGCCATCGCTGGTCGTCGACGACTTCGTGGCCGTCTGGCCTTGCTGTGCCGGGCTCGGATCGGGTTGTCGGACGGGATAGAGACACTCGACACCGCGCCGGCGGCAGCGCACACATGCCGGCAGTGTGTTGTCGCAGCGCCTCTTGGCCTTGGTGCAGGCCAGGCACGAGCGTCGACGCGACGGCGGGCAAGCCCGTTCCAGCGAGGAGAGTGAGGGCATTGTGGGAGACGGGAGGAGGGATGAAATGCGTCGAGCTGTACGACGTGGATGCCCATTAAGGAGAGGGACAAAACATGCCTGCTACCGTAGTCGCCATGGTCTTGGACGGCAAGATCACGTAGGAGAAGACGGTCGGAGACTTGTCTGGACCTCTGGATTACTTGGCTCATTGGTTTCTGGCTCCCTGGGTCAGATCGAGCTGGCGGAGTTCCGCCCGCTAGCTGGCAGAAACAGGCGCCACAGACGAGTGGGCGGCGACGGAAGGCTGTGATACGCCAAGATTTGTGGGTCTCTGACTCTGGCCGTGGCCGGCCCTGGGACGGCAGGAGCACACCTGGCGGAATTCCACCGAATGCAAAGGCAGCGGGCATGGAGCGGGCATGGAGCGAAAGAACGTGAAATTAATGACAGAAAAGAAGGAAGGAGGTGATTCTAAGAGATATTTACTTGTATTTATACGTACGGTGCGCCACTCTCCAAAAATGCTTTCAGAGTGTTGTATTCAGCAGAGTAACCCCTATGAACTCCACTTTAAACTACGACTACGTTTCGACTTACACGCAATAGCGCCTTTCGTGCACCAATAGTGCATTACCACCACACATCGCAGCAACATCGCAGCAACATCATCAAAATGTCCGAGACTGTCTTCGTCGCTGGCATCACAGGCTGCCAGGGCGGCGCTGTAGCCCACCACGCTCTGAAGAAGGGCTGGACCGTTCATGGCCTGGCTCGCAACGTCGATGCCCCAGCTGCCAAGGCTTTGGTGGACCAAGGAGTGCGGCTCTTCCCCGGCGATTACGACAACACGGCCGCCCTGGAAGAGGCCATGACCGGCTGCACGGCCGTCTTCATCGCCCTTGTGCCCCAGTTCCGCGACCTGCCCGCCGAAGTCCGCTGGACAAAGTCGATTTTGTCCATTGCGAAGGCTGCCGGCGTGCAGACGGCTGTCGCGTCGACGGGCGTGGGCTCAGGGCATCCTGAACGCCAACCTGGGTGGAAGGAGAACTCCGTCTTTGCCCGGGTCATGCTGTCCAAGAAAGACATCGAAGAGGCCGTCGAGGCGGCCGGCTTGCCCAACTGGACCATCCTGCGCCCCGGCTTCTTTATGGCCAACTTTATGGTGCCCAAGGTCGCCATGTACCCTGGCTTCCGCGAGACTGGTGTCTGGACCACTGCGTTGCTCGCCACATCCCGTCTGCCGCTGGTCGACGACTTGGATATTGGTGCTTTTGCTGTCGCTGCCGTAGCTGAACCTAGCAAGTTTGGCGGCAAAAAGATCGAAATTGGCTTCGATGTGCGAACACCCGCTGAGATTGTCCAGGTTTTGTCTGCTGCCACAGGCCGGCCGCTGGAGGCGGCGTTCTTGGAAGGCGAGGCACTTGAGGCAGCCAAGGCGTCCAATCCGTTGATTGACGGCTACTTTGCCATGCGCAGCATGATTGATCTCGTTGATATCGATGCTGTCAAGGCCTATGGCATCCCCATGGGCTCGTTTGACGCGTATGTGCAGCGTCGTATCGAAGACGTCAAAACGACGTTTCTGTGAGGTTGGCGGATAGGGGGGCAAAACGAATGAATTGCCGGTACTAGATAGACATGTCTGAGGCGTGCCAGTGCTTTTTGGGTGTATCTGTTTGTCCTGATCCAAAAAATTGAGACACAGTTGTCGGTCGTGGACTTGCCACCGGCAGCTGTTGTTAGCAAAGTAGAGGATATTGTGGTATACGGCTCTTGTCTCTCGTGATGCTGTCTCATCTACCGTGTTTACGTCGCACAAGATTGCTTTGCAGATACGGAGAGTCTCATTAAACGTTGTGTGAATGCAGGTTGCTTCAGTCAGTGCCGTATGCCGCGCGCCATGGTAAAAATTACTCATCATCGCGACCAAGATCCTAAATGGAAGGTACAGACCACAATTCACGGCCACACGTGCCTGCCTCAAACGAACTTTGTTTATTCACCTCCGAACCAGAACCTAATTGTCACTCACCTTCTCGAACGCACCTTCCTCAACCGCACCTTCCTCAAACGCGCCTTCCTCAAACGCACCTTCTTCAAACGCGCCTCCCCCAACAGATACAAAAACCTCACAGCTTTGCCAGTGTCACGAAATTTTTCTTTCCCATTTCTTACGCACTTCCTTTTTCTTGTTCTCCCTTCTGCTGAGCTATCACGGCTTTTTGGGCTTTTCGCTCTGCACTTGCTTCCTCCAATTTACATTCTCGCATAGATATTTACGTACAACAGGTAAGTTACTCTTTGCATCTCATCGACAAGAACTGCGCTTTTCCATTACCCATGACGTGATGCATCACGGGTCTCCTGCACTTGGCGAACCCAAAAGAAAGACAACATTAGGAGAGAAGGACGACAAACCCCATCAATGTGTTGCACTTGTCTGCCGTCCCAATACTGACGCTAATTTCTTTATACTGTGTTCGCCAGTGCCAACCACTAGCGTGACGATATGCCTCGCAGACGCCAAAATCGGAGGGGCAGCCAGCGCCGCCAGCGCAGCCAGCGCAACCAACCTGCGTCCGTACCTCCTCGGCCGGACGAAAACATCCCGCCTTCCCAGGTCGACAATCAAGGTTCCAGCCTGGGCCGCCGATCTCCCAGCCATCAATCAAGTGCCGCGATCGGACCCAACGCCATACAAGCGGAGGCCGTCTTCGTCAAGACAGACAACCCCACCACAGGTTCGACGATGGCCGGTCCAGCTGACGCTCCTACACTGACCCCGGCTCCGGCCCTGCATGGCTTCACAGAGCCTCCCGAAGCTGAAAAACGCTACTATTTTACCGGTTTGTCAGGCCGCCCCCGTCTCGTTGCTCGAACGAGTCGTACTCCATATATCCACGACCACATTTGGGATGGTCCCCGCAAGAGTTTAGCCACCATCGGCGAGCACACGCTGGTGAAAACATGGTCCAACGATATACGCAGCGCAATAATCGCAGCGTTGGAGCATGCCCACGTCGACTGGGACTATTTCGTCCCGCTCCGCGTCGGAGAACAGCCCAGGAACAGCCCCGTCGTCCTGTTAGTTGGCCTGCGTGCCAGGACGGACCGCACGTGGCAGGATGCATTGCAGGCGGCGCTTCAATGCCGGGCGATCATCCAAGACCATGGAGTGCTCGATGTTGAGGTTGAGATGATGCAAAGCTACATTCAACCAAGAGCATCCGAGGCGTCCCATAACCTAGCCAGCTCGATTCAGTGGAAGTACTCGCAAGGTATTGGCCCGCGGTCCAGAGTGAACCTTTCTCTCGCTGGCATCAACGCAATCGTTCAGCCGCTGTTGCCATACCCAGGTCACGCCATCGAACAGGAAAACGAGAGAGAGAAAGATGTGCAGCCGCAAAAGGGCACAATGGGCCTATTCTTCCGCTTAGTCGGCCCACCTGCAGAGTTGACTTCCTCCCAACCCCTCGAACCGGTCGTGTATGGCCTTACGAGCCGACACGTGGCGATTGGTCACCACCTACTTCCTCACCAAACTGTCAAACCCGATGCGAATCTGCCGCCAATTCAAATCCTGAGCAGCTGTCCTCATCGTCTCTCGGACGCATTCTCTCGCTTCAATGACCTTCGGATCCAAATCAAGCAAGACTGCCGTGAAACCGAACAAGACGTCTCCGATGACCCAACAAACGAACATGCCGTCGAGCTGCTTATGCTGCAACTAGAGGCGCCAAGATACATTGCCGACCTACGCGCCACGCTCAGCAACATGGATATGCTCGATGCCCAGCAGCGTCTCATTGGCCCGGTGGCCTACTCGCCGTGCCACCACACGGGCAGCCATGGACAGTGGGTCGATTGGGCCCTTGTGAGGATTGCCAAAGCTGGTGTTGAGAACAAGGTGTGTGTTCGCGATCAACTGGCTTCGGCAAGCTTGGTAACAGTACAAGGCCTCCTGGAATCCGCCCCTCAGTACAGTCATGTCGAGTTCCACGAAATCAATGTCAAGGAGGGTCCTGACGACAAGGGGTTTCTGCGCCTTCATGGCCGTGACATACCTGCGCAGCCGCCATTTGATGCGAGTGGAACCGGGCGGACGTCGCACGTCGTGGGCAAGATGGGGGCCAAGACGGGCCTCACATTCGGCCTCACCAACGAGATCGAAGCGGTCCGTCGCGTCCCATTTGAAACACAGGTCGGTGGGCCTGTTGTTGCGTTCCAATTGATCGTGCTGGGCATCGACGGCGGGGCGTTTTCGAGGCCAGGCGACTCGGGATCCTGCGTGTTTGACACCACAGGCCGCGTCGTGGGCATTGTTGATGCAGGAGTCGGCTCGGCTAGTGCCACTCGCTATTGGAGGAAGCATATGCGTGGCGGCGATGGCGGCGATGGCGATGGGCAGACCAACCTTCCCGACGTCGACGCCGTGCCCGACCAGAGCAGACCACCGACGGGATTCTCCACATGGGGCCGGCAGTCGACTGATGACAGCGCCCCCGAAATTGACGTCACTTTTGTCACCCCCATCCAGTGGGTGATGGATGACATTCGGAAGTTGACGGGGAGCGAACCTGAGATCATCTAGGATTTGGGAGACGACACGGGGCAGAGAGGTGGGCAAGGAATAATGCGGGTGGCACGGCACGAACTAGGAAAGAAAAGCAAACGTCGAAATGGCACAAAGGATCACTAGGTGTTGCAATGTATCTGAGTAGAAACAGGGAACTCCAATCCCAATTAGGAGAATGCGTGAACGAGAATAAATGAAATACCATTCGAAAACCCATAACGTACGTTTTGCCCTTTCACCTCCCATCGCCTTCGTCCTCCCTGCCGCGGATTACGGCCATATGCTCGTGACAAACGAGTCGACATATGGGTAGTCGGCGGCCATGCCCATGATGACGCTGAACTCGTCGCGGAGCAGGTCCGAGCCCTCGTTGGCATAGGCAGGGAACCGGCTGAGCTCGTGCCGCCGCAGCGCGACATTCCATGGGAAGCTGGAGTGGGCCACGCCCATGAAGGCGCTCGCCTTGAACATGACCATAAAGTCCACCAGCGCCTGCTGGTCAAAGGTCATGGCGGCCAGGCGGCGCCGGTCGTCGGCCGACAGCAGGTCTTGCTTGGTCACGACGCCGACGCTGCGCACGCGCGCGGCCGGGTCGGCGGCGATGCGCTTTTCGAGATACGCGGCAAACAGCTGCACGACGGTCTGGTTGCCCGAGGCGACGTAGACGGTTTGCAGGCCGGTCCGCTGTATGTTGCGGTACTGCTCGTCGAACTGGTCGCGCATGCGCGAGAAGCGCCACTGGTCCGGCGGCCAGGCCCAGATGGCGTCCGACTCGAGGCGCAGGTGCGCGCCGTAGTAGGCGCCCGTGTTGATGGCGACGGCCGGGTCGATGGGCAGCGCGAAGCGCGTGCGCAGGGCGTACAGCACCTGGGCGGCCAGCTCGCGCGTGTCGTTGCGGAACGACAAAATCTTGCCAAACTCGTGGACAAAGGCGTCGCCGTCGTCGCGCACGGGGTACTCGAGGAACGACTGCTCCATCTGGATGTGCACCGGGCGGTCGGCGCGCAGCTGGATGTGCTGGCCGGCGAGCCAGGCGTCAAAGTCGTGGCGCCACGCACGCGGGTGGCGGAGACCCGTGCGCGGGTGGTCGGGCTCGAACTGGTCGCCCAGCAGCGGCAGCGGCGGTCCCTGGCGCTGGCGGGTGTAGTACGGCACGTCTTCGACGCGGTCATAGAGGCGCATCTGGGGGCAGCCCGCCGCGAGATGCTTCTTGAAGGTGGCGCGCTCCAGCAGGTAGTCGAGCGGCAGCTCGGTGGCCGTTTCAATGTCCTTGAGGTCGTTCTTGTTGCGCACGGCCATGGACGGGACGACGAGCGCGCCGCCGCCATGGATGGCGTAGCGGATGCACTTGAGCATCTGGTTGCGCAGCATGCCGATGCCGCCATGCTGGCCCTCGCAGGTGAAGACCAGCCCTGGTCGGAAGGGCGTCCGGGAGCAGACCTCTTGGATGGGCCCGTAGTCGATGGGCGCTGGGAACTCGACGGCCATGGCCTGCCGGACGAAAGCGGCCTCGCTGAGGGGATTGAGTGGTGATGTCGGCGAGACGGACCCAGAGAGGACAGCAAGGACGGCATCGCGGAAGCCAAAGAGACGGAAACTCCAAGCGAAGAAGAAGGCAAGGGTCAGGGGAATGATGATCGCCAAGCGTTCTCGTACGTCCTTGGCAATCATTGTGGGGGAGAGCAGCTGTGGTGAGAGGAGGCGAAGACAATGGAGAGTGGGAGAGTGGGACAGTGGGAGAGAGGAGAGTCGGCAAGGAACCGGACAGTAGAGAGAAGAGAAGGCGAAGACCAGCGCAAAGAGAGGGGAAAGTAAGATCAGATGAAGAGAAACGAAGAGGCAACACAGAGCCGAGGGGAATGGGCGTGGTCAGCGTGGTCATGAAGACAGAGGAAGAAGGAAGAAATGAAGACAACGGCGATGGCAGCAAGTCAATTGCTGCTCCATGTCATGCTGGTCAAAGCGACAAGATTAGACGAAAGAACGGAAGGAGAGACGACAGCCGAGAAACACAAACGTAATAAAATTAAGCAAAGTAAGATACGACAAGCATGGAAATAAAGAAGAGCAATCGAGGACATCGAGTGGAAGAGGCGGCGAATGGACCTGGAGACGAGGACGTGCCGTGGTCTTGGCGGCCGTGTTAGTGGACCTGGCGAGTCGCCCAAAGTCAACAGCCCCCCGTTTCAGCATTGTTTCAACGGAGTAGGGACGCAACGCTCGCACGCCCATCTTGAGCTTACGGTAACTGTGACAATGGACAATGCGTCCAATGTGTTGGAGCAACATATACCACCATTTGGCTGTGCACACGGTGCAATTGGCGAAAATGGGCAGGGGAGGAGAGAATTTTTTTTTTTTTTTTTTTTTTTTGTCCTCGTGTGCTCCCTGGGTTGCACTCGACTCAGATCACGTCTACCTCTGCTTTGTCACTACCGCCGTGCTCTCATTGCTTATTTGCCTGCTCTACTAGTTCCTCTTTGTCGCAGTGTATTCTATCTCCTCTCAATGGTTCTGCTTGCCGACATCGACGTCTCCATCCCGCTTCAGAACGGCACCGTTGCGCGACCACCGCTTCGATGCCGTCGCAGTGCGCGTCTGTGTCTGCGCCAGAACACGCGGCGACAGCGACACAGCCTTGCCGTTGGCGTCGACGGTGAACACAAACTCGTCGAGCGCCACGCCGCCGTACACCAGCTGCGACACCACTTCCCAGGCGATGCACCTGGCTGAAAAGGGGCCGGCGTCGAGCGGTGCGGGCAGCACTTGAAACGTGGCGCGCCATCCAACCTCTGCCTCGTTTTTGTTGTTCTTGCAGCTGCTGTCCGCCGAGGCCCGCGTCAGACCGCTCGGGTACAGGTTCATGACGACCTTTTGCGACAGCGACGCGTTGGTGCTTATGCCCTCGAGCTGCCCCAGCAGATCCAGCACGGAAAGCCCACCGTACATCCATTCCGTCACGGCCAGGCCGGGCTCGCTGCCGTCGGCGACGACCGTGAAGCTCGAATTGGTGGCCGTGTCAGCGTATCGGCCGGCGTAGTTGGCGGCGGCCTCGGCCCGCGCAGCAGCGCGGATCTGGGGAACCCAGGTGCTGGCCAGAACGTCCGACACGATGCGCACGGTGTTGGTGGTGTCGGTGCCGGCGCTCAGCACGTTGAAGCCCAGCCCCAGCTCCGGCAGCAGCGCGACCATGGACGAGTAGAGGCCCAGGTCGCCGGCCTTGGTGTACATCCAGCTAACGGGCGCGCCGGGGCTGTCGGGCGCGCGCATAATCTCCCAGGGCGCACCGACGGCGGCGTTGGGATCGGCGAGGAACGAGTGCGGCTTGAGCCAGCGCCGTGTCTGCACGGGCGACAGCTGCGCCGATCGGAGCATGGCAATGCCAACCTTGCGCATGTCGTCCAGCGTACTATAAAACCCGCCGGCAACGGTCTCGTCCAGGGCGTCGGCGTTCCACCAGCTGTATGTGGCGTTGTACGGGATCATGGCATGGCCGGTGACGTCCTCTGGCGGCACGGTGTAGTAGGTGCCGGTGAGGTTGAGCGGCTGCACGAGATGCTTGTCGAAGAGGTCCGGCATCGACGAGCCGGTGATGTTCTCGAGGGCGTATCCCAGAATCTGGAAGGCGGCGTTGGAATAGGCCGGCGACACGTACGACGCGAAGACGGGCCGCTGCTGGGAAAAGTCCTCGAAAAAGGCCGTGCGGTTGCACGGAATCATGAGCCGGTCGTCCCCGCACGTCGACTGGTTGAAGCCACCCGCGTTGTACACGCCAGCCGAGCCAAGAAGCGCCTGGAGCTGGGCGCTGTAGGCGGCATCGCGGGCAATGCCGCCCAGTTGGCTGGCCAGAGATCCGACAGTCACAGACGACCAGTCCACGTGGTCCAGCGAGTCGGTCGTGTCGCCGTCCGCCGCCACCAAGGCCGCGAGCTCCGGAACATAGTCTGTAATAGGGTCGCTCCACGAGCGGTCACCGGCCGCAATCAAGAAGACGTAGACGGTCCACAGCTTCGACACACTGCCCAGACGGAAGACCGTATCGGTGGCAATGTCGGTCACGCCCACGGTGTGTGCAGCCACCAGTCCGGGCGGGTTGTAGCGGAAGGTGAACAGCGGCTCGCCCGATGCCACTGAGTAGACCTGGGCAGCAAAGGCCGTCGTGTTGGACTCGTACTGGCCGTATGGGAGGAGCCCGTTGGATGCGGCCAGGACCTGCAGCTCGGTGCTGTTGATGGCGTCCTTGACGTAGCTGCTGCCCACGGTTTCCAGTTGGGACGGCGCCGGCTGGCCGACGTAAAGCAGAGGACACGGCGTGCGGGTCAATGCAGCATAGGCCGACGGAGCCAGGGCAGCCAAGCTCGCGATTGAGGCGAGCGATAGCATGGCGAGAACGGAGATGCAGGAAAGTGTATAGCAGACAAGGAGACGGGAAGAACGTGGTGAGGGGAGAGGCGAGCTGCAAACAAAGCTTGGCTGTTCAGATGAGACGGGCAATTGAAACAATGGATGTGATTCTAGGAAGAAGCAACGCTCTTTATATGCAAGGCTGACAAGACCCCGACTCAAGAGAAGACAACAACGGACTGGATTTCACGTAAGAAAAAAACAACAAAGGAGCACTATACACATCCTAGTCAAAGCCAATAAAATGGACAAGGAGCAACACAAGCAAGCCAACGACTGGTGGTAGACAACATTGCGACGATCGCGGCCGTCTGATCCCATGATGTCAACACACAGCCCTGCCGGGCACCGGGCTGGCGTCTCCTTAATTTAGCAGCCACGGCCCCACAACGCGAGCGGGCCAACGGTAGTCGCCGTCTGCAATGCTCCGAGGCTCAAGAGGATCTGAGGCAAATCCTCGCCAAAAAGCTGCGGGTGGAAACATTAGAAATGGGCCTGCAACGATGCAACATCGTATGCTAAGGCCTTGGCAAAGGATTCAACCGAAGAACTCCATGTCTGTGCTGTTTGTCGTCTGTGGACAGTTTGTTCGTGGCTTGGGAGAGCTTCACTCCTTCGTTCTTGGCTTTCGCTAGAGTGAGACGGATGCATGGGGGCTGATGGGCGTGTGGCCCCATAATGCGAGCCGACCAATTATAGTACACAGATGCATGAAAAGTGGACTTCCTCTTCTTCATCGTTGCCTTGCCGTGCCACGCTTATGTCCGAATCCCGCTTTGTTGACTGGCGCGATGCAAAAGTTTAATTGACTTCCTATCCGCTCACAAGAGGTATATCGCAGCAGTCAGAGAGACGCACATCCCCCCACCCCCCGTATTCGGTCACGCTGAGCGGCTTTCAACCTTCTATACACGCAGCGGAGGTTATGGCGCCCCAAGCCAAGACAGCACAAGGAAGGGGAGATACCCGCGTGGTCCATAGGCGGCTGGGCGCGCGAAAGGACAGAACGGGCTGCATCACCTGCAAGTGAGTGTCTGATGAGGTTGCGGTGTCCGTTTCTTGCTTTGATACGCCATGCGCCATGCCTATGCCCATGCGACTGACAGTCTAGGATCCGGCGGGTCAAATGTGGTGAAGAGAAGCCGGCGTGCAAGCGATGCACGTCAACGGGCCGAACGTGCGATGGCTATGCGCCAGCCATGACAATGGCACCGACGCCCAGGCAGCACGTGTCACCGGTTCATCCCCTGCAGCGCACGCCAGGACCGTTGCTTTGTGCTCGGCCGCGGCACTTGGTTGCTGGTGGCGCGCCGGTGGCCAGCCAGCAGGAACATGCTGCCTTTCAGTTCTTTACGCACACGGGCGTGTCGTCGCTGGCCAGCTGCACCGACATTGACTTTTGGACCCGCCTCGTTCCGCAACTGGCCCACGCCGATGCAGCCATCTATCACGCGTCGGTGGCCGTCGGCGCGCTGCTGATGGGTGCCCACGATGCCGTGGCGGGCCGGGCATTCCGCGCACAACTCACAGCGTTTGCCATTGAGCGGCAGAACCGGGCCATCCAGAGCACGGTGCGCGGCCTGGACGCACACCGCCGACGGCCGGCGGAGGCCGACGTCATGACATTGGTTCTGCTCTTCTGCATCGAGGCGCTCCAAGGCCGCGAGCACCAGGCCCTGACGCTGTGCCAACGCGGCATCCTGGCCCTGGCCACGGCGCACACGATGCACGCGATGCCCGCCGGCTTGGCTGCCCTGCTCGACCGCATCCGACTGCAGTGCCGCATGTTCAACGCGGGCAGCGCCGTCGACGAGTCGCCGCGGCTCAAGCAGGCCATGGCGCGGCTGCTGGCTGGCCCCCCACGGGCCCCGTTCGCCTCGCTCGACGCAGCACGCGACGAGCAGGCCGTCCTCATTGCCGGCGTGCAGCACATGGTTGCCGCTCGCTGGGGCGGCCTGAGCGACGGGTCGACGGATGCTGGAAAGAGCGGAAAGAATGGCGTCCAGAGTCCGGCCCTGGATGCGGCTCTTCTTGGCTGGCGAGCCCGCTTTGACCGCTACTGGGCCTCGCCCCATGCATGTGCCCGCACACCAGAACCGGGCACGGAACGCGTGGCGTCGTTGCTTCGCCTGCGCTATCTAATCGCGCGCGTCTGGATGGCCGACGGTCCCGACCGCAGCGAGATGGCGTACGACGACCATGTGGAGGTCTTTGCGGGCATTGCGGCGGAAGCGGAGCGTTGTTTGGGCGTTTGCGGGCAGGCCGATCCAGTTGAGCAAATCCCCCCAATGCACGCAAAGCCCACGCCGTTTACGTTTGAGATGGGCCTCATTCCGCCACTCTATTGGGCGCTGCTCCGGTGCCGCCAGCCACTGCTGCGCCGACGCCTCCTCGCGCTCCTCCGACAGGCACCTGCCCAGGAAGGCCTCTGGAGCCGGGACATTATGGTCCAGGTGGCCAGGGCGGTCATGGCCTATGAGGAAGCTTCCCTGGGACTGGGGCCCGGCGTATGGGACGAAGCGCGAGATGCGCGAGATGCGCTGCTGCAACGACTGCCGGCCGAGGAGGCGCGCATCAAGGTTGTTCGCATCGGCCTACGCACAACTCTCGCCAACGGACGACAAGGCGACGCGGTCGAGTGCTTCGGGATGCCCTATGGGAGAGAAGGCGGCCTTCAAGACGTGTTGGCGTTTTCTGTATTTTGTGATCCGGACCAGTGACCGACCCTGACAAGCGCACTTAACAACAATGTGTCGCCATTGAAGCAATACATATGGATCGTCCATTGTCATCGCAGCATCCACGTCTGAGACCGAAGCCGCCGAAGGGCGACCGCGATCGATGTGCGGCCCGAACGCACCCCGTGTCCTCGTGCATTTTCGCACTGTTCCACCTGTCCAGGGCATCCGATCGATTGTTACAAGAACATCGAAATAAGCCGTCGTCCCGGTGCCTCCAGCAAAACAGGTACCGGGCGTCTATGCCGTTACGTTATGCGGGATCCAATCGGGATCCAATCGGAACCAAATCGGAATCGGAATCGGAATGGCAAGCAAATGGGACTCGCTGCCTCGGTCGCGTGTTCAACCAGAAGAGCTACTCCACGTGCTAGCGTATTCTCCATTCCGAGCCTTCCTTGACGTCAGGCCCTCTTCAGACCCTCATTGGCGCCTTGGTTGTCCTTTATGGGCCGGCGGGTGCCGTGTTTCGATGCCGGCAGTTTTTCTGGGGATGTTGCAGACAAGGTTTTGCGGGGGACCACAATTTGGCAATGGAGAATGTGGGGAGGCGTTGGTGGTAGGAGGGTAGGACGAAGCCAGTGTCACGGCGTACAGAATACAGCACTGTGGTGTGTTGATTGTATTCTGCGGGGCACCACATGCAACTACAGCACTGTGTTTTCAGCTTTGACAAATCGCGCCACTTGTATTCGACAACCGTTGGGGAGCACAAAGGCACAATGCACAAAAGTTGGACAACGTCTCCAAAATCACCACGGCCTTTATCGCGGCCCCGGCACAGCACAGACGGGACTTGAAATCGGCAACAATCTGTACGCGCCGCTGCCCGTCTGGACTCTCTTAAAATACAGTCTCCTCACCAACTACTCTGTGTGTCCAGCCATTGCAAACCAGGAAAGACTTGCGCAAGATATTCGACAGCCTCGACTCGACAGCCTCGCCGACCACTCCACCACATCACACTTTGCACTTCACACGACAGCACCCCCCCATCATGACACTCGTCAACCAGCTGCTGTCGCCGTATGGCGCCGCTCTGCTGGCCGTGGCCGTGCTGGCCTACTACCTCGTGCCCTACTTCACCACCTACGGCGCCCTGCGGGGGCTGCCCGCGCCCTTTCCGGCCCAGTTCTCCGACCTGTGGCTGCTGTCGACGGCGCGCCGCGGCCGTCGGTACCAGCTTGTCGACGCGGCGCACGAGAAACTGGGCCCCGTCGTGCGCATTGCGCCCAACCACGTCAGCATCAACGACGACCAGGCCATCCAGGTCATCTACGGCCACGGCAACGGCTACCTCAAGTCGTCCTTCTACGACGCCTTTGTCAGCATCCGCCGCGGCCTGTTCAACACGCGCGACCGCGCCGAGCACACCCGCAAGCGCAAGGTCGTCTCGCACACCTTCTCGGCCAAGTCGGTGCTGCAGTTCGAGCCGCACGTCCACGAGAACCTGCGCCTCTTTGTCCAGCAGTGGGACCGCCTCATCCAGACGTCCGGCCGCGGCGACCAGACGGCCCGCCTGGACTGCCTGACCTGGTTCAACTTTCTGGCCTTTGACATCATCGGCGACCTGGCCTTTGGCGCGCCCTTTGGCATGCTCGCGGCCGGCGCCGACCTCGCCGAGATCCGCGGCCGCCCCGACGAGCCGCCCACCTATGCGCCCGCCATCCAGATCCTCAACCGCCGCGGCGAGGTGTCCGCCGCGCTCGGCTGCCTGCCCGAGCTCAAGCCGTTTGCCAGGTACCTGCCCGACCCCTTTTTCCGCCGCGGCCTGGCCGCCGTCGAGAGCCTGGCCGGCATTGCCGTCGCCCGCGTCAAGGCGCGCCTCGACAACCCGCCGTCCATTGACCGCAAGGACCTGCTCGAGCACCTCATGCACGGCAAGGACGGCCACGGCAACCTGCTCGGCCGCGAGGAGCTGACCGCCGAGGCCCTGACCCAGCTGATTGCCGGCAGCGACACCACTTCCAACTCGTCCTGCGCCCTGCTGTTCCACGTCGTGCGCACCCCGGGCGTGCTCGCCAAGCTGGCGGCCGAGATCGACGCCGCCGTGCCTGACGGCGTCGACGTCCCCGCCTACGACATGGTCAAGGACCTGCCCTACCTGCAGGCCGTCCTCGACGAGACCCTGCGCCACCACTCCACGTCGGGCATCGGCCTGCCGCGCCAGATCCCCCACGGCGCCCAAGGCCTGCACCTGCACGGCCACTACTTCCCGCCCGGCACCGTCCTGAGCGTGCCCACCTACTCGGTGCACCACGCCAAGGCCATCTGGGGCCCCGACGCCGACGCGTTTCGCCCCGAGCGCTGGGCGTCCGTCACGCCGCGCCAGAAGAACGCCTTCATCCCCTTTAGCTACGGCCCGCGCTCGTGCGTCGGCCGCAACGTCGCCGAGATGGAGATGAAGCTCATCGTGGCCACCTGGGTGCGCCGCTACCGCGTCGCGCTGCTCCAGGACCGCATGGAGACGCGCGAGGGCTTCCTGCGCAAGCCCGTCGACCTCTGGATTAGCATTGCCCGGAGATAGTCGCGGAGACCATGGCAGCAGGACTCGCCATAGGAGGTTCTGCATTGACACGTATCATGTACATTTATGAATATCGCCATCCTACTGTCCTGTTGTATCTTTGTATGCTGGCAAAAAAAAAATTGATAGAACGACAGGATATTACAATGACTTCAGACTGCAATACGCCAGCCGATGCAAAAAGGCTGCGAACCGCCACATTGCCATATCCGATGTAGAAATGAGGCAGACAGTCGCGTTGAACCAGACATCTGCCCGTTGACGCCGAGGGAGGCAGAGAAGACACACGCTTCGTGTCGCATCATCTGAGCATGCAAATCACGACGCAGACATCCTGGGTCGCCGGTCCTCCCCACAGGGCCAGGCTATGTGACCAGGGCGAGACGAGAAGACGATGGAAACAATCAGAAACAAACGCATGTTTTAGCCTGTCGATATCGGGCACTGCCGAGAAGTGGATTCGTGTGGAGTTCACACCTGCTCGGAGGACGCTGACGCGCACCGCCAGTTGACTTTGCGGGGTCATTTGGTGGTCTTGGGTTGGAGAAGGCCTCGCCTCATCGACTTGGCGAGACTGAGCCACAGCAAAAACAACCACACGGCGACCGCCATGGACTTGCTTCTCGTCCCCCCCGATGCTACTCTGTCACGACAACGAGCACGGTACGTGTGCACAGAGCAGTGGGATGGCGGCGCTTTCTTCACGTATGCGAGGCGCCAAGGCCGCATGCGAACCATCCCGGCGCGGCTCCGACAGTATACAACGCCCACGTCCGCGTCCACCAGCGATGTCGACCTGCGTGGCGAGGATGAGTTTACCGAGCCGGTCTGGCAGACACCACAGGCCGAGCAGGAGGCCTTCTTGCAGACGTGGCTCTTCTTTGGTCTCTTGGCGGAGTTCTTTGGCCTCAACGAAGACGGCAGCGGAGAACGTCTCGTCGACGCGGACACCGCACAAACGGAGATTGCGGCCCTCTACAAGGATTACGTCCAAGACGCCACCGACGAGAGTGGCACAAGGTCAAATTACCTCACAGGTGCGCCGATGCTGCTGGCCAAGGACGCGCCGCTTCGGATCGTTGCCCGGCTGCGTCTTGCCGGCCCCAACATCGAGCAGCGTGTCCAGCATCTCCACCGGTGCCTGACCTTTAGCTGCTCTCTGCTCCACGGCGCCATCCACGCGGCGTTTGACCCGGCTCTCAAGACGTCCATTGCTGCCCTGGGCGAGCTTCTCTCCACCGGCTTTGCCACGGCCTGCGCCCTGCAACGAATCCCTCGCGCCGGCGTGAGCTTTAGCTTTGCCTGGGCCGATCGCTACCTGGAACCGCACAGCACGCTGGAACAGCACATGCTCGCGCGCGGATGGTGCATCAGCGACGTCGAAAGGATCCGCTCGACCCACCAGGGCCTGGGCACGCGGCACTACCTGAGCCATATGCGCACGCGCGGGCCTGCGCGCGACCACAGCTCGTGCTCCAAAGACGGCTGTGTCGCCTTTCAAATTGACGCGTCTACCTACCGGCCGTCCCACGCACAGAGTGAATGTGCCTGCCGACTGCAGTTCGTTGACGCCGCGGCCGTGTTGCGTGTCCTGCAGGAGACGGCCGTGTATCCCGTATTGCACATGCAAAAACATCCAGGTGCCGACGGCGAGAGCGCGGCGGCGGCTGTGGTGGAGCCGTACGCGGAAGGCATGCCGTATGTTGCCATATCACACGTACGTCCAGAGGGAGGGTCGGCCATCCTGTCTTATTGTTGCACCGGCTGATCGTGACCGTCTCGCGCAGGTTTGGGCCCATGGCATGGGCAACCCAACCGCAAATGCTCTCCCGGCATGCCAGATTGCAAAAGTAGCAACGCTTGTGTCACAACTGCAGACGGCAACGTCTTCCGCGAACGAGGCAGTGCCAGACAATGCATCTGGGCCCACCTACCGTGTCTGGATCGACACCCTGCTCTGTCCCATACAGCCAGGCGGAAAGAAGCTCGCGCTGCAGCGCATCCCCGATGTCTACCGCAACGCCACACACGTCCTTGTCCTCGATGCGTCGCTCATGCAATATTCTGCCGACGACCTGTTGCCGGAAGAGATTCTGCTTCGTATATTCAGCTCGTCCGCCTGGATGCGGCGTTTGTGGACTCTGCAGGGTGAGCTGTGGCCCGTCCCGCCCCTGTGCTTTGTGATTCTGTGCGGTGACACGTACGTTTGTCTGACTTTGTACAGAGGGCGCCCTGGCCCAGTCTTTGTACTTTCAGTTCGCCGACCATGCCGTTGCCCCAGCAGACGCGCTGGCGAAACTGTACGCAAAGGGCCTGGCGGACGCCCGGTACATGCGGATCTGGCAAGACATGTCCACCGAGCATGTGCACCTCCGCGGCTGGTTCCGGTCCATCGACGACCAAGAAAGCGCCTCGACACTGAGCCTCGTCAACCTGCAGCGGGCCCTCCACTTCCGCACCGTGTCCAACCCGGCAGACGAGCCCCTGTGCATCGCGACACTGCTGTCCCTCGACCAGACGTACGTCATGGCCGCATCCCATGTGCAGGACCGCATGGCCCGTGTTTGGGCGCTCGTCGCTGAGAAACTCGGTGGCTCGGTACCTGCACGCGTACTGTTCTCGTCGGACGAGACACTCGACATACCCGGCTGGCGGTGGGCGCCTCGCAGTCTACTGGGAGCCAGCCACGCCGCCAATGGCCCCGTCATGGACGTCCATCACCGCATTATGCGGTTCCGCGACTGGCGGTCGGGCGACACCGTATCTGACAATACGACGACGAGCACTTCTGACACCGGCACACCAACACCATGGGGTCTCCGTGTTCAAATGGGAGGCTACATGCTAAGATCGGTTCCCTTGCTGCCGGACTTGCCTCTTCACCCCTGGGAATGCGTGGCAGGCTCCCGCGAGGACTTTATATATGTGAAGCACGAAGCGTCGGGTCGGTGGCTCCGTCTTATGGACGTGTACCGCATGGAGATGGCCCGGACATGGTCGGCAGAAGAGCGGCGCCTGTACGACGCCAAGGCCGACAACCGACTGTGTCGCCTCATCGACGGCGGTCGACAAGCACTGCTGTGTGATGTACACTTGCACGAGGGACATGCGCATCCCACTCTCATGGTCCAATTGGAACATGCATGGGACCAGCAGAGCGGGACGCGCACCGACGAAGAAAAGTATGGGACGCGACACACCCTACGAGCACGGCGCGAACGGATGGTCATCCTCGAGTGGGCGAGCCCTGCCCATGCTGTTGTTGCAGATGGTCTTAAAGAGCTTGCCCTGCAAGTTGCCAACAGCGACGCTACGACGCAATTTCTAGACGACATGGCCAATGCCACAGACTGGAACCAAGGTCGACGGGCTTTGGAAACAGTACAAGAGGTTATGAAGGCAGCTATGGCAGCAAAGTGGACGTCGGATCCGGCCTTTGTGGACGCTGTGTGGGACTCGCGCGGGCCCAATATGGAAGACGTGCTCTGGGCAGAGATTCCGATGCGCTTTTCCCATAGGATTGTCTGCGATGACGTCTCCGCGTCGCAAGTCTGGTTGGTTGACTAAGAGACTGCAATGTGTATATATGAACCCAAACAGACTGAGGTTGAACGGCAACTATGTACATGTGCACTCCGGTGCTGCCACTGGTTTTGTTCCAAAACGCCCCATGCTTCGAGCAGCATTGCAAGCGTCATTGTCTCGCCATTCAAGCAGTCGCGGCGGCGGCGGCGGCGGCACAGCCACTGGTCGTCACGCAGCTGCAGACCGTGGACACGGCGCTGAGAACCTGCAGGCCCGTGGCGAGGCCGCAGTCCGCCACGACGCAGCCAAGTGCGGCATTCTGAATGGCAGCCGACTGCGCGCACTGGCACGCGTAGCCGCCGTCGGTGCAGCCGGCATTGGTCACGGCGGCCGACAGAATGCAGCCAGACGCACACGACGGGACCGCAGCAATGGCTGCCGTGCAGGGGCTGCAAGGCGGCGGTGTCACCTGGGCCTGGGCCACGGCGAGAAGAGCGACGAACGAGAGCGTGTAGAGCATTGTACCTGCTGGACTGGTAATGTTTTTTGCTTGGTGTTCTGTGGGTGCAGTGTCAGTAGTTACAGTAGTTGGTACATACAAAGACCAAGTGTTTGAGCTTGCCTTTTGGTTTTGGAATGTTGGAGTGTTGGAATTGTTGAGGAATGTCTATCGTTTCCTTTCCTGTGTCCACGAGACGTTGAGGCCATATTTATATAGCCTTTTTCTGATATGCGACGCTCGTTGGCCAATTTCTTTCAATGCCGGCCAGTGGTCAATACATCTAACCACCGCGTCTGCTGCTCGGCAATGACCACACTTTCCATGTGAAAGGGGACTTGCTGCCCGTTGATTGGCAATCACCGCATTGAGGTACGACTCGCGGTCATGACTCGACTGCATCAGGTGTGGGGAATGCAACCTGGGGTAATGCAACTGCTGCTGTTACAATATGAGAGGGGTTTATTCAGTCCCTTGCTGGACGTCCCCGAGTATGGATAACGCATTCTATAGTCTTGTGTATTATTTTTTCTACTATGAGCGGCGACACATACTTGTCCACAAACCACTTATTAGATACTGCGTTGGCATGCATTTCGTCGCATCATGGAGGGCTCTTGCAGCATTGTTTTAACCACAGACAACATGTGAAATCATATGACAATTTGTGGTCAAGAAGGAAATCGCCTCGGTGATGCCAAGCGGGAAATGATAGCGGGAAGGAAGAGGGGAAGGGAGGTTAGGACAGGAAATGCTCGGTGTTCGTGAGACAACTTGGGTCACATCACGAGGCTCCGTGCCATCGTAGGACCTTGAAAGCTACATGTGGCGGTACGTTATGCCTTCTATGGACGGCACCTCCTAGTGGGTGGCCCATAATCGCACAGGACGACTGTGCGCACTCCACTGTCCGCTCGAACGTGCTCTACAGGCGTTTGCCTGGTTTGTTCTTCTCGTTGTATGTCGCCTGGATTTGCAGTTCAGAACTCCTTTCTAGAAACAAAACTCTAGGAAACACGGAAACATGCGGCAAACACACGGTCACATACAATGAACACAATGAGCTAGAGCGTCTGTTAACGAGAGCTCATCACCCGGAGTACAACACCGGAGATGCTCATTGTCTGTGCAGATATACAGCGAAGCATTCCGGGCATCAAATATAATAATAAGCCGGCGATATAGCTGTGTTCGGCTAGCGCCGGTGGAACGCCGATGTGTGTTCGCGGGACTCTGCCTTGTCGCGTTAGGTCCGAACCGGCAGCTGTTGCTCGACCAATCTGAACATCATTAATGCGACGTTCTATGTGGTTCACTGGCCATCGTGATCCTTGGTAATAATGACTGGGCAGTCGAAAGAGCAAACAAAGAAATAAGTCGTTTTTGTCGCCATCTCGGCATCCATCCTGCGCTCTAACACGCCTTTTCGCCAGCAATCCTGCAGGTCATAGCCCTTACTATAACCACAGGAAGCATCAGTAAACGTGGACACGGCTCCCGACATGTTGCTAGACGCATTCTCATATCGTGGGTGCGTGAAAGAATGACCTAGTACTGTGAAAAGTTGCGTGATATGGTTCGGCGCCAGGAGCCAAACGATACAGTGAAGTTATTTTGGGAGGGCTTTCTCCATGGCCAGCCACGCTTTGCCCTGTGATAATCATGGCGTATGGGAATGATGTTTCTATTTCGCCCAAAAATAAAAAAAGGCTGTTTCCAGCGGCTCGCGTGATGCTGAGTCATTTCCCCGCAATACCTCCAATAGGGCACCCCCATGCCATGCATCCTGGGCAAGGACGAGGGGCAGGGCAATCACTTTCTCAAACAACGTCCCCTGCATCTTTACCTTTATGCTATATATTTCTTTAATCACTTAGACGCTACGGGAGAACGCTCTACAAACATGAACGACCCGGAATCGCCCATGTCAGACAACGAAACTTATGATGCCAACTTGGCGGAAGCCCACGTCCAGCTCCTCGAAGACAAGCCAGTGTCGAAAGAGGAGTCCAGGTCCGCCAGAGAAGCGACGTTGAAGTTGAAACAAAGAATCCGAGAAAAGAAAATTCAAATGGGGCGCCCCGTCTCGCCAGATGTCGAAACTTTGAGACAAGGCAACGTTGTCGAAGACGATGCGACCTTAATCCACGAGTTTCACGGCAAATTGATAACTCTCCACCCCGGCAACATCGTGAGAAAGTCCAGCCGTGCCATTGGCTTGCATGAGGCCGATGCCCTGCGCGTGGCCTCGGAGGCAGGATTGCCAGCACCTCGCTCCCACGGCACCAACGTCACGCCCGACGGACGAAACCAAATCTTCATGAGCTACATCGAAGGCCAGACACTGTCTGCTATCTGGACAGAACTCTCAACCGAAGAGAAGCGATCGTATGCCAAGCAGCTACAGCAGATTCTCAAAGCAATGCGAGCCGTTCCCCCGCCGGCTGACGGATACATTGGCTCCTGTGACGGCAAAATGATACGCGAAGCCCGCATGTATATGTCATATCGTGCACCGGCCTGCTACGGTGAAGAGCAATTCAACCATCACCTCATAGCCAGCGTCCACCCGGAACTGCCACAGGCAATAGTCAAGGCGCTGGCTGGCAGATTGGAAAAGATGCCGAAGCATCGTGTTGTTTTGACGCATTGTGACTTGGCACCGAGGAACATAATGGTAAAGGACGGGAAGATCACTGGCCTCGTCGATTGGGCGGATGCTGGGTGGTATCCGGAGTACTGGGAGTATGTCAAGTTCTTTCAGAGAAGGGCCGCGATGGAGAGGGACTGGCCAGCCTACTCCAGTGATATTTTCCCGTGCGAATATCCGGATGAACTTGTGGACTATATAGCTGTCTCTGCATACCACGCAATGTAGTTAATTGCGGCCTGGCATATAGCTGGGAAACAGTGGTATTTTATTTCATATCCTACTATAATCTTCAGGAGAACATTTCGTTGACAATAAGCCCAAAGTTAAACGCCCAAGACGGAGTCCAATTCGTTCTCAACCTTGATTGTCAGTCCTAGTTTACATTTGTTCCTCTTTATTATTAAAAATCCACCCGTAGTTGGAGCGATATCCTAACGTTAATGTACTACAGGGACAACGACAAAGAGAATCTTAACAATGCGTAGACGTAACGTATAACACATTTATACCGCTGTCTATGTTGACTGGCCCGATCTACAGAGCAACCACCACATAACAGTCTGTACTGTCCCCGTTAGTAACGGCGAAGCTTGTTACTTTATTAAAGACATCATCGGATCGTTCCGGTACGAAAAGAAAACCCAAATTATTTTTCACGTTGTTCTCATCTCGGGTTCAGGAGTTCCCTATCTCGTATTTAAATGTCGTTGATAGACAGTCATCACATGGAAACGACAACGCAACAGGGGAATACTTAAAGTACATAGTCTGGCTAAGGTTTTAGAGACAAAGTGTGTGGGAAATATTAGGGTAATACGAATGTCGCCGCTTTAGGTTTATTGGTTTCACAGTGAGATGTTCACTACAGCCAGGGATATCCTGCACGGCCTAGAACAACACATGGAAACAGTACGCCGACAACGGTTGGCGAGAGGTACATGTACATGCCTTATTTTAATTAAGTGTAAACATAAAGATGTTGAAATGGAAAGTTGACTTTCGTTAGGACAGCATGCTGAAATGAGGTTTCGGCGGCAGACAAAGAGCAGTAATGAAAAGGCAACGCGTGTTTCGCCGATGTATGAGCGCAGGAGAAAGAAAAGGGTACATTTCATGTTCCAATAACACGTCATATACACATGGCAAACAAGCGACCGTCATCTTGTAGGTAATAGTAGTTGTCACTTAACGTGTACTAAGAATAATTATACAGTTAACAGGTCTACGCATCTACTCGTAATAAGACAGAACACGTATTGCCAAAACAGATTAAATCCATGCTTATTAAAAAAAATTGAATCTGTTGTTGCGTGGTGTGATGCGTGGCGGGAAAGATAATAAACTAAAAATGAAATGAAAATAAACAGGAAAAACGCCAGAAATACCACGTGCAGAATCAAACTCGTCCCCCCAAGTCTGCTCTCAGCTACAAGTCCCGGCCGTCGCCAATTTCGTCTCGGGCCGTCACGGCGTTCCGTCCTCTTCCACAAACGTTCCTGGCATTGTACAGGGCCGGGGCACGTTTGGCTCAGGTTGTTTGACGGGGTTTCGTTGCTGAAACGCGTGTATTGTTTTGTCATTGCCGCGATTTGGCGGTGCGGCGGCGTGCTTGGGCTGCCGCGGCGGCCTCGCCAGCGGATACGGCCACGGCGAGGCAGCTCCTGGAGCTCGGACACGACGCAGGGTAGCACGGGTACGGAATGCAAAGTAGTCCCGGTTCGGAGCGGCGCCGGTAGCATTCGTGGCGGCTGTGGCAGCTGTGGTGGTAGTGGTGGTCGTGGCAGGGATCCCACCGGCCGCCGTTGCCCGAAGACGAGGCGACCGGCCAGGCGTGGCCGGACGGGCGCGGTACAACGGGTCTGGTGTCTGTGGAGTTCTTATCCCGTGGCGATGGGGGTTGGCAGTGCATTTCCCGCTGGTGGTGGTTTGACGGGCGTTGTTGGGACGGTGACGGTGTCGACGAGTGGGGCAATTGGGCCAATCTGACCGGGTTTGGTGCTGAGCCCGTCACCGTTGAAGCACTTGACGAGCATCTGGGCTGCCGTTGCCCTCTTGTCGGGATCCCGCCGGCCCATGGCGCTGATGGACGAAACGAGCGAGTTGGTGGCCGCGATATGAAGAACCGTCTTCCGGATACTCTCGTGCCTTGGCCGACTCCCATCGACAATGCCACGAAAGCCATCGACGTCCAACACCCACAGAATGGTCACAAACAATGACCAGATGTCCACTTGGGGAGTCTGCGGCTCTTCGTAAATGATTTCTGGTGCAATGTATCCCTGTGTGCCCACATGGGTCACAGCGACACGTGCTGAGTTGCAGAAGCCGAGATCGCCAAGGCAGAAATGGTATTTCCCGTCCGGTGTAGGATCGTAGAGAATGTTCTCTGGTTTCAGGTCCCGATGGATCAGTCCCTTCACGGCGAGATAGTCGAGAGCCTTCAACATGTGGTGCAGCGTTGTGGTGGCCAGTTCGTCACCAGACGATGCAGGACTTTGTGTGACGAGACTGTGAAGGGTACCCGTTTTTAGCGCCATGAAGATATGAGCGTCCGGTTGGTCTGAGCCTTGGAAACCCAAGAACTCAACGATGTGTTCCTGGAGAAACAAAAGAGACAAAAATCAGCCTGTGTACAGCGAAGAACAGTGAGTGGGTCTGCAGGAAGGCACTTACATGACTTAGCGAAGAGAGCGCCTGGATTTCTCGTTTTAGATATCGCCACTCCTGGGGGTGTTGAAGTCTCCCCACCTGCTTGATGGTTTTGACAGCCAGCAGTTGCCCCGTGTCGACATTGACCGCCTTGCTAACTTCACCAAATGCACCAGAGCCGAGCTTTTCGCCAATCTTCTGAAAGCGAATTGTATCCGGCGAAGGACCGCCAGGCGTGTGGATTCGGGTCAGCATACCTGTGGGCAGGGCGGTGTCACGGAGCAAGTCCAGTGTCCGGGCAAGCCGCGGATTCGGCTGTAGCATGGCCGATGTTCGTTGCTGAAGCGCCGCGGTGTCGTCGGGCCACACGATGGAAAATTGGTACTTATCACTCCGTATGCCGCCGATGCCAAAGGTCGTATTCATGTCTGGCATTACAACAACCTTGCGAGGACGTCCGAATTCAAACGGAAAGGCGTCGTTGCCCACCGTCTGGGTGGTCTGGCTGTTGGATCTGTCGTACAACATGACAATGCCGGTGTCGGCATCGAGCTCGAACGAGCAATGCACTCTCGAGATGTTCCCGTCTGGGATGTAAATATCACCATCGCGGCCGATGGTGGCTAAAACAGTGGGATTCCCGGTTTTGGACGCAACGTGCCCGATTCCAAAGACATTCGGTTCCCACAGAAGATGCTTGTTTGAATCGTCCTCGGCCACCGCAAAAGCAGCACCATTCAGCGGCTCCAAAAAGAACAAGGCCAGTGATTGAGGCATGACTGCTGTTGCGCACTTGGCAAATGAGAAAATGAAGTTAGGAAGAGAGAACAGAAAATGTCAGGAAGCTGGCTTCAGGAAATAATAAATGAGGTCGATGCCGACGACGACACGACGGAACAGTCTTGTGGTGTCATATTTCTGGACCATTCTGCCTTTCTTGACCAGCAGCCCCTTTCTCTCCACCCCCGAAAATAAAGGTCGCCAAAGAAGCTGTGACAACCAATCGTTTAGGGATGTTGGGAGTCATGCCAAACAACAAAGACTCCAGCGCGTCCGATGGATTGTATGAAACAGTGAAGCCGCCGGGCTGAAGATGCACGGTGACAGTGTTTCCAGAGTGGGACTTGGAGCGGGTCTGGCCAATCGACGTGGAACTAATGCCTAAATATATTCCTGGTTCAGCGGCTACAGATGCACGCAGCTATTTATAAACAGAAATACCCTGGTCACGACGCGTCAAGCGGTCTCCCTGCTAGGATAAAAATATGGGTGTGCACTGTTCGTGACCAAGAAATCATTGTGAAAAAGTGTAAAGTTGTTGACTCTAGTAGTGAGCAAACTATGAGATCTTAGTTTCTTCGAAAAGACAAGACGAAAAGCCTCTAAGCTTCAAAGCGGAGAGCCCGTAACACCCGCGCCTGGGCCCAGGGGTTCCCGGTACACGCTAGGCTGTTTCCGGACACGCGTGCTCGCCGCTCCTTTCTTTATTTCTTTACCAGCGGATCTGAGCTGTCGCTGTTCGCATTCCCTTCGTTCCCAGATACCGCCCACCGCCCGCATACGTCCCTCGTTTTCTCACTTCCTCCTCCCCTCTCTCGGTCGATGTCTCGACAGTATTGCATACGTCGCCTCACAATACGCAACGAAAGTCGCAAAGAAATCTGCCGCGGCCAACTCGCTCAACATGCTGGGCCTTCACAGAGCCGACGCGGCACTTCGTGCGCTCATCAATGACCCAGACCGCCTCGACAGCGAACGCGACGCCCGCTTCGACCAGTCGCCGCCGCCCTACCAGGAGCGCGAATCGCTCCCGTCGACACTCCCCCCTGAGTCACCTCCCGAGGAGGACGAACAGCACAAACGAATCAGTGACTGGTTTATGCGCATTTTGAGGGGGTGGGGGGCGTCGATGCCCACCAACCAGTTTCGGCATGAGGTCCAAGCAGAACGCAGAAAACTTATGGAGCCAGGAGACGATGTGCACCTCTACTGGGACACGTCGAATGTGGCCCGGGAGACAGTAAAGGCGCGGTGGCAGGCCTGGGGCATATGGGAGCCTCACTGGGAGGCCGAGCCGCACGGTCATTGGCGACACCAAACGCCGCTCTCGCCCGAGCCGCTCACCGATGTAGACACGGACGACGAGGACCACGAAGACGTCTACTACAGAGAAGCGACGAGGAGCAACCTGTTTGCCATCAAGAAGATGCCATCGCGGGTGCGCACCGGGTACGAACAGGAGGTGGCGGAATTGCGGCAGAGAGCGCGTATGGCCGAGCGACGCTACGAGCACGACCGCACCAGGCCCTTGCACGTATTCGTCTGCCATGTCGCGTACGAGGGCGAACGACTTTTCGACAGCGAGCAACAGCCAGAGCAAGAGCAAGAGCAAGAGCAAGCCGGGCGACCGGACGACACCCGCGTGGCCGTCGACATCCACACAGCCGCCTACCAGACGGTCAAAGCCCAGTGGTCGGAGCGTGGCATCTGGAATGACCAATGGGGCGTCCTGCCCGGCATGACATGGAAACACGAGGCGTCGCTACAGTCGGTCGTCTCCGACGAAATGGGCGACGCCGACATGGCTCAGCTCGAGCGCAACTTGTTCGACTACATGATGGATTGCAAGCCAAATCGCCCGCCGCCCCAGGCGAACCGAGGACGCCTTCGTCGGCGACGTCGGCGGGTCGTTGTGGAGGAGAAGGCGGTGGTGGAGCAAAAGCCGCTGGTCTTTATACCCGATGAACGGTTTCCGAATATCTTTGGTCCCCGTTTTGCTGCACCTCCTCCCGCAGTGCAAGCCACCGAGGACATAGAGGACCCAGAGGACGCCGATGACGCCGACGACGAGATCGGCGAGCCACTGACAGCGGCGGGCAAGCGGACAAGTCGGATAGCCGGCCGGCAGGCCAGGACCCAGGCCAGCAGACAGGCCAACGGGCAGATGGCCGAGGGACCAACTGCTGATGAGCAGACAGCCGACGGGCAGACAGCCGACAACGCCGCTGCGGGTCCCGCCGGTACTGGCCCACCACCAAGGGCGCTGCGGCGGCGGAGCAGCCGTATTAGGGAAAAGGAGCCAGCGGCAGCAGCTGTGACGACTGACACGCCCGGCACACGCAAGCGGAAACGGGATGTGGCAGATTCGGTGCCGCCAGGAGAAACAGCGACAAAGAAGAGAGCGGCAGGTGGCAAAAGGGGAAACAAGGGAAACAAAGGGAAGAAGGGAAAGAAGGGCCGAAAGGGGGGCTTGTAAGATAAAGGGCGGCGGTTTTGACACTCTTGCTTTCTTTGTTTTATTCTTCATATTCGCTTTCATAGTCACATATTTGTTGCAGCAGGAATTAAATCGACGACATTGAACCAAAGTTTTCGACTGACTGCTTGATGACGCCCTCACTTCGGCAATTGGCTGCATAAGAGACGAGGCCCGCGGTCGAAATGAGTGCACATACTTGGTAACGTCTCAGTAAAGGCCATCGAAAAATCCAGTGACGTGTGTAGACCGGCAGGCTAGACAGGTTACTCTTGGCTTTGGCTTTGGCTTTGGCTTGGTGCAAGGACTCTGTGCACTTGGTATAATTATTCCTTCTTTATGGATGGCTTTGACTGAATGCGGACTTCTCATGCCTCTTGAAACGAGATCCGCTGTGGGTGCAACGGCAGGCAGGGCCCCTCCACGTGCAGCACGGACAAACGCACAAAAAGACGGTGATGTCTGGGCCACCGACAAGAGAACTTGTGCGGATTTTATTTGAGCTGCACCTTGTTGGGACTACTCGCTACGAAAGCTGAACAATGCCGACATGAAATAATGTCAACGTGTATGAGGGGCGTGGTGATTGTATGCAATGATGGTACAAAAGATACGTTCGTGTAGGTTTCTATTTCAGACAATCGGTAGCGACTGGATTCCATGCCCCAAGAGGGCATGGTATTCTGTCATATAAATATCTAGCTAGCCTATGATTTTGATTGCTGGGTTTTATTTTTGTGCCCCCTTGTCTTTATTGCTTGTTTTTTTCGCGATGCTGGATCTTTTTTCTTTACTTTTATTTTAATCTTGGCTTGTACATCCTGGATCCTTATAGCGAGTGATTACAGTATGGAAATCAAATAAAGTTAATCTAAAATGACATACAAAGATTCAATCCAAGCTTGGATATTATGACAAGATACGCTGGTTTCATTCTAGTCATTTCGGTCATCTCGGTCATTCTGGGTTACACCGCCCGACACCTTCTTTACTCCGACGGTGTCAGCAGCCAGTCTACGCGCTGTTTCGTGTCCATTGGGGTTCGATCCCAGCCTGACGAGTACGGTCCGATAATCTCTGAGTGGTCCACGAGCACGCCGTTCTTCCAGTTGTGTGCCAGTGGTTGGCTACAGAAATCGAAGCCGGTTAGCCAGAGAAAATCGTTGACAGCCGACACCCGTTCACGGTGCTTTGCTTCTTTTGCTTCTTTTGCGGCCGTCGCGGCCGTCGCGGCCGTTGCAGCTTCTTCGGCCGGTTTAGTCTTCGCAGTGTCGGTACCGTGTTCCCCCTGCTCCTTTGCTTTTTTTGTTGCCGCAAGCCTTGACTGGCTCGTGCGGCTCCTGGTGTTGTAGCGACGTTCGACAGTGCCAGGTGACTCTTCTCCTGGCATCGCCTTCCGGCACGGCTTCCCTTGAGCATTGATGCCGTCCTTTGCGTCCTTTGTGTCCTTTGCGTCCTTTGCGTCCTCTGTGTCGGTGTTGTTGTCGCTGATATCGCTGTCGTCACTGCGTATGTACTCGTACACGATGCCGATAAAATCGGTGCGTTCCGAGTCGAAGTGGCGAAAATGGTTGTAGCGGGCTTTGAAGCCGCGCCTGCGTATCCGGGGCGGCATTTTGTCGAGAAGCTCGTGCACGTTGCAGCGCAGCCAGCCATAGCACTGGGCAAAGCGCGGCATGCTCATCACGGGAACTCGGTCAGGCTCGTTCGGATCCTTTGGCTTGTTTGCGACCGCGGGCAGTTGCCTCAGGTCCCGATACTCCTCTGAAAACGAGAAGAGATTTTCGGACGCAGTAAGAAAGTCCATTGGGTTTGGGTGGACCAAGGGAGGTCCGGTTTTGGTGCAGTCCATCGATACGCGCAGCAACTGAAGCAGGGCGGCATTCTGGCATTCGCGGTGGACAGCAGAGTACGCGGGAGACTCGACAATGGTATCGGGGATCCAAAACTGTTTATCGTCAGTGACGGAGGAAAGAGGCGGAAAGCGGAGAGACGCACCAGTTTCAGAGCAAACGGCCCCTGATCGCCAAAATGAACTCGGTAAACACAGCCGTCAACACCAGCCCCAAGCAGCCGGGCGCGTTGCCAGTCGACCGAGTCAATGTCAAACGGACACTTGCGCAAGCGCGGCACCATCAGATTTCGAATTATCGCCCGCGGCGTCGTGCTTGCGTCCATCAACTCGTCGCTCATGCACGGGTATCGCTTGACGAAGCGCCAGCGGCGCCCCGTTGTCATCGAGTCCGCGGTCGGTTTCATTGTAGCATATGTTAGCTTATGTAGACGGAAAGGTATATCGTGAGAGGCATTGACGACGAATGAAGAAGTTTATTACATAGACGAAGTGTAAAGTGTGGTGGTTGTGGACGTGTTGTTGTACTCCGTACGGGGGATTCGACAGGGCCCGCGCCTGGCCGCCGCCAGCCGCCAGGGCCTCTGCCAACTGTCAGGCAGCCGCAGACCCTCTCACTTGGCATTCGCCAGGAGTATCACAGTACTACATTCGTACGCACTCCCTTATTTGGCCACCAGCCTCCACGCCGCTTATTTCTAGGTGCCTTCTCCGTTAATTCACCAGGGAATCAACGGTGTTTCTACAACTAATAATGGAAGCCCATCCCTCTCGAGAGGCGAAAATGGTTAGATTTAGCACAACCTACAACCTATGTTTTGTCTGTGCTGATTCGTGGTTGTCTCTCTCTTAAGAAACCCATTATCCCTAGGCTTTCTGACAGCTTGTGCTTCACCTGCAAGTGACTCTAACAAATAAAAGCGAGCAGAGCACATACTTCTTTCCCTTGTCGACTCATTTCTCCATGACACAAGGGCTGGGTGGTAGGACCGTCATTTTCGTCGTGCATTTGATTTTGTCTTCGGGGTAGTCACCCCAGAACTAGGCTGTCAGTACAACAGAGCATTTCTTTGTAAGCGAGGAGGACGCAATACATTACCTGTGCCACATGTTGTCGGATGCTATGAGCGTTGCGCCCGGGCTGGATTTGTCCAACGACTCCTGGCTTGTCGGACTCTGTTCGTTTCGGGACAATCATGGGACGGCCGACAACGCATTCGAGGGTGAGCAGAGCGAATCCAAGCGCCTCTTTGGCGCCGACCGGGATACCGATCTCGGAGATGAGTGCAATCCGTGTATTTGGCAGCCGTTCACGCAGATAGTTGACAATGCTGGGGTTGTACGACCCGCCGCCGCCCATGTAGATCTCGTCGACACCGCCTTCCGGGCCCCAACGCTCGTAGGCGTCGGCCAGTGCCTGGGCGGTAATGCGGGTAATGGTTGCGACGCAATCGTCGGGGGTGGCGCCGGCTGTATACTGTCAGATCCTTTTCACGGATACACGGAACGTAAAAGACAAAACGAAAAAGAAAAAAAAACCCAAGCTCAAAGAAATAGAATTCAAGTCAACAACATATAAACAGGACCTACTCTTCATCATCTCATCACATATGTCCTCGGCCATGCGGTCACCAAATGTCTCGCGGCCGGTGGTCTTGGGAATGTCGTGCACAAAGTAGGGCCCTTGCAAGACGCGGTCGACAATCGCCTGGTCGACGCGGCCACGCGCACCCATTGCGCCGTCCCGGTCGTATTCCTGCGCGCCCTTGGTAAAGTAGCGTACAGCGGCGTCGATGAAGACGTTTCCAGGGCCCGTATCGAAATCATAGCAGCCCTCGACGTCGCCGCGCGGCAGCACCGAAAAGTTGGCAATGCCGCCAATGTTTTGCACGGCGCGGTTCAGCGTCGGATGGCCGCCCAGCAGGAGCGAGTCCAGCGCAGCAAACAGGGGGCAGCCCTGCCGGCCCAGCGCCATGTCGGAGACGCGAAAGTTGCCGAGCGTGGTGACGCCCGTCTTGGCGGCCACCACAGCCGGCTCGCCCATGTCCAGGTGCGCACGGACGGCGTCGGCAACGCCCTCGGCGGCGGCCAGCTCCGGCAGAGGCAGATGCCAGATGGTCTGGCCCTGTCCACCAATGAGGTCAACGTCGCTCGCGAGACTGAAGCCTTGGTCCTTTGCAAATCGCGCCGCGGCGTCGGCAATCACGTCGCCGAGCTGCACGTTCACAATGGCCAGCTCGGCCGGCGTCGTCTTGTTCTCCCGGATCAGCCGCAACACGCGCTGCTTGACGGCTGGCGGCATGTCGTACTCGCCGTAGTGCAGCAGCTGCATCTGGAGGGGCGCTTCCGGCCCGGCCTGCAAGAAATGCACGTGGACGAGGTCCACGCCGTCCATGGACGTGCCCATGTTATGGCCAATGACTTTCAGGGAGCTGGCAAGAGAGCGTCAGCGGTCAGCTACCTCGGTGGGGGTGGGACTTGAAGGAGTTAAAGAAAGGAGCTCAAGAAAAGTGCCAACCTACAGAGGACCTCCCCAGCGGTTGTCAGAAGTAGAACCCATCGTGGAGAATGTAGGCGGCTGCTGTATCAGGTTTGGAGAGGCTGCTTTTGGAGAGGCTGCTTTTGCAATACTCGGTTTTACTGCTTTCGCAGTAGTTGGCCACGAATAAGACTTTCCTGGCAATGGCCGGTAACTCTTGGTGTTGTGCGTTGTTCCCCTTTTGTTTTGGCTTTGAAAAAGTAGAGGCCATCATTTTATACTTGTTGTCCCTCTAGCAGAAAGGAAGGTAAGCGTATCTTCGAAGCTCTTGATGCTCAACATTTGCTCAATCTGCCAACGGGGCAAACTGCCTTCCGGGTGGCTTTCTTGCGTTCTAGATGCCAAAACGTGGTGGCCTTGTTCTTTAACAAAGAACGCACTCCGCATTCCGTACTTCTCCACCGAGTTCTCTTACTGTTCTAAATCAACAATCTTCAATGGGACAGCTGCCTTCCCCAAACAAGAGAGCTGCTACGAAATACGTCCCCCGCTCAAGCTTGAAACTAGTTCCAGATTCGGAGCAGACTGCCTTCCTGGCTGGGCTTGCAAACCCCGACGAGCCCGGCAGACCGGTTTCTGAACTAGACCCCTTCTCCACTTAGAGCAAGGATCGGCAGCGCTGGTATGCCAACCTGTAGATGTACGAAATATTTTATACATCTTTGTGGAGATGTTGCGGAAACAGCAACCCGAAAGTCGATGGCACACTGGACATGGCAGCTATTCCCGAAGCAGGGAAGTCAGACCCGAGCAGGGGCAAGGAAGTTGTTCGTCTACAATTCCCCTACCACTTTGTTGATACATTTCAACCCCAGAGAAGAAAAACGCGGAGAAGAAAAATCTGGAGTGAACATTGGCAGCAGGTCTGGCGGAAGAGAAGACAAAGAAGAAATCAATAGCCCTGCCCTTCTAATCGTCCACGCGCATCCCCGGTCGTTTCGTTTTTGGGACATTGTTCGCCAAGTCGCGTCCAAGGAAAACACTGGTCTCACTACGCGCTGGCCGGATGGGTGGCAGTCAGATTGTCTATATAAGATCGCCAACCCGGTCGTCAGACATACTTTGATTCTGCAATTCCAGTGGCCACGACCTCACTCTTTGCAACATTGCCATCTACTACACTTGCCAACATGCTGCCTCTGACACCGTATACTACGACCATGGGTCTCAGCGGCCTGAAGCTCAACCTGGCGGTAGCTTTCATTGCCACATGTGCCTTTTGGCTGTTTGGATACGACATGAGCGTCATGGTGAGACCGCATCCTGTCTTTTGCCCGCACGACGGACAGACATACTGACCCGCATCGTTTCCATCTCCCAGGGCGGCGTCATCACCGAAGAGCCATTTACGTCCGTCTTCCCTGAAATGAACGTGCCGTTGACACAGGGCATCGTGATTGCAGCCTTTGAGCTGGGTGCGCTCGTGGGCGCCCTGGCCTGCCTGGACGTGGGCGACCGTCTGGGACGCCGGAGCACGGTGTGGTTTGGAATGCTCTTCATGCTCGTCGGCGGCACCCTCCAGACGTCGGCGTGGCACGTGGCGCAGATGGTGACCGGCCGCGTCGTCAGCGGCATCGGCCTCGGTCTGCAGGTGGCCACCGTGCCGTCGTGGCAGGCGGAGTGCGCCAAGCCGCACAGCCGGGGCCGCTGGGTCATGATCGAGGGCGGTCTGCAGACGTTTGGCGTCGCGTGTGGACAGCTGATTGGGTGGGGCTTCTACTACGTGCGTGGACAGGCCCAGTGGCGCATTCCCGTCGGGATCCAGCTTGTCCCGGCTCTCATTGTCTTTGTGTTTATCAACTTCCTCCCCGAGTCGCCGCGGTGGCTCATCAAGCACGGCAAATTGGACGAGGTGCGTTGGCAATGTGACACCCGACTAACTGCATCCTACGACTTGTCCACCTAGCTGACTAGCTGACTCTTTCTTCTTTTCTCCCCCCCCCCCAGCATAGGCAACGTACAACCTTGCAAAGCTGCGCGGCCTGCGCGAGGACGATCCGGCGGTGCAGGACGAGCGCGCACACATTGTCGCCTCCTTCGAGGCACAGGCGAAGCTGGCCCCCTTTGCGTACCGTGAGCTGTGGCAAAACGGCCCGTCCAGGACGCTGTACCGCGTGGCCCTTGGCGTCTTTATCCAGTCGGCGCAGCAGCTGAGCGGCGTCAACTTGGTGTCGACGTATGCCAACAAGATCCTGCAGGAGTCGTTTGACCTCGACGCCGGCCTGGCCCACATGATTTCGGCCATGGGCGGCTTGGAATACGCGCTGTGCTCCCTGCTGTCCGTCCTGCTGATCGAGGGCCTCGGCCGCCGCCGCGCCTTTCTGTTCACCGCCGCGGGCATGGCCGTCTGCTTCTGCGTCATTGCGGGCCTGCAGAGCACGGCGGTGCGGGCCAACCAGCTGACCGCAGCCGGCTTGCTCTTCCTCTTCAACACCTTCTTTGGGCTGGCCTGGGTCGGCGGCCCGTTCTTGTACAGCGCCGAGATTGCGCCCCTGCGCTGCCGTGCCCAGGCCAACGCCCTGGCCAGCGCCGGCAACTGGCTGTTTTGCTTCATGGTCGTCATGATCATTCCGCCGGCCTTTGCCAACATTGGCTGGAAGACGGTAGGCCCGCTGTACCTGCCCGTACCTTGGTCGGCTCTCTTTTCGTTTCGGTTTTACTAACAACCTCGTTCTTGACAAAGTACATTATCTTTGCCATCCTCAACGCCCTGTTCGTCCCCATCATCTATTTCTTCCTCGTCGAAACCAAAAAGAGGAGCTTGGAGGAGCTCGTAAGTCACGTTGCGCATTGGAATAACCATGGAGCCAAATTGTGTTGTGCCAAGTTACTGACGAACAGGATGTTGTCTTTGCTGCCGGTGGCAACCCCGTCAAGAAGGAGAAGGCACTGCCCCATAACATTCCCATCGAGGAAGCGTGCCACATCTTTGGCCTGGTGAACGGAGTCGATGTGACCGAGGTGTCCCCTGAGGACAAGGCGTCGGTTTAAGAGAGGCTGAGCTTTGGGGTGTAGGTTACACAGCATCAACTGGTTCGTAAATAGCGTTTGAACGACAGAAGCATTTTAAATGTTACACAATTGGACAGTACTGTGATCAATTGACCCACGAGCTGGTGAACGCCAGGTCTGTTTTACTGTAGCTCCTAGGCGATTGCTGTTACGCAGAATTACGTATCTCCAGCTGGAATAGATACGAGAGATGAAAAGATGTGCATGAGAGGAGCTTGGGCGGATGGACAACTGAAGTTATATTCCTTCCGGACCCGTTGTAAATCGTACGTTCAACATTGGCCGTCGCACTTTAGACTATACGCGCCGATCAACCACACAACACGACCAAGGTGGTATATTTGTCACCATGCACTTGTGTTGAGCACTGCTTTTTCCTTTTCTCTTTTGGCATTGGTGTTAACTGTCCAAGATGGTCGCTAGCTTGATGGCAGGCTAAGCCACTTTGGCATTCGTCCCCGGTATTCTGCTCCGGTATTCTGCTAGCCTTGATTTTCCCCAGACCTCATCCATCTTTTGCCAAACCTCACTTGAATGACAAACTTATTTTCCTAGCAACCCTGGCGACGCGTGCACACTTGTCTTGTACGCTGCCACCACCACACCATGTCATCCTTCCCAACTGCCATATCAAAGTACATCCGTGGGCCCAGCTCACGGGCCAAACGAGGTGGGTTTCTGTCTTTCTTTCTTTGTTTCTGTACTTTGTGTTTTCTTCTCCCGTTTCCCAACTGACCGCCGAAGCTTGCAACCAATGCCGTGACAGCCACGTGCGCTGCGATGGCAGCCAGCCCTGCGCCTTCTGCAGGCAACGGAACACCCCGTGCTCGTTTCGGACGGAGCCACTGTTCACTGCCAACGAGTGGCACCCCGAGAGCCTTATGCTGCCACCCCTGTCGCCGTCACAACACACTCTGCCGGCTGCGATGTCAGGCTGTAAGTGGATATTGTCGGATCATGATGGATCAAGAAACGTCATTGTCGCCCCGACACTTTGCTCATACACCGTAGTTGACTGGGTCGACGAGACGGACAGCGTTGCCGACCTCTACAAACGCGTAGATGTCGACGCCGACGCGGATGCGAACCAAAACAGCCTCTCTTCGAAACTGTCGTTGAAACTGTCCGCTAAACTGCCATCCAAAATGCCATCACCCACACACCACCCACACACCACAGCCGGCCTGCCGGCGAGCATGCCTCTGCCGCGGCCCATCACCGACGTCACAGACGCTTTTTACATGTCGCGCTACGCCGAGTTCATTGGTCCACGCTTTGACCTCTTTGACGATGGCGCTCGCTATTTTTCCATCGAGGTACCTCTGATGGCCCTTCACAACCGTCTGCTGCGTCTCGCCTGCCTCGCGGCGGCCGCCGTCCAGTTGTCGCTGGAGACCGGCCGGGGCAAGCACAACGTGCTTGCCTACTACGACGAGGCGCTGCGTCTACTCTCTGCCCACCTCGATTGTCCGAGCTACGACCCGGCCGTCTTTGCGAGCTGTCTGCTCATCGCCCACTGTGAAATGGTGGAGAGCAAGACAGGCGACTGGCAGCTCCATCTGCGCGGCACCGGTGACCTCGTCGCCCTGCAAAAGTGGCACGGCCGCAGCGGCGGCTTGGCCGAGGCGGTACGTGATTCCTCCCCATTCCCCTCCTCATTGCGCAGCCGAGAACGTCCTGTTTCTGACTCCCCTTGCACGTGCGTCGATCTATGCATCCAGTGCTTCTGGATATATTGCCGCATGATGATCTTAGCATCACTCTCGTCCGCCCGCCCCACCCTCATCCCTCCGACAGAATGGCTCCCTGGCGGCGTCTTCGACGACCCGCAGCGCTGGACGCTCCACGCCTGGCAGAAAAAAGTTGTCTTCCTTTTGGGCAGCGTGCACCACTTTTGGTTCCGCAGCCGCCACGGCCAGACCATTGCGCCGCTGGAGTCGACGATGCGCCGCGCCTGGTCGGACCTCGGCGACCAGCTGCGCCGCCACGAGCAAGCGGCTCCGCCCGCCTGCACTCCTATCAGCGCAGTGCCCGCCACCGTGGACTGCCCGTTTGACCTGGTCCGCTACATCGCGGGCCCCATTTCCGCTGCCTGGCAGATGCTGCATACGGCGCACCTGCTCCATGCTCTCGCGGAGCCCCCCGGTACCGATACCGGTCCCGATACCGATACCAATCCCCGGAGCCGACGGGCTCTTCTGGCGTCACCACGTGTCGCCAACACGGCCCTCGCCCGGGCGCGCCAGGTCGTGAGCAACTCACTCGCCAACCGCAGTCTTGTGGCGTGGGCCAACGCTGTCCAGCTGCTTGGCGTCGCCGGCACGTGTCTTGTCAGCGACGCCGAGCGAGACGAGTGCATCACGGTCCTCGAACAGATGGAGACCCTGACGGGCTGGAACACGCGAACCACCGTCCAGCATCTTCAGCGCGCTTGGCTCGCCGGTGGAACGGACCTGGGCACGTTACTGTATAATGCATGGGCAAATGAAGGTGTGGGGACTGCAGGTAGATGATGAAGAAATAAAGAAATGAGGTATCGGACGTCGTTGTTCGTTGTAGTTGTACTGTCGTGGCAGATAAAACAGCACTTCATTGATTCGTACGTCGTTCCAAATGCAATTGCAAGTCTAGTATACTAATACAGTGGTATGTTCCGGTTGCAGATGTGCCGGTGGCAGATGTGCCGGTTGCAAAAAAACCCTACGCCGAGTCCCGTCCCCTATAGTCCGCAATTGTATCCTTTTTTCTTTTTCTCAACATGGTCTACGAGGCAAAACGGTCATACATCCTTGCCACGCACAAGGTTTCGTTCACTGCCTTCACGGCTCGTCTTCCCATCCCCATCGTCGAGAATCTCAAACGTGTGCTGTACGTAGATATCGCGGTCGTTGCTGCCCGACGGGTTGCGGCCGGTGCCGGACGCCGTGGCCTTGCGGTTGAAGGAATTCATGCCGAAAGCATCGCCACGCTGGCTGTTGGGGGCATAGCCGGTGCCTCGGCTTCTGTTGCCGCTGTTGCCAGAGGATCCGAGCAGCTTGGGTGCGATCCGGGACACGAACGGCTTGAGGGCTGGCGCAGACGCGCAGATGATGGCGACATTGATCTCGATGTTCTGCCTTGTTAGCGACTCCGGAAGACGGTCAAATGCAAACGTAGGTGGGCGTGGAAAACTTACGCTCCACATGGCGATATCGACACCGGCAACTGCGAGAAAGGACTGTTAGCAACAGACAAGGAAATAATTTATGTGATACAATAGTGGTCCACTTACATGTCGTGTCTGGAGAGACCGAGATGGACAAGAGAGAGCGGAGACGAATAATGGATGTGATGCAAACACTAGGAGGGAAGCATGATTAGCAGGTTGCCAGCACGCGACGAGAGAGAGGATGAATGTCTGGTGTGCCACGTACACTGTGCCAAAGGCGAAGATGACCATGAGAATGATCTTCTGGCGCTTGGGAATCTGAAGGCCCTTGATCAAGGGCATGGGGAGAAGAATAATGGCAATGTCGGTAGCAATGTTGATCGAGGCGTTGGAGAACCAGAAGGCGAGCTTGTTGAGGCAGTGGCCTTCACCCACGCCCCAGAAGTACTGGACGGGAACGCACATAAAGACCGAGCCGAAAAAGGCCCAGCAGCCGTAGATGCCCAGGAAGATGAGGAAAAAGAAGCAGATCCGCTGGACAATGGCCACAGCGAACACGTGCTTGTACTGGAAGATGATGGACAGCTTGCTGAAAATCAACGACAGATTGTAGACGGGGATCGTCGCCCAGAGGCACTGCGAGGCCGCCGGCGTCAGTACTGGTCCTGGTGCGGTCGGTGCGTTGGCGACATCGGGACATGGGCCTACCTGGAAGAACTTGACGAGGTGCTCCTCGGGAACGTCGCCGATGTGCTGGCCGAGGCCGTACCTGACCTCTGATGTGATGTCAGCACAGCACCGAGCAGAATGGGTCGTATGAACAAAATGCAGTGCACTTACGAAGCATCTCGACGGTAAGAAAGCCAATGGAAGCAGCCTGTCAATGGCGCATGTCAGCAACGCTGCAAAATGCTGATTGTGGGAAAGATCACCACATGTCATGGGTATGTTCGTGATCCTGATCGTGGGGCACCGATGCTACGATGTCGATGCAACGATGTCGACGCAACAAAGAGCCAACGAACGAAGCATTGTCCATCTGGCGAGGACCCGGGAACATCGAACATCGAGGGCGGTTGGAAAGCAATCGGACGGATAGGGATACAAACGCACCAAGGAAACAACAATCAAGTAGTCCTCAACGCTCACAAGCCGGACGATGTGGCTCCGCGTGTACAGGCGAAGAGCGACCACGAGAAAGCTCAGAGCCGCGAAGAAGTTGCTCGTAATCACGACGTGCTGGACAACCTGGGGGCCGAACATGTTGCCTGGATGGGGGGGGATCGGTCTTTGCGTGCTGTTTGGCCCCGGATCTGTGCAGCGCTGCTGTTGGAGATATTTGACGAGACGGAGAGAGTTCAGAAAGAGTGACGCTCGAGGACGGACTCGGAGACAAAAGGCGAAGGCGATGGTCGTCTCTAATACTCCTGATTCGAGAGGCAGCTAGCTGGTACGGAACCCGTTCCAACCTTCTGGATCTGGAAATCGCACTTGTTTGTAGTCTCTGTCCATACCACGATCTGAGCAGAGCCAAAAGTTTCGACGACCTGCAATCTGCGTTTCTTCACGTTAAATTATGTGCCTTTTCTTGGTCCTGCAGTACTAGATACCACCCATGGCAAGGAGGGGCGGAAACTTGAACGTTGGAGCCGATGGGCCCCTGTCAGAATCAAAGTGTACAAAGTACTTGTCAGATGCATTTCGTACTCTGCATGTTACAATACGGTTCCCAGGCCAGGCCCAACAATCAAACTGGCCCGGTCACGAAAAAGGGGGCTCGGGGGTGGGGGCGGACCTATCCTCATCCCCGATTGTTTTTGTCTTTCTGGGCGCTGTGCCAGTGTATTGTACACAATAAGATAGCATGCAAGTGACAGATCCAGTACAATGTACAATTCTGTGTACATATGCGGCAGGGGTAATTTTGTATACGGACAAAAGGCTTTACAAAATACGCCGTGTGGGCGACAACCGATTGGCAACGCTGGGCAGCTTACTTGGATACGACAATCATTTCTCAAGAAGGATGTAGGAGCGGGGGCCATATATGGGTCTTCACCAGGGTGCATTCAGGGGCCATCCCCAACTTGGTATCTTGCCAACTACACTCAAGACTTTGGGAGGGATTTAGACTGATAACGAGTGGGTACAATGTCAGGACTACCCTTGCCTCCAGGGGGAATAAAATCGGAAACAACAGAACACTTAACGCTATGAAGAGAGAGGGTCATAAAAAAGGTGATGTAGGGGCAAGTTCCAAGTCCAGAAGTCCAGAAGGCCAGACGACATTTTCGATTTAAAATCTGACTGCGCTATCCACGCAAGGCTATGACTGTTTTGGAACGCCTGCGACCGGTTCCTTGGCCAGTCAGAAATTTGCGATATTTTTCTTCCCGTCTTCAAAACAGGACAATTCTTTCCTGGGACTCCTCTCCATGGACACTTCGATCTTGGGCGTTGCGTCGATTTCCGTTTCCTTTTCCCACCGTCTCCATATCAGTTAACGATCTTCCAATCCGCTCAGCTTTATTTTATTTTATTTCCTTGCGGACGAGGTAAAAATTGCAAATATGCAGTTGCTACTCAATCCTTCAATACCCCTGAAGGTTGACCAAAGAGCCGAATCGCTACAATTGCCTTGCCTGCACGAATCCGGAGTGAAAATATCCTCGTGGGGTTGTACTTCGCAGTGCCTCCGGCGACCAGCTGAATGCATCTTCGTTGCCACACCTGCAAGTAGACTCGCCACGTTCCCGGCAAATCGACAAGGCGATACAGATACCCGTTTTGTCGTCTGCTGTGTGGCTTGCAGCGATTGCTATCTTACAGTCGGGAATTATGAGTTTTCCGCCAACTCGCATTGCTCAACGGCAAAACAGCAAAACGCCACAGACCGGAGCAGGACCTGGACATAACCGGTCTCGCACAGCGCTAGTGCATGGCTCAGTGGACTAGTTCTGTTTCCAGCATGGAGGACGCTTCAAGCACCCCACGCCCCCATTTCAGCTGTGTTGAGCTCACTGGCAAAGCGAGCACGTACTTTCGGAGCTGTCTTCCGCGAGCGAACAGAGTATGGTACTGGTGCGTCCTACGCTGTTAGAGTCCAGCGGCCGTGCGGGTCCTTGCAACAGTGTGGCAGGGACAGGGACAGGAACCAAAAACAGCCTGGCGGCCGGAGTGATTATCTGGTCGGCCGAGACACAATTGGCAAGGCGAGGGCCAAAAGGCCCATTAACATGGGTAACAGGATCAAAACCACCCCTGTAAAATACTCGACTTTGGGAATGTTCGCATAAACCCAGCAGGTGAATCCACTCTGGTCCACCTTTTTCGATGCGCTGTGGATGCTGCCGTCCACTAAAATCCGCACACCAGGTCTGCGCTAATGCTGCGCGCTTTGACTAAAGCCACGGCCGAGGCTAAGATACCTCGATACTTCGTAGTCGCAGACAACAGTGTAAAGGGGCTGCAACGTCCGCCGTCTTTTGTTGCTGTTGTTGCAAGGGGACAGAGGTGCATGTACCCTACGAATTTCCTGGCGTACAAAGTAGACCTTGGCTTTTTGTCACTGCACCGTTTCGCCTTCCCCTTGTTTTACTTTATGCGGCCCTGCATTTTTCTGTCCTTTTTATCTACATCGTAATTCGTAGACATCTCTTTTTCCATCTGCCTGCCGGCAGCAGCCGCCGAAGCGAACCCAAAAAACATAAAGGAGTTATTGAATATTTACAAATGCCGTACGACATACACTCCACCAAATACAGCACAGCAACGGCGGGGTTGTCGTTTATATCGAGTAAGAAAAAGGGGTATACCATGTTTTGGCTAGCTTGGGAGGGAATACTTGGTACAACATAAATCGTACAAATGGAAATATTAAGCTGTAGCACTCTGTAAAAATGTCTCGATCGGCATACTACCCCGGTTCAAGCCCCCACTTAGTGATACAAGTCCTCGGCCTTTTCGGCTGGAGCATCGATGTGGTTGTTGAACTCCTTTTTGGGGTCAATCAAGAAAATGGCAGCTGAAAAAAAGTCAGTTTGCAGTCCACAGAAACAGTACTGTAGTATACGAAGAGGAGTGCATCTTACCAATGGCGGCAACAACTGTAAACGCACCAGCCGCAACCCACACCCAGCGGAATGCGACACTGTACGTGGACTTGAGCGCACCAACGGCCGCATTGATGATATCCGGCGAGATGCCCGGCACAGCAAGCAACGCCGTCGTGTCCTGGGCCGCAAGAGCACCGATTAAGGCGCCCAGAGATGTCTCCGGCAGGCCGAGGGGGAGGACGGCACCGGCAATGTTGGCTCCAAGATTCTTGTTGAGTTCTCCGGAGAGAATGGCATTGTCTGTTTGTTAGTTTAGGCTTTTGGATTGGTTGGATTGGTTGGATTGGTTGGATGGTGGACGGTCTTCTAGTCTTCTACTTGGTGTCTTCCTGACCCACCAAGGACAACTTACAAATAGCTAGGCCGATCGAGCCACCGAGCGAGCGCATGCCGATCATGAGGCCGCTGGTAATTGCGATAAGCTCGCGGGGCGTCGAAAGCTGGGCAACTGTCACCAGCGCACAGAGGCAAATGCCAAGACCCAGGCCCAAGAAAACCGGGTAGCCCCAGACGTTGCGTGCGCTGGTGGCCGACGGCGTCGCAGTGGCCATGAGAATAAAAAAGATCACCATGGACACGAACGCCGCAAAGGCCGGCCAGCGCACGTTTTTGGTCTTGGAGCAGTAGAAGCCGGCAAAGATGGCGCTGACGCCGTACACAATCATGTTGATCGTGTAGCGCAGACCGGTGCGCAGCGTGTCCGTCTCGTAGAGCACGCTGGCTTCGTAGGCAAAGTAGTTGTTGGCGGCAAAGAAGACGAGGCCTTCCACAAAGACACAGCCGAGGGCAATGGCAAAGTTGCGGTGCGTAAACAGGTCGTGGTGCAGCATGCCGTCCTTTTTGAACCAGATCTCGTAGACGATGAGGCCGACGAGCAGGGCCAGGCCGACCGCAAAGGTGGCGGACGTGTGCGGGTCCGACCACGGGTACGGGTTCTGCGACCACGACAGGCCGATGCAGAACAGCACCAGACTGGAGGACAGGAGCGCGTAGCCGATCCAGTCCAGCTTGGCCAGCTTCTCGCTGTTGGAAAAGTTGAGCTGGTTGGCCGTCTTGGGCGGCGTGTACAGCACGGCCGTGAGGATCGTGGCGACGGCAAAGACGGCCGTGGCCATGTACCAGTAGTTGCGGAAGCCGGCGGCGTTGCCGTTGCGCGTCATGGCACCGCCGACCAGGAGCGCCACGACGCCACCCAGCGCGGCAGACAAATTGGCGGTGCCCTGCGCCCACGGACGGTATCGGCGCGGCAGGACTTCCGAGGCCACGGCATGGAGCAGCGGCTGGGCGCCGTACGCAATGCCCGTCACGGTGAAGCCCGCAATGGCCATGCCGACACTGTTGGCGCGGGCCACGACGATGGAGCCAACAACACCGCACAGCGTGAGGACAATGAGGAACCAGCGACGGCCCCAGTAGTCAGCCGCCTGGGACACGACCGGAGACAGGACGCTTGTCAGGATGGCAATCGTCGACGTCAGCCAAACACTGTTGGAGGCGCCGCCAACAACTTGAACGACCGTTTGGGCTTGCTATGTTATGTTCGGTTAGAAACACGATTCAGTCACGTTGTCGTTGTGGTCGCTGGACTCCAGGACACTTACAGCACCGGCGCCGACGACGTTGACGAGCTGCGCAAAGTAGATGAAACAGACGGCAAACACGACCAAGAATGTCTTTGCGTGCAGCTGCGGTGCCGGCTCGTCCTCGACGGACGGCTCAGAGCTCTGAGCCGACTTGGGCAGTCCATCTTGGGATGCATCGGCGGGTTGGTCCGTCTTCTCGTGGACGACCACGCTGGAGTCGGCGGTCGCGGTTGGATCAGCAGACGCCATCGTGACACAAACAAAAAAGACGACTTTGCAGATGCAGGTTCGGAACAGGCAAGGGGTAGGCAAGAGTTGGCGCAAGAAAAAGAAAAGGAAAGAAAAGAAACCAAAAGAGCAAACGAAAAAGAAAAAAGCGGAAACAAAAAGCAAGACGGCGATTCTAAAAGGAGTGTAGAAAGCAAAAAGAAGGAAAGGATCAACAGAAAAGCATGCACAACAGCCGGGAGAAAAACGTGGGCAAAACGTGTGGGACAACGTGTAGCTGCGAACAAAGATGGGGTTTCTCCCATTTCTTAATAAAAAAAAAGAAAAAGAAAAAGAAAAAGAAAGCCCAATAAATCCGGGTCCCAAATCAACCCAGCACCAGCACCAGCACCACACCAGCACCTTGCCACGTTCTTGGCGTTGCACGGAGTTCTCGACGGTCGCGCACATCTGGCAGGCAAGACAATGTGCGCCGGGTCATGGAGTGCCGAGCTGCAATGTAGTATTTCGCTGTCCGAGTCTGCAACGCTGAGAATGTCTGTGACATGTCGCATTCTTACCTTGCGACAAACAGCTGCAAAAGACCGTCTGTCGAGAAGGATCCTCCGCGTGGGGTGCCACTTCCAGCGTAACTGTTGCACCAGTCGTATCTTACGAACGGATGCAGAGAAGCTGTAGAGAAACAAACGATTACGGAGCCAATATTGGCCCAATCTGCTCGATGCCATTTGCTATTTTGTTTTTACGTTATTTTGCTCTGGGTATCGACTTCTCCACTCTGGATTCGCAATTTAGCGAGAAACATACTAACGGAACTCAGTATGACTGCTCGGAGAATAGCTCAGTCGTCGGTCGGGTGGCGCTGTTAGGACCTGAGGTGGGGAACAAATTTAGGGGGCCGGGGGGCTTCGAGAAGCTATTTGTCTTAGCGACAGGGGACGACGCGACTACGACGTTAGCGTGCGCTAGCAAATGGCTCAGCAGAGCAGCAGTTTTCCTTGGCCTGGAGCGAGTCGGTCCTGAAAAGTAAGCTGGTAAAATACTGCTTCAAACGTCGTAGGCAAACGAGAGTGGACTCGAGTAATTTGAATTCACCACTCCACTGAGGATGACGAACCCACTGTACTGGATCTAGGCCTTGCAAGGCATGGTCGCCGACAAGCCCGCCAAACCCAGAAGGCACTCATGCAGCATGCAATGTCCGGCAGACTAAATGCTCGAGTTCGGCCACGGTTTCCAGGGTTCCAGGGTTTCTCGGGTTTTCCTGGATTTGCTGTATTTCCTGGATTTCCTGGGACCTTTTCCAGAGGCCTTAAGGAACGCATTGGCGCTATTCTCTATTTACACAATGAGACGTGGAAGAAGCAGGCTGCCACATTGTTGCACGAATCCCGCCATCACACCATAAGACCGAAACACAAACATGGCACTGCACGTCGCGATCGTCGGCGGTGGCATCAGCGGGCTGTCGGCCGCCGTGTCGTTGCGCCGGGCCGGGCACAATGTCCAGGTCTACGAGCGCTCGGCCCATAACAACGAAGTTGGGGCGGCCATCCACGTCCCGCCCAACGCAGCACGGGCGTTGCTGGCCTGGGGATTGGACCCCGTCCACGCCAAGTTTGTCACCACCAAGTCGAGCTACCGTGCCAACGAGAAGACGCTGGTGCGCTTCCATACCGGCAGAGAAGTCGAAGAGCAGATTCCCATCCGCTGTGGCGCTCCCTGGTTTCTTACCCATCGTGTTGATCTCCACGAAGAGCTGAAGCGGCTGGCAACAGAGCCCGAGAGCCCCCACGCGCCCGGCCGTCCCGCCCAGGTGGCCTTGCGTACCAAGGTCGTTGAATATGTACGTTGCCGTCGCGTCCCCTGTCCCGTGTCCCGTGTCCCGTGTCCCGTGTCCCGTGTCCCGTGTCCGTGACCACGCATCGACGTCCGTGTGGCTGATTTTGGATGACTATGAACAGAACACGGCCGACACGTCCATCACACTAGACAATGGTGACGTCGTCCAGGCCGACGTTGTCATCGCCGCCGATGGAATCTATAGCATTGCCGTCGAGGCCATCCTGGGCGAGCCTCGCCCCCTCGGGGCGCCTCAAAATGCGTGCTTCCGCTTCCTGATCCCGGCCGATGCGATCAACGCAGACCCAAAGACAAAGTTTTACACCGAGGACGACGACGGGCGCATGAAGTTCTTTGTCGGCGACGACAAGAGAATCGTGTCGTACCCATGCCGCAAGTACGTTTCGGGACCGTCCGTCCCTCCAGTCGTGTAGTCTAGAACTAACATGGCCAGCAACGAAATCCACAACTTTGTGGCCATCTACAATACCGAGCACGAGACTCTCGACCTCTCGAAGAAGGAGAGTGAGTACTGTGTCTGACATGACCCGTAATCCGTGTCGTTTGTATGCCGTCCTTCTAACACCTGCTTCTCAGGCCGCCACTCGCCCGAGGACAAGGCCAAGCTCCTCGAAAAATACTCTGATGTCCATCCAGACCTCTTTGCTGTTATCAGGTATGCCCCCTTCCCCCCTGCTGTTGCTTCGCACGTCTTCCGTGGCTTTGCTCTGACAACGTGTAGCAAAGCGACAGAAGTCATGCAGTGGCCGCTCTTGTTCCGGCCGCCCCTCCCGACCTGGACCAAGGGTTGCACCGCCCTGGCGGGAGATGCTGCTCACCCCATGCTTCCTCGTACGTTCCCATTTTGGCTAGCATACAAGAGTATAAAAGGATGCGCCGCCCACTAACAGACAACAGACCAGGGACAGGGCGGTGCCCAAGGCATCGAGGATGGCGTCGTGCTCGGTCTTGTTCTTGTCGGAGCCACCAAGGAGACCGCAGCTGAGCGGCTCCGGTTGTACGAGAAGATTCGCCGCAATCGGGCCAGCATCATCCAGATCTTCAGCAATGCCGGCCAGGACCAGCCAGAGCTCATCCGGAAGGATGCGTCTGCCTTTATGCCGGAAGACAAGATTCCCAGTACGTTGCGTCCACCGTGCAGCACCTCCCGGTTCAAACTAACAACCCTTTTGCAGAGCGCCCCGAAGACTTTTTCGACTACAACTTCCGCTACGACGTCATTGAAGACTCGGTCAGTCAGCTCAAGGAGCAATTGCCGGCCTTCGAACTGCCGAGCAACTTCTTCCAGAACACACCCGGCAAAATCCGTGCTTAACGCATGGATAGACATGTACTGTGACCATAGTGAATCTTATGACAGTGTATCGATCCGGCTTGGGACACGATGTGTGCATAGTTTTATGTTAGTGGCAATGATGACTATTCGATGGGAGCGAAGCCGTGGTAGTAGACACTCTGCGATGATAAGTCCCCATATGTTTGGTCGCGAAGGTGATGCCGTTAAGATTCCAGTATGAGTCTACATGAGGAGGGCGGTTTCGAGTGCTGCTGTGTATCATTTTATATTAGAATGTCGCCTATGAAATGTAACATGAACTTTTTATTTTTGAGATGAAATGAATTATTAAACAAAAAAATCATCTGAACATTTTCACGCTTTATATTTTAATGAAAGCATATAAAAAAATGAATTGTAAAAATGACAAAAAAAACCAATTCACAGATTATCGATTCACATTGTGAAATGGAAAATTTTTAGGTTTATAGTTCTAATCTTAGTATTATGATTGTCTTTATAAACAATAGACGGAAAGTAGAATAAATTGATATTATTGAAATCATATAACAGACATGCTTTGTCGAAAACATTCATCTGTGATCGGCAAACTGATACCCAGGACGGTATCATTTGTCGTCTCACTGCGGGTACATGAAAACAGCGTCAAGATGGGCCCTTGTACGGAGAACAAGCCCAATACGGGGTAATAGGACAGACGCACAGGCCAATGTTGATCACAAATAGGGTGCTGACATTGCAAAGGCCAAAAGCAAACAAAATCCACTCCTACGTTGTGCATGTACGATGTGGAGGTCGCTCTGCGATCCTGGTAACCTGTAGGGTGATGTACAGCATAATACGACGTGTCACTCACAGAAAAAAGGGAAATGACCAGCTGCATGTTTAATGCTTCATGAAGGTGATGTTGCCCATTCATTGCTTTAATGCTTACTTGGTACAAAAACATATTTGGTGAGACAAGGGCATCTGCTTCGTAACTCCACACTTTAAGAGCATCACGTGCGCGTGCTCCACCGCTGCCCCCTCTCGTTCTCTCGTGAGATAATCATCACCCTGCAGGCCATTCTTGTTTACGAAGCGACTTGTCCTTGCTCGAGCCCACGGTTGGTCAATCTCGACGGGCGACAATATCATGCGGCCAACGAAAGCGTGCGTGCAATGCCGAAGCGGAAAGCGGCGGTGCGACGGAGTAAGACACGCGGCCTGCATCCAATGCGTTCGACGGAATCTGCCCTGTTCCTCTGCCGGTGCGACGCTTGACCGCTCTCCCAGGGTCAGCAAAGTCTCCCAAACCGGCCCCGACGGGGATTTGCTTCCCCTAGTGAGCCTGTACTTTCGGCTGATAGATCAGAAGCCGCACAGCCTCTTCCACGAGCCGTCCTTCAGGGCGAGCATTGCAGCTGGAACGGCGTCACGAACCGTGCTGATTTGCATGATGGCTATGTGCGCGCGGTACGTCGTGTTGCTGCTCTTGTGCGCTCTCTGAAGTTTCTGGGGTTTGCATATTTTTGCGCTATCCAGCCTTTGGATGCTGTCGGTAAACCTTGTGTTCACAAAGTGAAACGAAACTCATAGCTAACCTGATAAGATTTTCGACGCAGCCGGACGTTCGAGCCCGTGGACCAATATACATTGCAGAAGCCAAGGCAGCACTGAAAAGTGACATTGAAAACATTTGCATTGAGAACCTGCAGGCCTGCATCTTGGTTGGGAACATTTGCGCTGGAGACTGCGATTCCAACGCAGAGTCGTTGTACTTTGGTAAACACCCTGTCCACTCCATTTTTTAGGGAGGCAAGTCCAGCTGATCATGGATCCAACTAGCACTTGCCACGCGTATGGCTCATATCCTCAAAGTATGGGACGTGAACGATGGTGATGACGGCGTCACCCGGGAGATCAAGCGCCGCATATGGTGGACGTGTTTCATCATCGATACTTGGGGCAGCGGCGGCATCGGTCTGAGTCGGCAGTTTGGATGGCGACCCAAGATGCCAAACGTCCCCATGGACGAGGCGGTGTTCTCGGCCATGCGACCCGGTGATCCGGACATTGGCAGCTTGGAATGGAAGCCGGGGCTGTGGGGGCACATGGTCAGACTTGTTGAAATATACGGCCAGATTCAAGACTTTCTGAGGCATCTTGCCGAGTCGGACGACTGGGATGAGGATGCCATCAGCGATACGGTTCGCGACCTCGACACGCAAATGGCCGACTTCGAGCTGAACATCGGGCCCGACCTGGCCTTCTCGACACACAACTTGTCCAGGTACGTGAGCCACGGCCTCGGCAGTGTCTTCATTGCTTTCCACCTGGGCTTTCATCACTATAAAACGCTGCTGTTCTACATCTACCTCGACAGCCGCCGATCATCGGTCACGAATGGGAAGGCGTACGCACGACGCTGTAAGCACCATGCGACGACCGTATGCGAGGTGCTCAAGGCATCACGGGACCACCCCGGTGCTGAGGCGCTTTACAACATCGTCGGCCATGTGACGATTGTCTCGTCTTCTGTTCTTCTGCACACATATCTCTTTGGCGAGGCGGACGAGTTGCCGCACTCGCGACGCTGCTTGGAGTCGAATCTGGAGACACTCGTCCAGCTGCGTGGCTACTGGGCAAATATCGACCTTATGGTGAGTTGAGCCCACACACCGAGGACACGATCGTTTCCGTGAAGTGACTGACGTGACAAGATCAAGCGCCTGGTCATATTTCAGAACAACTGCATGCGCTCGCTCAACGAGGACACGTATCGCTTTGACAGATGGATGGTCAAGTTTCTTATTGCGCATTCGCTGACGCTGGAGGACAAGGGTGAGCAAGTCAGGTTCTCCATTCCAGCATATGCAGTCGGCCGAAGAGACGGGGGAAACACGCATCTCGAACGGGGACGGGTCACGCAGGGGATCATTATGGGGATCCAGGGCCTAGACGGGCTGGAATAGGGCCTATATGTAGAGGAGTAGAGCGAAGAACAAACTGCCATCAACGAGACGCTTTGCCAACGTACACTACAAAATCGTGGGACTTTGGGACTCGGCTGCCGGCCGTTTTGTGGCTTTTAGCGAGTCTCCACACCAGTGCACAGCAGACTGCATGACAATTCCGACTGGCGGTGCGGCGGATCCACCAAGCAGGTGTAAGCAGTGGACACCACCGACAGCCTGTCGGTATGAATTGACGCGAATTCAGCAGCAGCAATTGCAGACAAGAGACAATGCTTGCCGCCTACTTATGTACACTGCCTTGCTTTCCACCGTTTGCAAATCGACAAACTTCAGATCAGCAGAGACAGCAGAGAATCACGAATCACGACAACATGGGGTCCATCAACAAGTTGAACGTGGCTTCGTGCGGCATACATGGCTTTGGCGAGGCCATTGGCATCGACGTGGACGAGCTGCGTTTCTTCTGGAAACTGGAATCGACCGACGAGCATGCAAGACAATGTGCGTACCGCGTGGTTGTATCGACCAACAAACCCGTGCATGGACAGAGCCTCACAGCGCCTTGTTTTGACTCGGGCCGCGTCGACGGACCCGCGCAGCGCAATATACTGTGCAAGCCCGACCATGGCTTCCAGCCCACTGCCTTTCACTACTGGACCGTGCAGGTGTGGGACCAAGACGGAAACAAATCCGCCAGCGCGGTGAACGAGTTTTACACATCGTACCCCCGATCCAACCGACTGCTGCCGCCCTACAGCATGAACCAGACCTATGTGTGTTCCTTTGCGTCTCTCCTTTGTGCTTTGTAAAAGGCAACAGGCGCTGACCCAGAACGTGGCATGTTAGATGCCGCACACGAGCCTCATTTTCCGCTCTTGGTTTGAAAACCCAGACGAGCGATGGAAGGCGGCGTGGATTGGCGATGGCGGTGACAAGCCAATCTACCTTCGAACGTCCCTCGACCTGCAGCGCAGACCCTGGCGGGTTGTTGTGCTCGCCTCAGGACTCGGCCATTTCAACCTCAGTGTCAATGGCCAGCCGGCATCGGCTCATGTCCTGGACCCTGGCTGGACCGACTACCACAGGACCGTGCAGTTTGTCGGCTACGACGTGACCGACAAGATCCTGGACGGCATCAACGTCGTCGGGGCGCATCTTGGCAACGGCTTCTATGCCGGCGATCAAGGCGATCGCTTTTTCTGGCCCATGTACGAAGACAACACATACGTCCGGTACGGCAACGAGCTCTGCTTCTTCGCCGAGATCCACGTGCATTACGACGACGGTACGCACGACTGCATCGTCTCCGACCCCAGTTGGAAAGTGAAAAAGAGCGCCACCACCCTGGCCAACATCTATGCGTCAGAGAACCACGACGCCCGGCTGTTTCCCACCGGCTGGGATACGGCCGACTTTGATGCTCGCAGCTGGGCCCCTGCAAAGCCACTGACGGGGCCGCGCGGCAAGCTGCGATACCAGAGCCAGCCACCCGTGGTCCTGCACAACACATTTACACCTGTTCGGCAAACAACCGTAAAACCGGGCGTTGTTGTTTTCGATCTCGGCCAAAACGCATCCGTCGTGCCCCTTGTTCTGGCAAAGGGCGCTGCTGGCAGCGCGTATCGAGTCAAGTATTCCGAAACACTCGGCGACGACGGCCTTGTTCTGATGCCCGACGCGTTGTTCAAAGAGTTTGAGACCCACGTCTACTCGCGAATACGGCTTGCCGGGCACGACACGCCAGAGGCGTGGTCGCCCGCATTTTGCTTTACCAGTGCGCGGTACATCCAAATCGAGGGTGCCACCCTGCCAGGCGGGGGCGAGGGCGAGGGCGAGGGCGATGGCCACCTAGTCGAAATCCAGTCGGTTACGGCCCGCCACATTTCATCGGCTGCCGCGCATCTTGGCTTTGTCAAGACCGACAAGGACGACGTCAACGCCCTGATCAACGCCTGCTATTGGACGTTCAGCTCCAACATTTTCAGCTACCACACGGACTGTCCTCAGATTGAGAAGTTCGGCTGGCTCGAGGTCACCTCCCTGCTCTTCCCAGCCACGCAGTATGTCCGCGACATGGAGGCCGTCTACTCGAAGATTCTGGACGACATTATCGACGCACAGGAACCATCCGGGCTGGTCCCAACAATGGCACCGCTGGTCCGATACATGTGGGTATTTTCCGCTACTTTTCTTCCTGCCTTGGTAACACAATCAACTGACATTTGATAGGTGCGGTCCCATGCACGACACAATCACATGGGGAGGCGCCGTCTGCCTCCTTCCCGAGATGATCAAACGCTACTACGGGAGCACCGTGGTTTTTGAGAAATGCTATGCGCCATGCGTCCGCTACATGGAATACATGAGAGGCAAGGAGCGCCTGGGTGGATTGATCGAGCACGGACTCGGCGACTGGGGCCGAGACGTTGCGTTTGGCAACCACCAGGCCAACATTGAAACGGCCGTCTATTACAAGTGCCTCCGCAACGTGGCGCTGATGGCCAAAGAACTCGGCCATGCCGCCGACGAGGCGTCGTACTCTGCATGGGCTGACCGGGTCTATGCAAACTACAACAAGCACCTTCTGGTCGCCGACAAGGCCGAGCACCCCTATGCCTACTACACCTCGCGGGACAACCCGGGGACGCGCGACCGCACCATGGTGGCCCAGGCCGTGGCTTTGCAGTTCGGCCTCGTGCCTGCACATCTTCGCAAGGACGTCGAGGCCGCATTTGTTGCGGCGGCAGAAGACGCTGGGCACGTGATGCTGGCGGGCGAAATTGGCCTCAAGTATCTGTGGAACACGCTGGCCGACCCGGGCGTCGACCGCCCCGACATTGTGCTGGACATGGCCCGGCAAGACGAGCATCCGTCCTATATGCGGTTTCTGCGCCGCGGCGAAACCACGCTGTCCGAGTTCTGGCAAGACAACTGCCGATCCAAGTGCCACGACATGCTAGGTACCATCTACGAGTGGTTTTATGCCTATGCGCTCGGCGTGCAGCCGTTGGACGATGCCTACCGAACGTGGAGCCTTCGTCCCTGCTTCAAGGCCGAGTTCGACTACGTCGAGGGCGCGGTCGAGTCGCCGTACGGGCCGATTTGCGTCACGTTTGATCGAAGGCAGAGAACGGATGGGACCGTGGCCATGGCGGTCACCGTTCCGGCAGGCACAACGTGCGAGTTGACGCTGCCAAGTAGCCGCACCAGAGTCGAGCTGAAAAGACAGCCGTCCGATGCAACCCGAGCCCATACGGGGGCGGCTCTGCAGCTGCTCCAGGGCCGCTACACACTGGTAATCGACAAGTGGAATTAGTGCAAGGCAGATACTGAATAAACGAAATATCACAACTCCTCCATTCTGCTGGTCCATTGAACGTCTCCTCGCCTCGGCGGGAAATGTCCCGGGCCGCACGCCATCAGTATACGCAGCGTAGACATTGTTTTCCTTTTTTGCAAGTGCCCTCGCGTGGCTTGCATTTCAATGTCACATTTGCAGTGTCACATTTGCATCTCATGACGATTCCTTGCAAAAAGAAGGTAAGGATTGCCAACTAGCGCCGGATTTGCTGTAAGCAGGTCCGGCAGTGATGCGAAATGATTGGATCAAGTGCAATGGATTCCAGTGATCCCAGTTGCCGGAATTGACCCAATTTATGGCCGGCTTTCGCCATGCCTGGTTGGCCACGTACCTACGCTTTGCGGCTTTGATATCGCACAATTGGATTCCGAGTCTGTCTCCGCTGTTCTCCACGCGGCTGGGCCCATGCATTATACAAACCCGGTAGTTGAGGGCGTGTCAAACTCTCAAACCAGAAAGGCGGCAAAGCAAAGCGAGGATGTTCTTGTATGAAAACTGCAGAGTCCAGATTGTGAGTCTATACGACATATGTCGGTCTATGAAGGAACCGAGAATCGACGGTTTGGCCAGACAGGTCAAACCGCTCGGCTAAAACGTGGCCGAACTGACATATTTCCAGGCCAAGGACCCCGTGGGGATGCGAGGAGGACGACCGACCCACTTCCACTGTCATACAACGTTCAAGTTCCTGAACAGCGTCTCTGCGCTCTCACCTGGACGTTGCTCCTCGGCACGGGACAAAGGGAAACGAAATGGCAACGAAACAAAGCTTGGCTCTGCGTACAACACCACGGCGTCCATAAAAGAGCGACATCACCGCCACCGTCGAAGCGCTTGCGGTAATCTTTCCCTGGTGAGCAGCACACGGACGCACCACAGTCGCACCGCCGCCTTTTCTCCGTTACTGTTGCCAAAATGCTCAAGTCCGGTTCGTCCGTGACGATCGTCTCGGCAGCCTTCCTGGCTGTCGGAGGTTTCCTTTTCGGCTACGACTCTGGCATCATCAGCTCCGTCATTGCCCTCCCTACGTTTATCGACTACTTCCACAACCCCAGCGACCAAATCGACGGCGGCATCGTCAGCTCGTTCCAAGGTGGCGCCGTCCTGGGCACCATCATCAACATGCTCTTCGCGGACAAGCTCGGCCGCAAGCGCACCATTCTTCTGGGCGCCGTCACATCGGTGGTCGGCTCGGCCCTGCAGTCTGGCGCGGCGGCGATGGTGATGCTGATCATCGGCCGGTTCATTGGTGGCGCTGCGGTTGGCATCCTCACGAGCACCATCCCCATGTATGCGTCCGAGCTGTCCATGCCAAAGTGGCGCGGTGCGCTTTCTGGTCTCCTGCAGTGGTTCCTCAGCTGGGGCTTCCTCGTCGCCCAGTGGCTGGGATACGGCGCTTCGTTCTCCAAGACTGCCTTTTCTTGTACGTGTCTTTTTTATTGGCGTCCACCGCTACGCGTACGGCTGCTTGCGTACTCACACTACTCACACCCGGACCAGGGCGATTTCCACTCGGGTTTCAAATTGTCCCCGCTCTTATCCTGATTTCGGGCATCTGGTTTCTCCAGGAATCGCCTCGCTGGCTCGTCGAGCAAGACCGCCACGACGAGGCCAAGGAAGTTTTACATAAGCTGCGCGCCGGCGACAACCCCGACCGAATCGAACTGGAGTACATGGAAATCCGAGACGTGATCGTGGCCGACCGACAGGTTGCAAACGTCAACACCATGTCTATTTTCCTCAAGTCGTCCTGGCGAAAGAGGCTGCTGCTTGGATGTGCCATCCAGGCGTTTGGCCCCCTCTCCGGCATCAACGTAATCAACTAGTGAGTGCCTGTGGCTCTGCCGCGGACCTGTCTCTCTACCATCGATCATGCGCGCATACTGACAGTACGTGTCCGTCAGCTACGGGCCCCGTATATACAAGATCCTCGGCATCGAAACGCACACGTCGCTGATGATTATCGGCATCAGCGGTGCTCTGTCCATCGTCTACTGCAGCATTGGTCTCTATGTCCTTGACAAAGTGGGCCGTATCAAGCCGCTGATTATTTCTGCCTTTGGGCTGGCCGCCGCTCTTCTGGTCAACGCCGTCCAGGCACAGTACCTCAACGAGAACAACGCCAGCCAGTTGCGGTCCATGGTGGCCATGAACTTTGTCTTCAGTCTCTTTTACACGCCGCTCGGCATTATCAGCTGGGTGTACCCGGCCGAGATTTTCCCGGTCGAAGTCCGCGCCCTCGGAAATGCCATCACCACCTTTACGAACTGGGTTATCAACCTCATCTTTGCGCAGTTCACGCCACAGGCACTGTCGAGCGTTGGATTCAAGTACTTTTATCTCTTCTTTGCTTTCAACATCATTGCCGCCGTCTGCTACTGGATGTTCTTCCCGGAAACAAAAGGCCGCACGTTGGAGCAGATGGATGTTCTCTTTGGTGACCAGCTTGTCCCCCATGCCCTTGATGATCCTGAGGGTGCAGCCGCGGCCATGGCCAAAGAAGCTCGCGTCACGCAACATATCGAGCATGAAGATGCCGCATGATTGTCCATTACGCCACGGGGAGCAGGATCGTTCGGAAAGGCGCCTACTTTCGACGTAACATCGACACTTGTCACCATCGAGACGTCTGTGCGTTAGATATTTAGCAACTGTTTACCAAAAACACACGAGTTCGGCAAGAGGTGGACTGGCAGTGGTCTAGACGGACAAGCACGATGCATCCTTCGTCCGGCGAAACGCCTTACGCTTTGTACGCGTGGCCGTGGCCAGCATTGTAGCTGTCGTCGTCGACAAAGGTTTTGTCGAGGCCTATTTCTAGTTAGCATGTATAATCAGCTCAGTCCAGAACAGCCAGACAAGAAAAAACGTCGTTGCAGCAACACTTGATACGCCATTTACCGGTCGTAGGGGTAAAAACGGAGGAATCTGCTCCTACTGGACCAACTGGCGTTTTGATGCGATAACGAGCACTGCCTGTACGACGCAATCAGCGTCATACAGCTTGGCGTGAAGTTTTCCACGATGGCTGATTTTCAGCTTTGGAAAGGGCTAATGTGTTTTATTAGACTCGCCATGCACTCGTTTGCCCACAATCAAAAACGGCCGCCAGCCCGCTTGCAGAGGTCGGTCGGTGGTGCGGATCAGTCTCCGATCGGCGGGACTGGTCGGCACTGGACCCAACAGCGGCGACCAGGATCAACTGGTATTATCGACCACTGCCACCAATGGCCAAGGGGTCGTATGTTATGCGTAATTCGACTTGTCGGCGGTATCCGCCGAGTAAATGGTAGCTAGCGCGGGACTAAACCCGCTACCATTACGTATCAAATTGAAAAGTAAAACAATAAAACAAATACAACAAAATTGTTACGTTTATGACTCTATTTAATTTTTTCCCTCTTTTTTTTCAATTCCAGACCCCCGTTAACAAACGCTATAAATCTATCCTTCGTGTCAACACCAACCATGTCTTCCTCCGACTTACTTCTTGTTACGGCCGGCCCGTACCGTTTCCTGGCGCGGTTCGAGTCCGACGCCGCACCCAAGACCATCGCCATGTTCCGGACACTGCTGCCGTATCGCCAGAAGCTGATCCATGTCCGGTGGAGCGGCGAGAGCTTGTGGGTGCCGCTGGGCGACCAGGATCTCGGCATAGATTACGAAAACCAGACCAGCCACCCCGCGCCGGGCCACATTCTCGTGTACCCGGGCGGCTACTCGGAGACGGAGCTTCTGTTTCCCTATGGCGGTGTGCAGTTTGCGAGCAAGATGGGCCAGTTGGCGGGCAACCACTTTTTGACAATCGTGGCTGGACACGAACACCTGCGCCCGCTGGGTGAGCATGTGCTCTGGAAAGGCGCGCAGGACGTGTCCTTTGAGGTGGCCGACGAGGCAACGTGAGTGGATGGGTTAATGCGAATGTGATGCTATTCTGCACGTTGCGAGTGCCATTGCTAATACAATGTAGTATTGAGCAGTTCCGTCAAGACAAGGCCAAAGCGAAGTTATGAGCCGAGACGGAGCAAGTAAATGAAGCAAGAGAAAGAACCACTAGAAACAACGTAAATAGAATCTATATTCATGTCCCACATATTCACAAGACCATTGAAAGATATCAGATAGGCCATTCGCCTGTGGCCACGTTTGGGAATTGATCCTCGTGGACGTTGGAAAGAGTCGTAGGCCCGCCTCGTTCTGAAACGTCCATCAGGTTCAGCACGGCGAGAGCGTGCTCTCCGGCATTTTGAAGGGTGAAAGACATTGAGGGTCGGCTGGGCCAGGCGAGCCAGGGTGGACAGCGACCGAGGCTTGGTTGGGGCGCGGTGTGCACGGGACGGGGCCGGTGCAAGGCTGCAGATTTGCAAGTCGTCTGGCTCATTAGCAGGGTAGGTATAACGTGGCAACGAGGGATGAGGGGACCCTCAATGCGTTCACGCACATAGCACGGGACAAGAAAGATTAATGCAAAAGCATGCAAGATCCAGAGAGAATCGACGGCATGGTAGAGGCTGTGGCACGACGCAACATCCACGGCGAAAGGCCCCGCCGGAAACGTCGCCGGGTTCTGCGACTGGAGGTGCCAGACGTCACTGGCCGCGTGCGCCGACTGCGAGAAGAGGATCCGCGCTGCGGTCGTCAGGCCAATTTCAAGCCCGCCCAGCGCCCGGACCGGCATGTTCTGTGGCTGTGGGTCCTGCCGTCGACTGGGCTCGCTTTCAGTCTCGCCGGACAAGAACAGGACACGGCGTAACGCGGAGCTCTTTAACGTGAGCTGGCACCACTGCGTTACTCCATCAAAGAAGTGTATACATTCGCTAAGGTGTTGCACATGGCCGAAGAAACGAATTGGAGGAAAACCATGTTTGACTATGCTTTATTTGCCGGTATATGCCAAGGGGCACCTAGAGCTACGTTACGAACGATGCGCGATGCAGCTTTACTTTCGAGCTAATATCAACCCGACAGTTGTTGTCCGCCATAGTATCGCGTAATTAACATGCGTCGTACTCTGTAGACAACAACATGAGACGAGTGGGCATGTCGAGGATGCGAGAGAAACACTGTACAAAGTACGACGGCAAAGTACTATATACGCCAGAAGGACATACAACGACATGAGTTGATATTTGACGGTTGTGTTTCTCATGCCCCGCCGGCCGGCCGCGGCAGAAATCGCAAAGTGTCGCTGCAGTTCGGTGCCCAAGTGCTCGCAACGCGCACTTCGAACTGTGTGGCCGACGGCTTGGCCACTGGAGGAGGCGCGATGAAGCGGATGCTGGACAGCCGGTGCTCAACGCCCAGCCGTCGTCATTGGCTGCCCAACAGTTGTCAATCAGGCACTGGTACGAATCGATCCTGGTCAACACGAACACGAGGTCGGAAGGGGCGTCGAGGAGGCCTGCGAGAACGTGCCGTCCCATGTCAGACAGGAAGGCAGGCAGGCAGGCAGACAGGCAGGCAGACAGGCAAAGTCATCCCGCTCTGTATCCGGCTCCGTGGGTCGGCGGAGCAAGAAGGTTGATGTCACGTGATCGACGATGGCCCGTGGGATGTGGCCCAAGTTGCCAGGCAGGCTCAGGCGTGGCTTAACCATGGCGCTTCGATGCCGATGGACTTGGCGAGGAGTCTGCGGGGGGTGCGCATCGCTGTTCCTGGCTGCAAAACGTACTGCTTCATGTATCTCTCAGCGCTCGTTCACATTACGGTTCTTCGGTGGTTTCTGTGCCTTGCAAACCCAACTGTCGTCGTCTTTTTCTTCTTTGTCTTTTTCGTCTTTTTTGTTCTTTGATATCGTCATTTCTTCTCTTCTTCTCCCGCAACTGGATTGCATAGAGATTCGATTGTTTCATTGACGTACGTTCTATCAATACATCGACAAGCATGTGTCTCCGCTCTACTTTCAGTGCCACCAATAAAAAACAGTACGGCGTAACATGAACCATCTCCTGATCGTTCAGTTGAGGTCGAAATAAGGTGAAGCTTTCGTGTCGTACTTCACGAGGCACTGGCCAATCAGATGAGCGATTCCGGTAGTTCTTGCCTTGTTGGGAAGAACAGCTTGTTGTGACAGCGAAGTGGGGGGGTTCTTTCCCGAGTCAGCTAGACCGGCTGGCTAGCTGTCCGTTATGGCAAGGCCGAGACCACCGAATCGCGCATTAACAGTTTTGGCAGCCAGACCCACCATCTGCTGTTAGTCTGTATTTGAAATCCTGTTCACTAATCATTAAATCGCCTCGGCCGTGCCTTCCCACTGCTGCAGCTCCATGACCTCAACCGCGACCTCAATCTCAGCCTCCATCCCAACGCCAACCCCAACGTCCATCACAGCGATCACTACGAATTACAGAGCAATCGATAAACAACCGTCGGCGGAAGCGGTGCCGCAACTCTTACATCTTAGACCCTGGCGCGTCAACCCGCTTATCAATCCAAATTCCATTGTCACGACACCTACTGGGCCAGTCATACGCCGTGCACGGCACGCATTTTGGGGGTTTTTATTTTCTTTTGTCGTCTTATACGAAGAGCGCATTGTCGTTCCCCTCTGCTCATTTAGCAGGGAGCACACTCGTCACTGCCTCGGTCTGCTTACAAAGACTACGCGTTCACGGTTACTACGTCCAGAGGGGGACCTGTGCACGCCGTAACCGGGAGACACTGTCCCCACGGCTGCTCTGTGAAGAAGTGCTTTGTTGACAAAGCAGTCGTTCCATCGTTTTCTTTTCATTCCCTGCTCTTTTCGTCTTCCCTTGTCACGTCGAGGCTTCGTTGTCTTTGTCTACTCCACCCATTCCGCTGTCTGGAAGTGGACCCAAGGCAATTCAAACTTGTTCCAAGCTCTCCGTCTCTTTTCTGGTGGTGCTTCCCCTCTTTCGTCCCCTTATTTCGCCCTGTCCATGCTATCATCTTCCTTATCCACTCTTTCCACAACTTCCACAGTCAGACAGACGGGTGAGTAGTGTCCACTTTTCCACACTTGGACCTTTCGTCGTCTGCCAGTGTCCTGTGTTTCCCACCGACTCGCGACCATATATGAGCGCCAAAGGCGTCCTACACGAGGCGTCTCGCCGCACATCCACGGCCTACATGGGGTCCAATCTCGACATTCTCAATGCCGTCCAGTATGACATTGGCGTGCCGCTGCCCGCCGTGACACGGGCCTCACGCGCCGCAAAGCGGAAGAGGCCAGCCACGACGACCGATGCCGAAGGGACCCGAGACGCCACAGACATCGCCGGCGCGCACAGCCCACGGACAATGTCACACAATTCTACCGTCGCCGAGCTGCTGTCGGCGGTGGATGGGGCGCCGCCGTCCAAAGGCGGCCGTAAGCCGACGAACAAGCCTCGGGCCAGCGGAAAAGCCCCGGCCAAGACCACCGCCTCCCCGGCCGAGGCGATTCTGGACTCGGTGGAAAGCGACGAGGGCGACGTCGATGGTGAAGAGGCCGACGCGGAAAAGAAGCGTGCACGTGGCCGGCCACGGATCGACGTCAAGGACGTCACCGCCGCAGATGTGAGTTTGTCCAGAGGATCCGCATGCACAGATGCACACAGTGCAAAAGGTTACAAACAGGCAACAATGCTGACACTTTCAAAACAGCGCCGACGTACCCAAATTCGACTGGCGCAGCGGGCGTACCGCAGCCGCAAAGAAAAGGCCATTGTGTCTCTGGAAAAGCGCGTCAACGCGCTCAAGGCGGCCAACGAGGCCATGAGCAACGCCTTTATGCGCCTGCACGACTTTGCCCTGGGCCGCGGCTTGCTGGACCAGCACCCCGATCTGGCACAGCACCTGCGCCAGACGACCGAAGTGTTTTTGGAGATGGCACGGCAGTCGAGTGCCGACGAGGACATGGACGATCCCGACGAGGAGGAGGCACACGGCCTCGGCAACACCGGCGGCACCGACAACGGCAGCAAGCCTGCATCCGACGATGCGATGCGGGCGTTTGAGAAGAAGCAAAAGGAAATTACCGATGCGGTCCAGATGTTTGGCTACCAGGCGCAGCATGAGCCTGTCCACAAAGCCGGGAACGCACACGCGCGCAATCCTGCACAGGCCGAGGCACCGGCCTTGCTCAGCCAGCAGATGGTGCTGCCATCACAAGCGTCGCCCATTCGAGCGACAGACAGCGTGTCGAACCAGCTGTACGGCGGCATCCTCATGGCGCAGGCGATGAACCTCGACACCGACAGCAATGTGGGCTCCTTTGACTCACAGCCCGACGACGTGGTGTTTGGGAGCGCCTTCGGCACCATGAACATTGTCAACGCGACGGCCAGCACGGAGTCGCTCGACGGCACCGTCCCTGTCGGCTCGTATTACACCGCCACGGCGACGGCCAGCGGCAACGGAAGCACATCTACAGGCACGGGCAGCAACAGCAACGACATGAGCAGCGGCACCGGATCGGCGCTGTCCGTCTCCCCGGCGTCGGGCCGCAACACGGATTTTGGCCTCGGCAACGATTTCACCTTTGACGGACCCGCCTTGTCGCTCTTTGCCAACTATGCGACGCCGCCGGCTGCTGGTGCAGGGGGTGGCCAAGCACAAGCACAGACGGCGGCCGCGGCGACGTCGGCGAGCGACTTGGGTCCGCACCTCGCCAGCACCGACGCATTTATTGCCAGCGCCGCGATGGGCCGCCCGACGGCCGGGCTGCCGCTGCCGATGCCGTATCCGGGGCTCCAGCCGCCCGGCAAGTACCCGCCGGACTTCTCTTTTGGCCTGCGCCTGCGGCGGTACGCCATTGAGAGCGCGTACCGGCTGATCAGCACGGCGGATCCGCCGGTGGACAGCTTTGCGCGGGCCTTTGGCTTCTGCATCATGTTTGAGCCCATCGACACGATCCGCCGGCGGCTGCAGCGGGGGCTCGAGACGCCGTATTCGCCGAGCAAGTTTACGCGCTGGGAGCTGCCGTTTGTCAGCCGGTACCCGGACGTGGAAGACGCGGCGGGTGCGCTGGCGGCGGCGGCGGCATCGCCGGCGTCCCGCAGTAGCAGCGGCAGCAGCAGCAGCACCAACAAGGTGCTGCCCAACAACAGCAACAGCGACCACCGCGGCACGGGGGTGCGGCCGGCGACGCCGCAGATCCACGTGACGCTACCCGGGTTCGAGGGCGCGTTTTACGACTGCGAAGAGACGGAAATGTACCTGCAGCAGCGCGGCGTGCACATCCCGCCCGACTCGAACAGCGTGATTGTGGAGGTGGACGACGCGGACTTTGCCGTGGACACCGCGACGATGGCGACCCGTGGCCGCAAGACCAGCGGTGACGACAGGACGTCAGCCAGTACGGCAGTCGGCACGTCAACCGACACGTCCACCAGCGCATCAGCAAGTACATCAAAGTCGGCCCGCAACGCCACGAGCACGGCCAGCACGAGCCGGGGCAGCAGTGGCGGCAGCAACAGCAGCAGCATACCCTCTACGCAGAGCGGCACGGCCCTTGGCATGTTCAACTACCTGTCGCCGGACCTGATTAAGCCCAAGACGCGGAACGGGGATGCCACTGCCGTGGACTGGGGCGGGTCGAGCAGAAGTGGCGTTGCCGGGACCATTGCTGCCGCCGATGCTGCTGCCGGTCGTGGAAACGGCAGCAGCAGTAGTATGGACGAAGAACAGCTATTCATGTCGTTTATGGAGGCGCCGCTGTTCCGCGTGCCGTCGCCGTCGCCGCCGCCCGTCAATTTCCCGCAGCGGCGTCTTCTGTCGCTGAACGTCGACAAGTTTTTGAGAGGTGAGCAGTCCTTGCTGTGTCCTGTGTCTCCCTTTTTGCAGTCCTTGTTGTGTCTATGTTCTCCCCTTTTTTCCTGACACTAACGTATGCCTGCAGAACTCGTCCGACGGGGCACGTGCCTCGGCCAGACGCCTGGCTTCCGGGCGTCGGACGTCAATGAAGCCTTCTGGAGCGCCACGCGCAGCGCATCGGCGGTGTAAAGGCACGACATAAGAGACGACGGTGTGCTGTTTTTCGGGTTTTCGGCTTTTTTGTTTTTTTTTTTTTTTTTTTTTTTTTTTTTAGTTCTGTTCTTTGTTACGGGGCGACTCGTAGACGGCGTCATCCTATCTCAGCTTAATCATTACGTATTTTCTGATGTTCCTGGCCATCGTGCAAAGTGGTCGACATGCGTTCCAGCCGTCTGGACGGATTTGTGACACAGGCCAACCCTGTCCTCATGCTCTTTCGCGCAGAGCAGGCGAGGCGCACATAAGGGGACCGGCATGAGGGGAGACTCGGCTGCATTTGTCTTGCTGTCTTGCCGATCATCTGGGCGCGCACTGGCCTTTTGACGTGCCGAGTCGAGGCAGGGCCCAGTTTGATACATTTGCCATGTTTTGGACGAGACGACTGCGCCCGGTAAAAAATGCCGGAGTGCGGGGTTGGAGGCCATGAGGTTGTGGGATTGATGAGGACTGAGTAATGAGGCCCGTGCAAGCGTTTTGTGCAACTGGGTGTGCGTCTTTGACGCTCTTGTGCGGCTGTCTGAGGCTCATTTGAGGCTCATTTGAGGCTCTCTTGAGGCTGATCGCCAGATCTCCGACACCCCTTGACACCCAACCAGCCTTACCAGTACCCGGGTTGTGTGTCTCTGGTGGCTGCGCCGGCTCGTATTTCAATTCTTTCGTCTTCGTTTTCCCTTCTTCGTCTTTTGTTCTTGTTCTGTATTCGTTATTCGACAATTGAAAACACAGAGGCCCTCCTATTTAGACGTCCTGGCTGCCGTCCGTCGCATTGGGCTGTTGCATTCTCTTTTCTTTTCTTTCCCGTCTTTCCTTTGTTTTTCTCTTCTTTCCTTTCCTTTCCCTTTTTCTCTTTTTCGTCTTCCTCTCGTTTCCCACGTTCGCCATTTCATCACAGTACTATATACCCAAACGATCGCCCTTTGCTCTTTGCAACAGTCGACAATGAATTCTTCCACCTCGGCGGCCGCGCCAGAATCGCCCAGCCAGGCAGACCTGGCGGCCGTGGACACCGGGCCCCAGCTGAACATTACGGTCTGGGGACTGACGGGCGTCGCGACAGCGTTCTTTGCCGTGCGGCTGTACTGCAAGTTATTACGAAAGCGCCGTCTGCGGTGGGACGACTGGGTGCTGGCGGCAGGATGGGTGAGTTTGTGCCTTTTCACGAGGATGGCCAGGATGACCAGGGCAGTGATCGTCACTAACTTGTTGAGACCGCCCTCGTAATCTCGTGTGCGTTCCAGTCGGCGTGCGTGCACTACGGCCTCGGGCTCCACGGCCGCTTCATCAAGCCGGAAAACCTCGACAACCTGCTCTTCTACTCGTACGCCGCGGGCTTCGCGTCGACGCTCGCGGCGGCGTGGACCAAGTCGTCGTTTGCCATCACGCTGCTGAGCATCTCGGACGGCCGCACGCGGCACGTCGTGTGGTTCGTGCTCATCTCGGTCAACGTGGTGCTGGGCCTCAACGCGACGCTGCAGTGGGTGCAGTGCTGGCCGCCGGGGCGGCAGTGGCACCCGGGGGCGCCGGGGACGTGCTGGCTGGGCAGCCAGCACAGCCGGGCGTACAACATCTTTGTGGCCGCGTACTCGGGCTGTGCGGACATGGTGCTGGCGGTGGTCCCGTGGAAGATCCTGTGGCACATGAAGATGCGGCAGGCGGAGAAGGTTGCCGTGCTGTTTGTGATGAGCATGGGCGTGTTGTAAGTTTGTGTGGGCAGGCGTGCGTGCGTGCGTGCGTGTGTGCGCGGTAGACCTTGTCTGTTGGCTAACACGAAGCAGTGCCGGCATCACGTCGTTTTTGAAAATCATGTCGCTCGATGCGATTGGGAACGTGGATCTCAGTACGTTGTGTCCGACTGTGGCTTGTTTGTGACTTGTTTGTGCTCGCCGTCGTCCCTATCGCTAACATCGCAGTCACCACGGTCAACCTGTTCATCTTTGGCACGGCCGAAGGCGCCATTACAATCATGGCAGCGTCAATACCCATTGTGCGCGCTCTGCTGTATTCCGATGCACGACAATGACGCAGTGTCGGAGGCGGCAGCATGTGGGAGCCTCGGCCATATACACCATTTAATACAGGGCCGGGCTGTGTAATGTAGATCCAGAATGCAGGATGCGAACAAATAATAATAATATTCAAAATCAAAAGAAAAGAAAAGAAAAAAAAAGAAAAAGAATAAGAAAACATATCCAATGCGTGCTAGACAAAAGGTACCGGCAGATCTGTACTGAAACAGAAAGGCCGGACCCCACACGCTGCCGCATCTTACCCGATGTTTAGCCTTGCCGGTACGACATTCCCAGTCCGGGACAGAGCATGAAATACATAAGTCGTCCTGTCGACACGGCGATGATTTGTTGGCTGTTGTGCGGCATTCTCTGCCAGGCTGTCCACGATAAACTGTCCACACTACAGCCATGTCCTCGACTCAGACACAGACGAAGCAAGGGGATGTCCTCCCGCTGGAGACGCTCGAAGTGGCCGACAGGAGGCTGCAAGACGACGGCCATGGGACAACGACGACAACGACGGCAACAGCGCCCGCCCGAATGAGTCGCAGCACGCAGATCAAGATCCTGAGCGCGGGCTTCTCTTTTTTTGTCGCCGGCATCAACGACGGCAGCATTGGCGCCTTGTTTCCGTACATTCTGCAGGACTACGGCATCACGACGGCCATTGCATCGTCGGTGTAAGTCACACGTACAGGCATGCACCAATAACCCATGCACACATTCACTTATTCACCTGTGGGAGATGGTCGACTCCCGACAACGTCTAACAATACACACCCCCCCCCCCCCCCCCAGGTATGGCGCCAATTTTGTGGGCTGGTTCGTCGCGGCCCTGTCCAACACGCACCTGTGCCAGCACCTGTCCCTCGGCGCGATGCTGCTGCTGGGCGCCGCCCTGCAGACGCTGGCGCACGCGCTGCGGCCCTGGCAGCCGCCATATGCGCTGTTTGCGGCGAGCTTCGTGCTGTCGAGCCTCGGCCAGGCGTACCAGGACACGCACGGCAACACCTTTGCGGCGGGCGTCCGGCCGGCGGCGCACCGCTGGCTGGCGCTGATTCACGCCATGTACGCGGCGGGTCTCTTCTGCGGCCCGTTTGCGTCGACGGCGGTGGCCTCGTCGGCGGTGGCCTCGTCGGCGTCGTCGCGGTGGAGCCTGTTCTACTACGTCCCGCTGGGCCTGGGCGTCCTCAACGTCGGCCTCGTGGCCTATGCGTTCCGCGACGTGCTGGCCGTCAAGACGAGGAGCCAGCCTGCCGCAGCCGACACCGCAGTCGACGCTTCGCCTGGATCGGACCGCCGTGCCCGCGACTTGGTCCAGACGGCCCTGCGCAGCAAGAACGTCTGGCTGCTGAGCCTCTTCTTCTTCTTCTTCTTGGGCGCCGGCGTCACGGCCAGCGGCTGGATGGTCGAGTACCTCGTGGTCGTGCGGCACGGCGACATTGCGCGCATGGGCTTTGTCCAGGCCGGCTTCAGCGGCGGCAACCTGCTGGGACGGCTGCTGCTGGCGGAGCCGACGCACCGCTTGGGGACGCGCCCCATGATTTGCATCTACACGCTGCTGGCCATTGGGCTGCAGCTGTTGTTCTGGCTGTACGTATTTGTTCTGGGTGGTCGCTGACGTGGATTTGTGGTCCGGCTACTGCTTCTTCTTCGATTTCTATTTCTCTCTGCTCAACGTCTTTTCCGTACTGACTCGCCAGCGTCCCCAACATCATCGTGGCGTCCATCTCGGTCTGCCTCCTCGGCTTCGTCATGGGACCCTACTTTGCCACGGTGCGTCTTCTCGTCTTCTTTGCTTGTGCTGCCTGCCCAGGACTCTTCTGCTGACACAGACAACCGCCCAGGGCATGTCCATTGGGTCCCGGCTCTTTGCGCCCGAGATCCACCCCACCGCGCTGGCCTTTGTCTTTGTCATTGCCCAGATCGGCGGCTGCCTCTTCCCCATCATCACGGGCCTCGTCGCGTCCCGCGTCGGCGTCCACATCCTGCAGCCGATGCTGTGTGCGCTGCTGGTGGCGACGGCCGTGAGCTGGCTGCTGGTCCCGCGGCCCAAGGAGAGCGGGCATGCGCTGCACGAGGAGTAGCTGCAGATGTGCCGTGCTGCGACAGCCGTTGGATTGTGGCAGCTTTTCGACGTTGTGTCGTGTTGACGTGTCCAGAAGGCATATCCCTTTGAGACTGTCTGATCCTCTCTGCATTTCATCGGCGGTCCATCAAATGACAAATAAATGGATAAGGAAATGTCGAGGCTGGTGTATTGTGGAACCCGAGAGTGCATATCGTACTGTATGTATGGTGTGGAGGTCCTGGGGAAGGATGGACACTCTCGCACATAGGCATAAACATTCATATTTCATAGCTCCATAATTCGTGATGGTGTTCTGTCTCGTCTGCTGCCTGCTGCACAGAACCTCTCCCCCCCCCCCTATATGAGTTCGTCTTCCTCGCGCCACGGCTTGACACGGCCCTCCAGGCCAAACCCGGCATACTCGACGCGCTGCCCGTCGCGCTGCTGGTCGACTATGCGGCCGAACCGCAGCCGCAGCTGGCCCACGTCCGGGTCGACGGGCTGCGCGCCGACCGAGCGGCGGTATGTGTCGGCGGCGGCCTCGTCGCCCAGGCTGTGGCCCGCCGGCACCAAGAGGGCCTCGCGCAGCTGGTCGCTGCGGGTCGTCAGCAGCGTCGACGAAAACGACAGCGTGCTGACGACGCCGTTGTGGCGCAGCGCGCGGACGCCGACGAGCAGCATGGCCAGCAGCGTGGCGCCGAGCGCGGCGGCGTAGGCGGCCCAGAGCGTCGCGCGGCTGTAGACGAAGAAGAGGTGCGTCTCCGTGTAGGTGACGCGCGCGCGCATGGTGGGCGGCTGCGGCGTCGTGTAGCCGTCGAACGCGAGCAGGCTGTACGTGAAGTTGCGCGACAGGTCCTCGATGGCGGCGGCGAGGGTGCCGTTGCGGCAGCGGCTGGGGCGCACGGCCGAGACGTTGTTCGCGGGCGAGTCGAAGATGACGTCGGCCATGCGCAGCAGCGAGCTGTTGTAGATGTCCGCGCAGTTGATGAGCGGCGACTGCAGCAGCGGCAGCGTCGCCGCCAGCGACGTGCTGCCGCGCGGCGTGCCCGCCTGCTGGATGGAAAAGGCGCCGTCGGCGGCCACGCTCAGCGTCGCGCCCAGCAGGTAGGAGAACAGGAGGTGCGTGACGTAAAAGGCCGGCGTGGCCTGCGTGCAGTTGCCGTAGGCCGACGTGTTGGCCGTGTAGTTCAAGTTGTCGTAGAGGTGGAGCGCCGACACGCTGCCGCAGGTGTCGGTCCATTCCTGCGGCTCCAGCAGCTCGACGCGGCGCGGCACGACCGTCTGCACGCCGTCGGAGAAGTCGAGCGTCACGTCGTACGAGGTGTTGTACAGCTGGCAGACGATGTTGTTGCTGGCAAAGGCGCTGGTCGACGTTGAAGACGCCGACGAATTGTCCCACAGCGGGTTGACGCCAGTCGCCGCAATCAAAATCATATTGTAGAGGTACGACGGCGCGGCCGCCACGTAGACGAGCGACTCGGCAAGGGCCGTGGCGGCGTCGCTGGCGTTGGCGCTGGCGTTGTTGGGGTTGGGCAGGCCGAGCTCGCCGTAAAAGACGTCTTCAAACGTCGCAAACGTGTCGTTGGCCGAGCCCTTGGGGTTGTCGATGCGCCACGTCGCCGGCACGCCGGCGCCGCCGTCCTGCGCCAGCGCCTCGGCCAGGCTCATGCACTTGTACGACGGCCCGTACAGCGTCTGGTCGTACGAGCTGTTGGGGAACGGCGCCGCCACCTGCACGATGCCGTTGACGGCGCCGTCGGTGCTGGTCGTGCCGCCCGCGCTGCCACCTGAACTGCCACCTGAACTGCCTGAACTGCTGCCGCCGCCGCCGGCAATCGCGGCCGACGAGTACACGTTGCTAAAGAGCGTGGCAATGGCAAAGTGCGCGCCCTCGATGCGCCCGGCGCCCTCGGACGACACCCACAGCAGGTAGTCGCTGAGGTTGAGCGCCGGCACCGCCAGCGTCAGCTCGCTGGCCAGCGGGCGCGCGGCCACCGCCAGCGTCGCCGGCGTGACCACCGACGCGAGCGGCAGGCACCAGGCCAGCACCGCCACCAGCACGACGACCTTGGCGTGGACGATGATGCTGCGGCTCGCAAACAGCGCCAGCGGGTTGTTGAGCAGGTCGAACAGCCCGTCGATGCCGTCGACCGTCATCGCCGTCCGCCGCAGCGTGTACCACACCTGCTGCGCCGCCACCGACGCCACCACCATGGAGAGCGCCGTCTTGTTGAGGAACGCCAGCGCCGTGCCGAAGCGCAGCGCCCACGTCTGCGGCCCGTTGTCGTCCTGCGTCAGCGCGCTGATTTTGTCCAGCAGACTCGAGCCCGAACTCGAGCCCGAGCCCGAACTTGCACTCGGCGGCGCGTCCGCGAGCTGGCCGTCCTTCTGCAGATAGTACAAGTCGTGGCCGACGGCAAACAGCAGCCCCGCGACAAACAGCCCGACCGCCGCCGCCGGGTAGCGCCAGCCGATGCGCAGGCGCGGGTCGCGGACCCGCGGTCGGAGTGTCGCCGCGCGGCCCAGCATGCCCGTGAGACCACGCCGGCCTTTGGTGAGTCGTCTGCCTGTCGTGTTGTCGCCGGCGTCCGTGATAATGCCGTTGCCTTTGCTGTCGCTCCTCACCTCCTCCACACCGTGGTTCGTATAGATGCCCTTGTCCGCCATTGTTGAAGCAAAACCGCGTGCTGCAAAAGAAGCGAAAGCAAAAGGAAGAGGGGTGGAGAGTGGAATAGGAGAGGCGGCTGTTGCTGGTTTCCACAGGATACTCTGGCTCCGCCTTCTCTGCCAAGAACTGAAGCGCCAAAAATAAGATGAGACGCGCGGGGGACAGGCCAGGTTTTCCTGGTTGCAGAAGGGCTCTGCCCTACCAGTATTTATTTACGTAGAGGTGCGAGAAAAGAGAATGGAATAACGAAGAAACACAAGTGTAAAATGCGTACAGTAAAACGTAAGAACAAAAACGTAAATACATAAATAAAAGCCAAAGCAATGCAAAGACGCGAAATGTCAATCTTTCTTACTGACATCGAACAGCGCCGGGTAGCTTCTTGGCGTCACTAATCCTTTTTGAGCTAAATGGGACCGGTGAAACGCTCAGGGACCACAGCTGAACTGTGCCGCAAATTCGATTTGTCGGCGGCGTCCTGTCACAAAACACAGCCTCAGTCTCCCGTTGCTCGATATTGGTTGGAGGATCGTGGTGTTGCAGTTTTCATGCGTCGTCGATATCTGTGACGATGTAGGATGAGACAAAAACATGCAGATGTAAAGTACACATACGTACAAAAAGTATGTTGTATTGCAAGTAAACCACCGTACTGTGACATGCTAAGCGCCAGGGTGGTCCGGGCCGGCCAGACGAGGCCAGAACAGGAATTAGTTGCGAGTCGTGGCGATTGCAGCACACCAATGCTCGGGCCCTCCCCACGTTGAAGCGGCTCTGTGATGATGCTGTCAAAAGAACGGAAGTCGGCATTTCATGATGACGTGTTCAGGTTGAAGGATTATGAAGGTTCGCCTGGGACAAATAAACCGGTACTAGAAAAATCATAAAAAGGAATAAGTCAGACAATAATCTAGTATTTTTTTATTAAACATGAAAAAAAACAAATAAAAAACTAAACAGTTCTACCAACAGGACCATGCCAAAGGAATATGTGTCGTACGTCGTACAATGATATAAGATTGACTAGCCTAAATTAGCCCATAAGGCAAACTTGTTCTTAAAAAGACAAAATCTAAAATACATGTTGTAAAAAGTAAGAGAGCTTCTCTCTTCCGGCACCATGGCCTGAAGAGCCGATCCACACCAGCAGACTCTAGACGCCCTGGCGCCCTGACGCCCCACGCTGGCAATCTACTCCTGCTTGCCCCGCGACAGGTACCACGTCGTGGACAGCGTGCCGTCTGCAACGCCGAGCGAGAAGAGAACAAGGGCACCGCCCCAGCCGATGCGGCGCGGGAAAATGCCGGCAATGCCGCCGCGGCGGGGGGCCTCGGCCGTGTTGCGCAGCACATGGGCCGTCGAGAAGGACGAGGTCTGGCCGGCCACGCGAGTGGCGGCGCGGACAGCAGTGCGGGCGATCATGGCGGACATTATGAGGGGCATTGAGGTGGGGTTGAGTTTAGTTGTTAATTGGAGAACTGTGGTTGAAGTGGTTTATGGTGTGTTGTTCTGTGTTTTGTGTTTTGTGTTCTGTGTTCTGTGTTTTGTGTTTTGTGTTCTGTGTTCTGTGTGTTCTGCCATCCATACTGTCCTCCTCAGCTGGATTTATATGCACAATGCTGCGTTATGCTCTGGCGTTAGGCTTGGCGACGGTGCGTGGATGAAGCTGATGACGTTGTGTTTGAGTTGTGCTGTGCGGGTGTTTGCGGCGTCAACGGGCCTTAGCGGACCTTAGCGGACCTTAGCGGGCCTTAGCGGGCCTTGCTAGCGCTAGCGGCAACCCTCCAGCCTGTCTTACCTACCACAACGCCCACTGCCGGCAGTCTTGGCGGTTCATTGAATGGCCGTCTGACATGCAAGATGCTTTTCTTACTGCGTTATGCTTCGGAATTGCCAGGCACAGTTGACCCATTGCCGTGGCATTGTCGCGTGCCATGCACATCATCGGCAAAAAGTCCGCTCACAGACGCTGAGCTGATTCCGAAATGACGTATTTTAACAGTGTCCACCCTTTCAAAACGTGATGCTTGAACAACATTGATTTCAATAGAGACAGACAAACTGTTAGTCACGCAGTCAATACAAACAAGTCCTTTGCTCGACATGCGATACGGACAAACAAATCACCAAACGCCAATGTCATAACCATGTCCTGACCCGATCCAATCCGATGCTCACGGTTTGTCGCCAGTCCTACTCAACCTCAACCACATCCATTCTCGCCTACTGCGGCCGCCGGATCGTTGGCGGCTTAAACGGCTGTCTCAGACGGTCCATCGGCGCCAGGGTGCTGCCTCTCCGACCTCCTCCGCCTCCTCCGCCTCCTCTACCTCCTCCACCTCCTCGCCCAATGCCGTTTGCCTGCACCTGCGCATATGTAGTCGTGTGGAATGAAGTCACTGGACGCGTTGCTATGCCGCCGCTGCTTCCTCCACCACCACCACCACCACCACTCTTGCCTACCAGAGCACCCAGCTGGTGGTTCTCCTTACCAACCACCGGCCGCTGTGGCGCGCGGTACGGCCGCGGCTGGTTGTAGCCGTACGGCTGTGGCCGTTGTTGCCGCTGTGGCGGAGGCGCACTCGCAACCGATGGAACAGCGACCGGCGGCTGTCCATCATCCAGCGTCGGCTCTGCCTCCCGTGGTGGCGAACTCGAAAAGTGGGCGTACCGCTTCTGCCTGCCCTCGTTCTTGTCCGAGTCCTTGTCCTTGTCATTGCCGCCTGCTTGGCCCATCGCGTTGGGACCACAAACAACCGCGGCCGGCAGCATGTTGCCCCGGACACCACCGAGCGACCGGTTCTTGAGCTCGGCCGGGATGCCCACAGGGACAGCAGGACCAGGGCTTTCTTGTTGGTGGTACTGGTGCTGGTGCTGGTGCGGCATCGCAAACATGCTCGAGGATCGCTGGAACCCGGCTTTGACGGGTGCAGTGGTTTGGGGTCGTGCTGCTGCTGTTGCTGCTGTTGCTGCTGTCGTTTCAGCAGCTGTACCGGTCGAGTGGCTCCGCGTAAAGCTCTGCATAATGGTCTGCTGGCCTGTCGGTAGAGCACCCCGTTTGCGTTTGTCGGTCGTTGTCGATGTCGATGTCGACGGCCCAGGCAGTGGCCGTTTGGCAGCTTCGGCAGCCTCGGCTTCCAGCATGGCCGAATGGTGTGCCGACGCGGTTGTGAAGCCCGGGTATGCGGCACCGCCGCCCATTGTAAAGTTGGAACCGCCGCCCTCCATAGTTGTCGTGTAGCCGCGCTGCCAGGGTCCTTGCTCGCCGCCGCTGTAATTTGGCATCTCCGTCATCATCCGCCGCCGCTTCGAGTTTTGGTTGTTGTCATTGCAGTCCGCGTACATCTGCCCGCCCTGCTGCTTCTGCTGCTGCTGCCGCCGCCGGCGGAACCGGCTCGAATACTCGTACCCGCCGTCCTCGTCCTCGTTGTGGTAGCGCGAGGCCTCCAGCGGGTCCAGCGGGAACACGTCGTCCAGCAGCGGCACGTTGGACGGCAGGTCCTGGTAGATGGCGCGCTCTTGGGGCACCGGTCGCCCCAGGATGTCGCCCATCTCCTCGAGCAGCGCGCGGTCGTACGTCGGGCCGCGCTCGGCAAACCAGACGTCGACAATGTCGGCCAGGAACGGCGACAGGTTCTGCTCGCTGCGACGGGCCTCGCGCTCCTTGTCGCGGTCCGGCGCGCCAAAGAGCGAGTAGCTAATGTTCAGCAAACACTTGGCCCGCGTCATGGCCACGTACAGCAGGCGCCGCTCTTCGTCAATGTCCTCGGACCGGCTGTGCGGCAGCGAGCCCTCGTAGGCGGCCGGGATGAACACCACAGGCCACTCCAGGCCCTTGGCTGCGTGGATGGTCGAGATGGTCACCATCGGCAGCGGCTCGTCGCTGCCCTCCTGCGTCTTGTCGGCGTCGGCGGCGAGGCTGATGTTGGCCAGGAACTTGTTGAGCACGTCCGTCTCCTTGGTCTGCTCGACGCCGTCCACGGTCGGCAGCTCGTCCTCGGCCATCAGCAGCTGCGCGTTGTTCATAAACTCCCGCGCAAGCGTCACGAACTCGTCCACGTTGGCCCACCGCGTCTCGTCGTCGCCCCCATACGTCTCGCCAATGTACGTGCGGTAGTCGAGCTGCTCGGTCAGCGCCACAATCAGCTGGACCAGGTCGCATGCCTTTGCGGGTTCGGTTGTCGTGAAGGCGTCGGAAATGGTGCCGCCGACGTCGCTACCCTTCCCGCCTGCCTTTCCTTCTTTTGCTCCCTTTCCTTCACTTCCCTCCTCCGCCCCCTCCGCCCCCTCCGCCTCCTCCATCGTGCCCCTGAGTCGGCCTTGCAACCGCTGGATCAGATCGATAAAGCGCCCCATCTTCTTCTCTGTCGGCGCCGTGATGCCCGTCTTGGCGACCAGGTCGCCCCGGCAGTGCTTCGTGATCAGCGTCCACAGGCTCATGCTGCCCGCCTCGGCCTCCTCGAGACACCCCTGGATCGTCTTGGGCCCCACGCCGCGCCGCGGCACATTGATGATGCGCGCCAGCACGTCGTTGTTGTGCGGCTGGTGGACCACGCGCAGATAGTCGACGAGCAGCTTGACCTCGGCGCGCTCAAAAAACTTGCGCCCGCCCATCATGCGGTACGGCACGCCCGCGCGCGCGAGCGCCTGCTCAATCGGCCGCGACAGCGCCGCCGACCGCACCAGAATGGCCACGTCGCCGTGGTTCAGCATGTGGCCCGTGAGCAGCGTCGCCCGCCGCGTCTCCTGCAGAATCCACTGCGCCTCGTGCATCGCGTCCTGCAGGCGGCGCAGAACCGGCAGCGTGCCCTTCTTATGGACCGGCAGCAGGCTCTTGTCGTAGCGCGCCGGGTCCTGCCGGATGACCTGCAGCGACGTGCTCAGAATGCACTGCGACGAGCGGTAGTTTTCCTCGAGCGCAATCTCGGCCGTGTGCGGGAAGTCGGACAGGAACCGCGCCAGGTTCGTCGTCTCGGCCGACCGCCACCCGTAAATGCTCTGGTCCGGGTCGCCCACGACCGTGATGCGGCGGCGCGCCTGCGCAAACAGCTTCATGAGCTCAAACTGGACGCCGTTGGTGTCCTGGTACTCGTCAATCAGCACGGCCTGGACGTTGGCCACGCACGCCGGGTGCGCCCGCAGCAGCTCGGTGCAGCGGATCAGCAGGTCGTCGTAGTCGAGCAGGTTGAGGCTCTGCAGGTGCTTTTGGTATTCGTCGTAGACCGTCTGCAGCGCGGCCACAAAATCCTTGCCCTCGGCCGAGCCCCCGGCGCCATGTGCCTGCTGGCTGCGGTTCTTCTGCATCTTCTGCAAATTCGTCCTTTTGTTCTTCGTCGCCTCGTCGTCGGCATCCCCTCCCACGCACCCTTTGCTCTTTTTCTTGCTGATCCACCCGCGCGCCATGGCCGCGTCCAGCGTCACGTCGAGCCGCTTGACGATGCGCTTGATGATGGACTTGCTGTCGTGGTCGTCCACGATGCTGAAGCCCTTGGCCACGCCGATGCGCGTGCCGTACGCCGACAGGTACCGCAGCGCCACGCTGTGGAACGTGCCTAGCACAATGCGCTTCTCGCGCCCCCCGCCCAGCGCCTTGCCAATGCGCTCCTTCATCTCGCGCGCCGCCTTGACCGTAAACGTCGCCACAATCACGTTCGACGGCGTGTGGCCGACCTGGTCGATGAGCCACGCGACGCGCGACGTCAGCGTGTGGGTCTTGCCGCTGCCGGGGCCCGCCAGGATGGCAACCGTGTCGGCCGTGGACGTGACGGCGCGGCGCTGGGCGGCGTTGAGCTTGGAGAGGAGGGCGGAGTGGCCAGACCACCCATCTCCCCGCTCCGCCGGATCCGTCTCTGCCTTTACTTTTTGCCGTGGCGCCACGAGCATGTCGTCCGTTGCCTTGGCCTTGGTCTTGGCCCGCTTCCTGGGTGGTTCGGCATGTCGGGCAAAAATCGGAGCAGGCAGAGTAAACAGGGTCGCTGTCGTTTCTGTCGCCCCTGTTGTTTTCTTCGCCTTCGTCGTCTTCGTCGACGTAGTCAACGCGTCTGTGATCGTCGTCGCGTTAGGCGTTTGTTTTGGCTGTGTCTTCACTGGCGTGGCCTCTGGCGACGGCTCGATCTTGTAACAATCGTCACTGCTGTCGGCCTCCGAGTCGGAACAGAGATCGATAACCACTGATGTACGGTCCATGGCGGTGCGCGCACGCGTCGTGTTGGGGTATATCGCTGGTGCCTGCTCGTTTAAAGTGAGGCTATTGACTTGCATGGCTCCCAGTAGCGCGTCCAAGATGCGCTATCCAGGCGGGCCATCCACACAGTGTCGCGTACTCACGTGACTAAGGTGCGCTACTCAGACCCACAGAAGCCACCGACAGAAAGGCATGATCTGCAAGCCATTGAGAACCCAAGGCTGAGATGAAGCACATGCATGGTTTATGACGACAGTCCTATTGTGTTTATACAGTTGGCTGGCTATTTGAACTGCCCCCTACGGCAACCACATCTATAACAATGACAGCAAGAGTACCTATTTATGTACTCAAGATTATATCCTCTGTTTCTAGGAAATGTTGAACCAGTTAAAAGGCACATTCGATAGACAATGCTGGTATTGTAAACGACAATTGTAAACGACTAGACGTCCAGAAGTGGAAGACGCTTCCAAAGAAGGGTCGTTGTGGACAACGCAAGACTAGAACCACCAAAACGTCAAGGGAAAACAGCAGAAAGAAAAAAATAGAATACGCCCGGCTCGTAACGTAGATAATAACAGGAAACGAATCAATACTCCATATTTATCATCTCTATCCCCCATATGTTAAAGATGTAGTAGAAACAAAAGCAACCCTACCCCCTGTGAAAAACCCCCGGCAATATCCGTCCATAAATAACAAACAGGCAATGACAAACATGGAAAAGACTGTATACAATCCGACGCAAGAACGTCGATGCAGATGGCAGTCATGTACACTGCAGTGTATACAGTAAAAAACAAATAAATGCCACAAAGTGAGCTTCCATAAAAGACAAGGCGTTATATGAACGAGACAAAAAAGGTATAATGATGAGACGCTTGAGAAACAAGACACAATCCGAAAACAGGACATGTGGCAGAAAGAAGAGAGAGGAATGGAACGGCAACGCTACGCTGCAATGGCTTCCGGGACAGCGCCCACTCTGTGGAACGTATCCTCCCTCGCAGCAATGCCATCTTTGCTCTCGACCTCGACCTCACTCTCACTGTCGTTCTCACTCTCGCTCTCGGCCTCGCTCTCAATTTCGCCCTCGCCCTCGCCCTCGCCTTCGCTCATGCTTCCGTACCCCGTATCGTTGTCAATGCCGACCACGCTCCGCGTCACGGCCAGGCACCGGCGCACCATGCTGTGGCGCACGCCCGCGTCCAGGCCGCCCCGGTCGCTGATGGGGCCGCCGATCCAGACGCGCAGGGAGCCGGCCAGCTGCTCGAGCGAGATCGCACAGGCGTCGGCAGCGACGCGGCGGGCGTGCAGGGTCTGCATCAACCGGAAGGCCGCGGCACAGGCCAGCAAGGACACTTGGTGTTGGGCGCCGGGCAGGACAGCGTCGACAGACGCCAGAATGTCCTGGGGCAGGGCGGCAAAGCGCTCGAGGTGCGCAAGGGCCATGGCGCATCGCAGGGCTATGAGCGCCTCGCGGTCGGCCATCAACCGCGTCAGGGGCGCATCGACCAGTGGCTGCAGGCTCTCGTCCGCGTTGAGGCTCGGGCGCAGCGCCTGCAGAGCCACGGCGATGCTGGCGCCGCGCTTCTCCTCGACAAGCACCGCGCGGGCGACAAGGGCACGGACTTGGGCGTGGGAGCCGATGGGGGCGATCTTGGCCGCCAAGTCGATTTCGGCAGCAATGGAGTCGGCCAGGTCGGATTGGTCCTCATCGGTCTCGGCGGCCAAGGATGTCATGAGAATGCGATGCACGAGAAGAGACGAGAACCAGGCGGCAACGGCGTCGAGTGGCGAGAGCACGGCCGGGTCCTCGACAACGGCGTTCATACCGTCCATATCAACGACGGTAGCCGGCACGTCAAATGTGGTGGGTCGGTTAAACGCCAGATTGTAGGCGCGCTCGATAACATCGTCGTTGAGGACGTCATCGCAGTCTTCGGCCAGGAGGGCCTCCAGGTGGCTGGGAAGTCTATCGTCGGCTTGCAGCGAGTACGCACTGCTGACTTTGTCGCTGCCGCTGCCGCCGCCGCTGCTGTCGTTGCCGCCGCCAGCGCTGCTGCTGCTACCGCTGTTGCCGCCAGTGTTTTGCAGCTGCATGGCCAGCAGATTCCGCTCGCGCGCGGCGTTCCACTTGCCGCGGGCCCAATAGGCGGCGACGGCGTCGAACAAGGCGTTCTTGCCGAGGTGGCGCACGAGAATGCGGATGTGCAGGGCGTTGAGCATGAGTCGCAGGGGCGTATCGGGCAGGGTATGCGAAGCCAGCAACGTCAGGGTCAAGCGCCTCTCGTTGATCTCGACATCGCCGCCGGCCAGCTGGGCGTCCAGAGCAATGGCCCAGGACTTGATGCGCGCAGTCTCCTGGTCCTGCGTCAGACCCGTCAGCATGCTGTAGCGCTCGATGCCAAGGGCATTGCGGGTGCTGAGCTTCATCATCTTGAGAATCAGCGCGGCGGCCTCCAAAACAAAATTGTGGCGCGGGACCCAGACGGTCTGGATGGCCGTCAGCCAGGCATTGCGGCGAACGTGGATCGGCGAGGCCAGCGACGGCGCCGCCTGTGGCACCTGATGGGTCTTGTCTTGGGCAGTGGGCTTGGGCGCAGCGAAGAAGGAGGGCACAAAGGCCCACAGGAGCATGCCCAACAGCAGCAGAAGCTTGAGGTGGGACACGATCTGTGCGGTCGCGACGTAGTAGCCGCCGAAGCCAAAGTGCGCGTCGGAGACGACCAATGGGCGCAGAAGCTGCAGAGGCAGAGCGAACAGGCCACGGCCCTCGGTCGATTCGGGGTCAATCTCCTGCTCTCGCGCAGCCTCGAAGAGCATCAGACCGGCAAGCGAGCCAACCATCATCTTACCGAGGTAAGGGGCGCCGGCCTGCCAGCGGCTCTGCTGCGCTTGCTGTTGCTGCTGAATCTGTTGCTGGCGGAGGACGGCAGGTGTGCCTTGGAAGGGCTGTTGCGGGACGGGGTAGGGACGGCCAGCGGCGGCCTGGGCCTGGAGGATGCGCTTCATCTCTTCGGGGACGGGGATCATGCCGACCGGGTCTGGACCGCGTGGTGTGGTGATTGGCGGCGCACTCATAAAGGCGGCCATGGGGTTCGGCTGGCTGGACGCGGGACCACTAAAGGGCATGGGCATGGGCGACGGCTGTGCCATGGGGCTCATGGAGTTGGCGTTGGACAGGGCGCCATGCATGAACAGCTTCTCGAAGGCGGCAATGCGCTGCTGCATCTGGCTGTTTTCGTCGAGGAGCCGGTTGTTCCGCTTCTCGAGATGGCGAATGTACTCGGTGGCTTTGCTGAGGACGGTGGCCTTGTTGAGCTTGTGGGCGGGCGTCAGGCCGTGCAGCTCCTCACGGTCTTCGGTGGTGTCCTCGCCGCGCGCGCTCTTGGACATGATGCGCAAGCTGGGCACACTGTCCCGGAGCGCAGCGATCTTGTCGTTGAGGTTTGTGCGATAGCGCTTCTCGATCATGTTGTGAGCAGTCTTCTTGACGGGCTGGGAGCCGTCCTCGTCCTCGTCATCGTCGTCCTCGTCCTCGTCGGCCGACGGCTTGCGTTTGCGGCTACCATTGCGGGTGGGATCGGCGGCGTCGGGCGAAGAAGCAGCACCGCCGCCAGCACTGGACTGGGGGCTGGCCTGGCTTTTCGGACTGTGATACTGCAGGTGGGCGGGCATGGCGATGTTCTTGAGAGCGGCCTGCTGCTCCGGAGTCAATGAACTCAGAATTTCGGGTGCGGGTTGTGGCCGGACCTGGCCTGGTTCCTGTGTGGCGACTTGGCCTGGCTGCTGGGATTGCTCTTGCTGGTGGAGTTGCTGCAGGTTTTGCTGGAAGAAGGATTGTTGCTGCAGCTGCTGCTGAAGCAGGTCGCCGTCTTGGCTCTGATCGGAGGGTTGCTGTCCCTGCTGGAGGGGCGAGTCCGCGTGTGGACGCTGCGGAAGCGGCCAGGTGAACTGCGGTGCGGCGTTGGAGACTCCCCACTGCTGGGCGCCGAACTGGAACTGGGGGTTGTAGAAGCCGCTGGGGATGGCGGCCGGGTTGAAGCTGCCCTGCAGCTGCTGGAGGGCAGAAGGGTCGAAGCCGCCGCCGCTGCCGGCGTTGAGGGTGTTGGGAAAGAAGCCCCAGCTGTTGGGGTCTTGGAGGAAAAAATCACCACCGGAGGCGGGGGCGGAGGTCGTACCGGCAGCGTCGGAAGGGATGGAAGGGTCGGGGGCGATGGTGGACGAGGCAGTGAGGTAAGGCGGTACGGAGCTGACGGGGCTGTTGTTGAAACTCGATGTGTTGCTGGCGTCGCTGTTTGTGCCGCCGTCGCTGGTGATGCTGTTCGTCTTGGCCTTCCTGTTGCGATGCACGGAGGACTTGGAGCTGGTATTGCTGCCCGGACTCCGACTGAGGCGGTTGCTGGCAGCTGCTGCGCTGGTGAAGACGGAGGGTTCGGGTTTGCTGTTGGGGTCGGTATTCATAAGATCCTGTTGGTGCGTGTCAACAAAGCCATGCGACATGGTGCTGCTGGTCGTCGCCGGCATGCTTCCCAGGCCGTCAGGCGAGAGATCATAAGACTCGAGACCCGCAAAGGCTTGGGCAGCCTCCTGTTGATCAGCCATGATGCAACCTTTCGACCTTGAAGGAGTTGACACGCTCGTCGGCGCTGTCTGGTGCAGCAGTCGTGCAGTCAGTCGGCCCCGTCGGGTGGTGGTATGGGCTTCGTCTCGAATCGTATGTCGGTGTCTCCTCTGTCGTTGTCTTTCTCTGTGGCACGGGCTTCGCCGTGCGCGCCCTAGACAACGAATCTTTCGAAGGATCAAAAATGGCCTGACCGAACGATGGTGCCAGGGTATATCTCCGGAAGTGGACGAGACGGACGTAAAGTAAGAGGTGGGGAAGGGGCGGATGCAAGGAAAAGTGGTGCGGCTCTTCCCACACGGCTGGCTGAGTATGGGAGCCGTGAGTAGGAATGGAGAGAAAAAAGACGGCCAGGTCGAAAAACGTCGTCGA